ACAAGCTGCTTGAGGTCGGTGAGGTGGAACAGGGACTTGCGACGGGATCTGGCGCCGACTTGAAGGTGATTCTAGCTGTGTGCGGTGTGCAAGTATTCGTGCTGATTGTTTAGAGCGTCCAAGCTGTCATTTCAGACCCGGCTGTACCCTCACACAACAAGCTCCGATTGGTTATCCTGTACGCCCTACGGTATCAGAAGACACAAGCGGCGAATATTGCGTCGCTCATCAACTCGATGCTTGCAAATGGGGTTAAGCCGGAAGATGCGCGGGTAAGCACAGGCTATTTTTTGTGCACATTCGATGTCTAACTTGACTGCGATAGCTGGTGTACGTTATCTTAAACACGTCCGGATCGGATCAACGGCAAGATGACCTCTTCTTGAACGAATCACTACTTGCGAAAGGTCGTTCGGTTCTCAAAGGCATCAAGGTAGGTGCTGATTTTGTCGACGTTGAATTGCATTTGATATCCCGCATCTTCGTCCCAGGGCGTCGAAAACGTGTACATGCAACATACACCACAGCTGTCGCAGACGCTCGAGAACCTATTCAAGGCACGATTGCGCGAAGCTACATACCCGTTCTTGGATGGCGCGGGACCGAACGCAGGGTTACAAAGGTACCATCCATTTCAGTTCGTTTCTGATGAAAGGCCAGCGGTTCTGACAAGTTTGTACGGCAGACCGCAAGACGTGATCGTGTTCGTAATCGGCGGAACGACCTACGAAGAAGCACGCGCCGTTGCGCTCCTGAACCAAGAGTTCGCGATTGGCTCAAACCCTAACGCGCCCGGGGGAGCCGCAAATGCGGGCGCGCGCGTCCTGCTCGGCGGCACATGCGTGCACAACTCCTCGTCCTACCTAGAGATGATGCGCGCATCGGCGACGCGCTTCCCCACCTCGGTGTACGACCCTCCTCCGGAATCGAGCACCGGCGCGACGAGCCTCCCCGCGTTGAACATCAATTTAGGCGGGGTCAACGTCAGTCTAGGCGGGGCGGCGGGGAGCGGCGTATACAGGACCAGCGGAGAAGATAGAGGCGTCAATGCGGACGGTATCAGGGACGGGATGAAGAATCTTTTCGGCAAGGTGAAGCAAGGGGTGGATCAGATCGGGTCGGGGCTGCGGTAGAGATGGTCGTTGCGGCTCCCGCCAAGATCTATACCTTTTCTGGTGAGCCCCTTTTTTGCTGTCCACTAGCGCCTGAGCTGAACCGTACTGCACGTAGAATGTACTCTATGTGACGAATATAATTCGCTTGGCATGTGCCACCAATTCGGCTTCGATGACACCTGATTTTGATCCTCGCGCTGAAAAACCGGTGCGATGCGCAAGCACAGCCGTCGACGTAGGCTGGATTGAACCGTCGGCACACTCGCGAATGATCGTTCCTCCCACCCTGGAAACTTGTTCACGCAAGAGTGGACCACTTGCGGGCAGTCGGGTCTTGGCTTGCATGACGGAGGTTTCCCGCTGATCTGTCAGCGAACTAATGATAACCAGGCTGTTCAAGCCGTAGACGCTCAGTACCTCTTTATCTGCAGAGGGTTCCTACAGAGCACCCTTACCCTCTCTGTCGTCTTGTGCACCTCCTGCGCTGGACTGACCCTTCAGTGGCGGTGCCATAACTCCGCTAGCGCTTGTTTGCACGGCTTCGTGCCCAACTCGGACATCAGTGGCATTGGAGTCCGGATTTCGTTCTATGTCCAGACGGTGCTTCTCGGTATGTCCAGGGATTGAAGACTTGTGTAAGGTTGCTTGTGCTTCCGGTCACTGATGTCTTGTTACGCCATCGCAGTGATCAACGCTTTGACTGCCGGTTCAGGAGAGGATGTAGGTGATTGCATCCTAACGCTGGCAGTCACCAATTTAGCGTACTGCGCCGCCACTATCGGCCTTGGGTTCCGCGAAGGCTCCCAATTGAGCTTCTACGAGTGGGTGTGCTAGTGCCCATGACTTCCGAGGGCCTAACGCGCACATTCCCCAGCGGCGTTGTCGTGTGCTATCTGCTGATATTCTCTACCTTTGCTATAGAGTCCGCCGCCAGCGAGTTCCACATACATATCGTGACAATATACCGGACCAGACGGGGTCGCTTCTTGCGCAGATATCCAGGATATTCACCTGCTGAGCCCTACATTGCGGCTGTCGCCCTCTTGCAGCTCATCATCGTTGCTTCCCTAACTCTTTTCATCGTCCATCACTCGGCAGCCTTTGGGCACTCGTCCACGGCATGCGACCAGTCTGTCGTCATCGTCGCATTTGCGCCGTGGCCCGCGCTGGGCATGGGGCGGGTGATCCTGCAGGTATTCATCGCCCTGCTCCTTCTTGGAGCCGTGAATCGGAGGATCGACGACTGTTTCAGCTTTCGTAGGTCACGGACCGCTCGCGAGCCGCGCTTCTTGTGCTTGACATGGCGACGCGTCCTGTGCGTAAGGGTTCCTCGCATCTGCTGGGACCGGAAGAAGACGATCAAGCCCATCACCTGCGTCGTCTGCTGCCTTCTCTTCATCATCAACACTGAATTTCTACCGATATCCAACCACGTACAAGAGGAAAGCGACATTTGGGGATTCGGTCAGGTGGGCTCCAAAATCAGTACCGTCATGTAACGTACTAACATGTAACTGACAGGTCGTCCCCATCGTTCTCATCGTGCTGCAAATCAGAGCCACCGGGAAAGCTCTGCGAAGATGATTGCTGCCCCCGAAGGCGTCTCCCCGTCGTGGGCGCAGACGCGGGCGAAGACCATGCACTCCTTCGCCTTCGTCGTCAAGATCCCCTTTGTCTTCGCCCTCGCGTGCCCAACTTTCTTTGCCGTTGCCGACAGTGGCGCCGATCGCTCCTTGCGAGCATGTGCCGTCTCTCCTGGCAGACTCGTGGCGCAGGCAAGGATCAAGCCCACGGACGCCCTCCCCTCGAACATTGATGTTCCCTCCTTCGCCGCTCTCGGGCTCTCCACTGTCACTGCCGATAGCATCCATCGCGCAGGCGTTCTCGCCTGGAACATCAACTTTCCCTCTGCCGTCATCCTCGGGCTCTCGAGTGTCAATGCCAGTTGCATCGGTCGCGGGGCCTCGCATAGACGAATGCGACATTTCCGACTATCGAATGCAGTGCTGGGACCACATCGACTGATTCGCTCTGTACGATGATCGATATATGTTGGTGTTATACTGTGGAGAAGGGTTTACCCCCGATCACTAGAAATCAACGGCCTTAGTCCCAGTCGGCATTTTGGGTCGGATTGGGATGAGCTGGGCCCCGCCAAGCGTCCGAATTGAGGGCGGATCGATTCAGTTCAGCTTTTGGCGCGGAAAACCCAACTCATTCCAATCTAACCTGAGGTGTTGCTCAAGCGCGCTTACAGACAAACACCCAATGATATGTAGCCAATGTGGATTACACACAAGCGACGCATGAAGTCCCGACGATGAAATGGGTACCTCAGTTCAGAGCATCCGCAATGCAGCGGTCCTCGGACCGTTCTTCAGGAGCGGCCTGTGAGCATTTAGCAGCACATCTCGCACGGGCAGCCTGTGATCACGTAATATCAGCTGCTGAAGACCGACCCGAAGCGTCACTGGAGCACGCACATATGATGTCCGCGCAGCATTCGCAGCAGTCCTCGAGGCAATCTACGCACGGAGGTATGAATGGTCAGCGAACAGCCCGGCCCGCGTCGCGTTTTCGTGGCCGAAACGCAGGAGAGATGGAGTGAGGCACGCACCGCAGCACAGGATGCAGCCGACGATGCCGAGGAAACAGTCCTTGCCCGCGCCTCCTCCACGAAGGCGCATGCTCTTGCGGCCGTGCTCGTGCTCGTGCTGCTTTCCGCTGGCGGGAGCAGGGCTCATCACCGCTACATTTGCGACGAACCCCCCAATCAGGCTCATGATATCCATCAGGAACGATGTTTACGGTACTACTCACACATCTGCATCGCGGCCTGAGGCTGCGCCTTCGTCGGGGTCTTGGTGTGAGCGGCGGCAGGAGCTTCCATTGCGTGTCGTGTGTTCGTGGTCGTTGAGGGCGAAAGATGGACGATTGAAGTTGACGGTCGGAGGGAGAATATGGGTATGAGGTCGGAACTGCGGCGGAGGATAAGGGATTTTATACGGAGGTGAGGCCGGAGCGCAAGGCTAAAAATAGATGACCGAATACGGGTGGGCAGTTCCCGCGCGAGCGATGCTGGTCTGGGGCGGTGTATCCTGGAGACAGGGCGTCCAGTGAGAAAGGGTGAAGTTCAAGAGAGTAAGCGAACACGACAAGTCGGAGGCCGCAGAGACTGGTCCTGCGGACGAACACGCTCGGTTGATGCTCCGCGCCGTGCGCGATGCAGTGAGTTCGAACATGATATATTATCGCCACAGCGTACAAGTCCGGTGCAGGTTCAATAGTCGTACGATCAGCGCGGTCCATCGGAGACCCGTACTTTGGTCGGCGAGACCGTCTCCATGTCTTGTTGTGTTCAGCAGCACATCTCGCACGGGCAGCCTGAAGAACGTTCGTCAGTATCATTGTAACCCTCGATCATTGACTGCGGTGTGCAAAGTAGGAAACGGGCACGCACAGACGATGTCGGCGATGCACTCGCAGCAATCTTCGCAGCCGTCGATGCAAAGGCAGCACGCGATCGCGCCGAGGAAGCAGTCCTTGCCGGCGCCGCCTCCACGCAGGCGCATCGACTTGCGGTGGTGTTCATGCGCCTGCTGCTTGCTTGCAGCTGGAGCAGGATTCATGACAGCTAGTAAGGAACCAACGATGAGCTTGGGCACATCGTAGCCGTTGCCATATCCGCGAGACGTACACATCTGCATTGCAGCCTGCGGCTGGGCACTGGTCGTCTTGGTGTGGGCTGGGGCGGGCGGCTGCATGACGGTAGGTCGTAAGATGGTTCGATCCAGGGTTTGTGTTATTTTGTGCCCCCCTCCCCAGTTTATATGCAGTCTTGCGGCATGGGGCCGCCTCGGGCTCTCATGACGTCCGGCCTCGCACCTACCTATAAATAGGTACCGGATTAAATCATGGCCTGCGGGCGGGTTTCTTTGCCAGCGCAGGGGGGCAACGGAGAACCAGGAGGTTGCAAGCAGGGAGGGGCGTTCGAGGGGAACATGGAGGTCAAAGTGAGAGATGGAACGGATCGCGGATTGGCAAGCCTTTGCCAAGAGAGCTCGCAAGATCGCGACATGAGCGTGTCAGGACCCCCGTGGGGCTTGGAATGTGCAGAGGTCGGATATCAGCGTGTGTTGGTGCCTTGAGCACAGCCACTCCACGGCCATACTCCTCCCCGCCCGTTCTCCATCCTCTGCATCTCTGTTCTCGAGGCGGTCGCCGGCCTCGACAATCACCTCCCTTTCTTCATTCTGGACGGCGCCGCACGCTCGTCTGCCACCCCGCCGGAGCGCATCCCTCACGCTCGCAAGCCCAGCACCCTCACCGCCACCGCCAGCACCCGCACCGGCATCAGCAAGATGTTCAGTCCCCGCAGCGCCAACTACGAACGCCTCGAGGCGGGCAAGGGCCCCAGCAGGAATGGGGCCCGCAGGTTTGCGTGGAAGAAGTTCGCGATCGGCGCGGTCGTCATCATCGGGCTCGTATACGTCTTTGGCCCAAGGAGAAGTGACCTGCTGAAGAGCAACCTCCCATGTACGTGCTTCTGGCATCGCAATATCGCTTTATCTCAACACGCTTTAGCATGGGACATGCCTGAAACGTATGATGATGATCTGGAAGTGACCCTTCCTCCCTCCCAGCCCAAAACAACCGACGCCGTTCGGCCCGAGCCCGTCGACATCCACCTTCCCTCGAGCCAAGGTTCTGAGCGCCCTCTACCCACCTCAATGGCCGATGACCCAGACTTGACCAAGACCGTGCGCTGCACGACCGCGTTCGGCGGCAAGCCGCTCGTCCAGTTCGCGCTCATGATCGACGCCGGCTCGACCGGCTCGCGCATCCATATTTACAAATTCAACAACTGCGGCGCGTCGCCCGAGTACGAGTACGAGGTGTTCAAGATGACCCAGCCCGGTTTGTCCTCGTACGCGGGATCGCCGGGCAAAGCCGCCGAGTCGCTCGACGTGCTCCTCGACGAAGCCGTCCGCGTCGTCCCCGCCTCGCTCCGCGCCTGCACGCCCGTCGCTGTCAAGGCCACCGCCGGCCTGCGCCTTCTCGGCACATCCGAGAGCGCCGCGATCCTCGATGCCGTCCGCGCGCATCTGCACACCAAGTACCCCTTCAAGCTGCACGACGCGGACGGGCAGGGAGTCCTCATCATGGATGGCAAGGACGAGGGCGTCTACGCCTGGATCACCGCAAACTACCTCCTCCGCACCATCCGCGCCGATACTCCCGCCGGCACGCCGTCTTACGCCGTGCTCGACCTCGGCGGCGCCTCGACCCAGATTGTGTTCGAGCCCACGTTCGACAGCTCCAAGCCCGACTCAGGCCTTGAAGAGGGCGAGCACAAGTACGACCTCGAGTTCGGCGGCAAGAAGCGCGTGCTGTACCAGCATTCCTACCTTGGCTACGGCCTCATGCGCGCCCGGAAGAGTGTCCACCGCCTCGTGGACTTTGTCGCGAGTTTCCGCAAGCCGGGGACGACGGTTGCGAATCCGTGCCTGGCGCGCGGAACGGAACGCGTGGTTGAAGTTGAGGATGAGCGCTCGAAGACGGCCCGGAATGTCACCATGGTCGGTGAGGACATCGGCAGCTTCGAGGCGTGCAACCGCGTCGTCGAGCTCGTCATGGCGAAGGATGCGTAAGTGCTAATCTCTGCATAGTTGCGGGGCCCGCACAATGTTGCTTATCATCACCTACAGTGTGTGCGAAGTGAAGCCTTGCTCCTTCGACGGCGTTTACCAGCCGTCGCTCATGGAGACTTTCCCCTCGGGCAAGGTCCTCCTCCTCTCCTACTTTTTCGACCGCCTCGACCCGTTGCTCTCCAAGAGCTCCACGCCGGTCACCGTCTCCTCCATCGCCGATCTCGCCACCGACGTGTGTCTCGGCCGCGAGTCGTGGGTCAAGCGCTGGGGCAACGACAAGAACGCGATGGACGAGCTGGAGGGCCGGCCGGAGTACTGTCTGGATCTAACCTTCATGCACGCCTTGCTGAGGCTCGGTTACGAGTTCGATGCGGAGAGGACGGTGACGATTGGCAAGCAGATCGCCGGGACCGAGCTGGGGTGGTGCTTGGGTGCGACTATTGCGATGGTGGGCGGCGAGTTGACGTGCAGGGTGTAGATCGCAGATTCTTGCTGCACTCTTTACTTGTTTCCTACGTTATAGTTCTTATGCAGCTGTCATAATCCACCGGTGTGAACGGTACATAATCTCACGTGGCTCTGGTCTCCTGAGCCGCCGTTTGACCAGTGGGCTACCTTTCATCCGTTGCTGCTGCTAGGACCTGTAACATCTCGTCGCCCCTTGTACGGTGTTCCATCCGGAATGCATTCTTCTCCGAACACGAATCACTACAGTAAATCGACATGCAAGTGGAACCACCCACGAAAGTCTCAATACGACCTGCAGTCCCAGTTCGTGACTATATCGTCTTCCTTGTGCAGCGTGCGGATTGCGGAATCCCTAGTGTTTATGAACTTTTAACCATACGATCAGCCCATGACTCATGACTATACACGTCGAGATTCGAAGAGAAGGCAAGCGACCACAGCTCTCATTGACCCCGCCCAGCAATGCACTGAAGTGAATTCTCTGGGATTACTCATATGTACAAGCAGAACGTCAGATACGGTCCGTGTTAGATCAGAATCACTCCTTCACCATATGATTCCAGACCAGTCTTCTAGGCGGGGGAAAAGCCATCTGAGAAGACGGGCGAACGATTCGTGCGGCTCGTTGAGATACGGCCAAAACTGTATCTCCAGCTTGAGCAGGTTCTCTTGGCCGTCGAACGCGGTTGGGGCAATAAGCCAGCCCCGTGAGAGCCCCTCCATTGGGTTCAGCCGGATTCCGAGGCGCTTCAGCTGCTTGCAGTGCACTGCCAAGTAAACGAGGGCAGCAGACGAGAGGTGCGGGCCGTCTTCGAAGAACGCATCGAGGAAGAACCAGACAGATATCAACGCGGGACAGGAGCGAGCAACGTGCTCGATCACGTCGTCCGTCCAGTCGAGGGGAGCCCTCATAACAAGAACCTGCAGGTTCTCGTACCGAGGCATATCCAGCATGGCAGTCGCCGGCAGTAGTGTGTGCCCACGAAAGTGAACTGAGATATTCTGAAGGGATGACGTAGGGCGCTTGAAGACGGCTCGGATGAGCTCGGTCCAATGTATCGAGGATATGTCTTGTCTGACAGTCAATTGCAAACGCCGGCATCGAGGAGCATATGACATGAGAGTGTGCAATACAGAAGAAAGTCCTTCGTATGTTTGGTCGGCGACGAGTATATGCTCGTTCGCGAATAGAGGGTCGAAGGAGCCCTTGATTATCCTCCTGCCAGGCGGCAGCGGTGGAGGAGGAGGAGGTGGGCCACCACGTTCCCGGTAACATCCCTCGTTACCGAGTTGTAAACGGAGTTCTGTAATTCCTTGAACACGCCAGATATAATAAAGAGCGTCCAAGAAGGCGCGATCTTTTTGGTGGGGAACACCCACTCGCATGCATACACGGCGCAATGAATGGATTTGGGAAAGGAGGACCAGCGTAGGCGGATCGAAGATGTCACCAGATACACGAATGCTGGCGAGCCGAGGAAGTGAATGGTCAACCAGGAGGCGGATGAACGATTGCAACGCGGCCTTAATTGTATTGATTTCCTGAAAATTCGGGGCAACTTCGATTTCGAGATTCGTGAGACGCGCAGATGTGAAGAGGGTGGCGTGATGGGCAGAAAGAGTATATGGATCGAAACAAAGCGAAGTTAGGCGGGGAAACAAGTCGATTCGTTGTTTGAGGGTATCGAGAGCGGTGAAAACGGAGTCGGACATCACGGACATAGACCGGTAAACTGCGCGCCTTAAGTCCAATTCTTTCATCTTGCGGGAGCATCGAAGAAAGTCGCCAATGTCGAGATCCGATAACTCGTGCGAGACGACCTGTTCGTATTCTTCAGCGTACGATGCTACCGGCCGCCTCAATCCACGCACCCATTCGCCACCGATTGACGCACGAAGTTCGGGCAACTTGTGCAGAAGAATGTTGAAGTTGATTATCTTCGCCCATAGCGCGCTCAGCGCGATATCCGACCACGCTTTGCAAGTAAGGGCAAGGTGGAGAAGGTCCTCGTGACCATGGTGGTGCCAGATATCCTTGTCATGAGCTACGAAGTCAAAGATTTGCTCTAGTATCTCGTGTACGAGAAGCGCTCGATGCATTCCTGTGGTTGGCAGGTAGAGGTAGGAGAACCTCAACATCAACAGTTGCCCGCGGGTGGATCAAACAGCTGCGTACGCCTGCGGAGGTCTCCAGCATTTCCACGTTGATCGGAACATAGGCGTACCATTGGCGCAGGTTCGCAGAAACCATAAGCATTGCGAAAGTAGTGATCTATGGGTGCATCCAGGACCGATGGTTCGTAGGTGTCTGGCTGCTTCACCACGTAACGCCAGTGGAGGGGCAGAACGAATACGAATACGATGAAGCACCCTGCGGTAGGCACCTTCTGAATTCGTTGCCTATATCGGCTGCGCCAGCCATGGCACGAATAACGAGAGAATCGAGTAAAGCATGAATGCAAAGGCTGGGTAGGTAGGTAGGTATATTTCCGGCGCGGTCCCAATATGCGTCTGGATGCTGTGACGGCGGAAGGAACGCCGTGGTAGCCGACGCGACGCGCAGTGGGCAACGCCGAGCGTTGCGCAATTCATTCTGCTACGTTCCCGACTGCTGGTCCAAACCCGCCCCACGACTTGCTTTGTAGGCTCAGGGCATAGCACACTCATGCGGAGGGATGTCCGAATATTACTGGTAGGCGATGGTGAGCGGGTAATCGTGCGCGTTTCGCGTTCCCTCCACTCGGTCGCTGAGGTCGGGTTGCACAGACGGTGTCGGCAAGAGCACCATCGTCACGTCTCTTATCAAAGAGTCTTTCATACCACATGTAGTAAATCTGGCTACTTTCCGACTCAACGACTGACTATCACATCAGGTTCAACACGTTGTACCCGAGGTAACCATACCACCAGAGGTCACCCCGGAGAATGTTACGACATACATAGTGGATTCGGGATGTACGTTCTACCAACCGCTGGTGCACTTTGGTCCATACTGACCTATCGTCTGGTAGCTGCCCCCGAGGACCGAACACACCTTGAAACCGAGATTCGCAAAGCGCATGTAATATGCGTGGTTTATTCCATCGACAACCCACATTCCTTTGACCGAATACCAACCTATTGGCTGCCGTACTTCCGACAACTGGGCGTAAATGTACGCAGACATCAGACTCCTATATGCAGCTACTTACCTCCGTCAGGTACCAGTCATTCTTGTTGGCAATAAAATTGACCTACGAGGAGGGGAAGTTACGAATGAAGCGTTGGAGGAGGAAATTCTTCCTATCATGAACGAGTTCAAGGTAGGGCACGGATCGTCTCGAGGCATCGCAAATATGAAATACAGTTCCCTAGGAAGTCGAGACGTGCATCGAATGTTCGGCAAAGCTTACCCTCAACGTTTCTGAAGTCTTCTATTTCGCGCAGAAGGCCGTTTTGCACCCTACCGCGCCGCTCTATGACTCAAGAGACCATGTGAGGGAGCATTTATGCACCGTAATTGCTGTACTGATGGCTAGCAGGTCTTAAAACCGGCGTGTGCAGATGCCTTGAGGCGGATCTTCAAGCTCTGTGACACTAACAAGGACGGCATACTCGATGCGTCAGAGCTCAACGAGTTTCAGGTGTGTCTCGTTTTCCTAGTGCTTGCTTCCTCTCTGACACAGCATCAGCGGAAATGCTTCGATGCACCGCTGCAGCAACAAGAACTCGAAGGCATCAAGTCCTTGGTCCGGGATTACTCCGTGGACGGCGTGCGAGATGACGGCCTTACGGAGGAAGGGTTCCTCTTCCTGCATACAACTTTCATTCAGAGGGGTCGGTTGGAAACAACGTGGACTGTGCTGCGGACATTTGGATACGCCGAAGATTTACGGTTGACGGAAGCTTTCCTGTTTCCGCGGTAAGCTCTTGCGTGCTGATGGTATCGGTACGTGCATTTGCTGATCCTAGAACAGGTTCGATGTGCCTCATGACTGCTCCGTCGAGCTCAGCCAAGCAGGATACCAGTTCTTCACGGACATATTCGAGGTCTTCGACAAGGTAGGATATGATCACAATCGTGTTCGGACATAGCTAATATACTTGTAGGATCAAGATGGCGCTCTCAAGGCTGCTGAATTGGACGATCTCTTTAGCACCTCTCCTGGTAATCCTTGGGCAAAGCAGAAGTTCCCAGACAACACCTCGGTCGACGACTCCGGCGCTGTTACCTTGCAGGGATGGCTAGCCCAATGGAGTATGACTACGCTGTTGGACCACAAAACGACCCTTGCATATCTGGCCTATCTTGGATACCCCGGCGAGTCACAGACTAGCGCGTTGCAGATCACCCGACCTCGGAAGGTAGACCGAAAGAAGGGGAAGTCAACGAGGAATGTCTTCTTGTGCTACGTCTGTGGCGCCGCTGGCTCTGGGAAGACGAGCCTCCTCAGGGCTTTCGCAGGGAAGCCCTTCCAACAGGCCTACAAACCTACCAATCAGGTCATCAGTGTCGTGAATTCCGTCGACATCGATGGTTCGGAAAAATACCTCGTGGTATGTGCATGCATTTGTTCATACGTGACTTTCGCGTGCTCAGCATCTCCCCTTCCTAGCTTCAAGAGTTTGGATCGAGATATGAGCCAGAGACCCTTCGTAACTCGAAGAAAACCGACCTTGCGGACCTCATCGTATATGTATACGACTCAAGTGACACCAATTCCTTCTCCTACATCAGTAATTTACGGGTCTGTAATTTCTACGTTTCACAAGATAGTCCTTGACGCTGACCGGACATGTTGAATCAGCAACAGTACAGCTTAGATTCTATACCCACTTTATTCGTCGCCACCAAGTCAGATCTGGACCTCGCGCAGCAAAGGCATGAGGTGCAACCCGACGTCTATTGTCGAAGGCTGGGCTTGCAGGTTCCGGTTGCCGTAAGCGTGAAGACGGGCCAGCTTGCGGATGTCTTCCATGTCATGTGCGGCATCGCCATGAAGCCGTACGTCCACTTTTTTGGGGGGGTCAAGCGGTCATCGATCCTGATTCGTGCTTCTGCTCGCAGGAACTCGGCAATTCCTGGTGGGCGGGACCGTGCCCGGTCTTCTGCGCTGCGGCTACGTACATACATGCACGTTTCACTCCTAGTGGGCGGTCTGTCCGCGGGGCTGATCTACACGTATCGGGCGTTTCTGATGCGCCCAGGGGGGTTGTTGGATGGATGGGGGGTGAGGTGGCTTGGATTGTTCATGGGGAGGCGAGAGTTATAGCACATCCTACGACCGTTGGTTGCATATTGGGCCTCGCGTCGGCCCTCGCTGTGATGCCTGATCGCCACACCTCTGCCATCATTAGCGGATCGGGCAGAAATACGAAAGCGTGATGACGGCGGTGCGAGTCAGATTAGATCCGAAACGCACACGTGCACGCAGCGCGTCAACCTCACCGTTAGCCTCGACTCGTAATGCAATAGCGCCTTGAACTTGGACTACGACCATCTCACTAAGTACATAAGTGCTACCAAGGCTGCTGTCCAAGTTTCTTGTATATCACATTCGCTTCCTGAAGGCAGTAACTACAAGACAATAGCAATGGATCAAGAGATGGACGCGGGCGGTGCCCCGGTTTTCCAGACCGTTCCCCAACCACAGGCTCCTCAGGTGCCTTACGATGGACGGAAGATGTTGTACGCACACCGTGTTTCAGTTATGGGTGACGTTGCGCTGAGCAGATGTTCGCAGGGATCTTGTCTTCATCCAAGACTGCACTGGAAGCCAGGGGAGCTATATCTCATCCGCGACGAAGAATATCGAGGAGATCTGCGCACACATCTTTGAATCCGGAAGACTGCAGTCGCGAGAAGATCTGAGGGTGGGCCTCGTCGCGTACCGGGACCACCCACCGCAAGATCATACCTACGTCACCAAGAACTTCGGCTTCTCGTCCGACATTAGCAAGGTCCACAAGGACTTGTCTTCGTTATATGCCAGCGGAGGTGGCGATGGGCCAGAAGCTGTCACTGCGGCAATGGCCGAGACGCTGAACATGGACTGGAGGGAACATGCGAGCAAGATGATCGTGCTCATAGCAGACGCGCCACCGCATGGGATCGGAGAGTATGGGGATGGTGAGACTTTGCAATGTCATGTTGCTCTTGCATCGCTCAAAGGTTTCCAAACTTGCAGGCTTTGAGAACGGCTCACCCGATGGTAACGATCCCCTGCAACTGGCACGAAGGATGGCCAACCTGGGAATTACGTTGGTAAGTCTGCCCCTAATAAGTGAGTCACCGTGCTGATCTCTGACCGGATCACAGTTCTTTGTAGCATGTGAACCCGCACTTAGTGGATACTCTGTGAGCTTGGCTTGTTGTTATCTGTGTCGTACCATTGCTGATCACGTTACGTAGTATGCAACGGACTTCTTCCAAGCAATCGTCAACATCACTTCGGGGCTCATGCTCCCGTTAACCACGGCTGACCTTCTGGCTCATGCCATCGTCGGCAGTGTTCTCGAGAACTTAGACATGGAACGATTGGTTCGGGAGGTCGGGCAGGCCGTGGCTGACCGAATATTGGGGAATAACGAAAGCGTCGACGACGTCGCTCGTGAACTCCACGAAAAGCTTCTCCTCCGGAACGAAAGCACGAAGAAAGTGGTCATTGAGAGCATCTACAAAGAGTCGGAGGAAGCGAAACACAATGTCAATGTGTTCATGCAGGCGCCTTCGTTGGCGGATGCAAGGCCCTTACTCCGGAAGGTATGTATCGCGTATTCCACCGCTCTCCAGGCTCATGAACCTTCCTTGCCTCCGACAGGTACCTGGGACGAGGTTTACGGACAAGTACTTGCAGGCACGACAATCGTCATCGCGTTCATATTACTCATATGCGCCAACAATACCGGCACGAACTCCTGTCTCCCCCAAGAAGGCGACAGTGGGTCCAACACCGTCTTCGCCGCCTTCTTCACCTCCTCGAAAGGTTGTATCGGATTTCGCTGCTTTCGGCGTGCCGAAAGCTGCCAGCGTCTTCGGCACCGCTGTAGCTAGCACGCCTTTCTCATTGGCCGGTGGCAAGGCCGCTTTCGGAGCGCCCCGGAACACGTCAGGGGCAGGATTCAGTTCCATGATGGACGATGATGATGACGAAGACGATGATGACGACGGACGGCAGAAAGTCGAGCTGCGCGAGGATTCCATTACGTTGGATCAGGTTAGTGTACTACTTGTGGCAAGGCTATCTCGAATGTCTGACGTGTTCAAACCCGCAGGCGCGGAGAATCGCGGTCCAGAGTGCATGGAGGAGTATTCGGTGAAGATTAACCCATATTCATTTTGTTTGGCATTCGATCATGAACTGGATCCCAATACATATTTGTTGGCTTAGGAATAGTTTACGTTAAAAAGTCGCATTGAACGCCCCAATCGACAACAGCAACATCTCAGATGTACGGCGTCATCCAACGCAATGTTGTGGTCTAGCTTTTCCAATGTACCCCCTAAAAAGCTGCAAATAAACGGTACGCGCGACAACCGGACCATCAAGATCGTTCATCGTCCTATCGAATGAGTCCATTACTTAACGATCAACAATTTGCGTGTCTCGTATACAATATAGGAATATGACTTAACACATCGTCGCGACAACGCTCTTGAAGCCAGCAAACAGCATGGTGAATGCTCGCATTCAGTAATCATCATGAAGCATCACTTTCCCATCGTCAGCAAGTCGTGGTGGTCTAGATCTGAACCTCTGATGTCCGGACCGACATTCTCAGGTTGCTGTCCAGTGTCAGGGGCTGTTGTGTTCTATCTTAGTCGTCACTGATTCTCGGTGACGTTACTTCTGAATCCCTTGATTTCTGACACTGATCATCAAGCAGTACGCACGAGGAAAACCACGTACCGTACTTGTTCCCGACCTCCATCATCCCTCACCAGGTACGAGAGACCTCGTCAAAACGATCAAGTCCTGTAACTTCCGACAAACATCGCGGCACTGTCAATCTGAAGCTCTATGGCTGCTTGCTTCGTGACTGTGCTCTATTGGCAATACCACGGAGTGATATGTTTCGCCCTGGATGAAATGCCCTACGTCGCGGCCCTCTATATGATGGCTTGGCCCTGCGAAACCCGACCCATTTTCCACACCTCGAGGTTCTTGTGAACGAATGGCACCAGACACTATAATGGCAAATGCCATTTCCAATCCTGCACGCCTCTAATCGCACCTTGCATGCTAGTGGACTAGGGGCGCGGAAAATAGCCAATTCCGTGACTTGGTCGATCCGAAATAGGTCCACATCTGACACGGATGGTGAAAAGGCGGGTGTACACCCATATGTTCATCGCCCTCAGGCACGCGCGGCCCTCTCTTTTACGCCGGGAGTTGGCGCTCTGGCTTCGTTATCGCGTAGGGTCGTACTATCCGGAGAGCCCCGATCACAATCGCACCGATCATCGTCGTTTGGCTCAGAGCCGACACGGTGTGTTCATAACTGCATCTCCCATCGCCGCATGCCCGCTCGTCATGCCCACGACTGCCGTCGGACACAGCTCTCTCCCGTAAGAGCTATGCCCTGCCTGGACCGCCCTCGTCAAAAATGTACGTTTGTACTGGTCCTCCTGCGAGATCGGACCTCCAACGCAGTCGGCCTTTGACAGCGAGCGCGAGGTACACTCGATGATGGACAGGTACGCTGGATGCTGCATTAAGTCCTCATGGTACGGCCCTTTGACTTCGAGATCGTCGGAGTGCAGCAGTCTCTATCAACCAGATGGTATATAACGAGACCCTCAAGGACCAAAGATCTCCAGCAAAGCAAACAGCTCCCGCATTCGCTAGCTACCACTCTCTCTTACTCTCAGCAAAGACCGATTACTCCCCACCCTATCTAATTGACAGCAATGGCCATGATCCTCACCACCCTCACTCTGGTTTTGACCGCCGCGGTTGCGAACGCCGCGAGCACCCCTGCCTCTCCGTTCTCCAGCCTGCACCGGCGCCAAGCCACGCAACAGGTCGCCGTTGCATGCGGTCCGCCCGCCAACAGCCAGCCCTGCGCCTGCCCCATCGACAACAACTACGACACCGGCGTGCTCATCAACTATTTCCCTGGCTACCAATGCGCCTACCCTGGTGGTGCTTGCACCTGGGGCGACAAGGTGAGCGTTCAAAGCCGACCTGAGACGCGATTGAGGCTGACGACGTCGAAAAATCAGGACGGTGTTCTGCAGAATATCCATCAGACGAACTGTCCCTCCGTCGCCGTCTGCCCCGACTCCGGCTGCGCATGCCCGATCGACAACAATGGTGACACCGGTGTCCTGATCAACGAGTTCACCGGCTACCAGTGCGCTTACGCCGGCGGTGCTTGCACCTGGGACTTCGTAAGTTCATGCTCTCCGCAATTCACTCGCATTAGCTCACGCTTCTCCTGTAGGATGGTGTCCTTCAGAACACCCACCAGACGAACTGTCCCACCCAGGAGAAGTGCGTCGCCCCCGCATAAGGAGTTTGTTCCCCTCCTACCCGGATAGTCGCACTCGGGCTTGGAAGAGTTACGCATCCATGTGCACGCCTCCGGACAATTATTTTCATTTCATTGAGGCGCTGTCATCTCTACACTCTTGGAATCTTATATTTACATAGGTACATACTTAATCGTTTTACTGGGTTTTGTGACTGCTCGGTGTAGAGGATAATCAAATTCACACGTGGCATGCGATCGCGAATTTGATATCGTGTTTTCCGCTTCAGCCACCTCTTCGGTCTTGGCTTCCACTCAGATTGTGGTCCTCGTGTTTTCGCTATCCTGCAATGCCTCTAGACGGACATGAGTACCTGGTTGCGCAAGGCTGGAAGGGAAAAGGCACAGCTCTACGGGAAGGAGCAATAAGTCGACCCATCGCCGTCACGCAGAAGAAAAACCTTGGTGGTGTGGGCAAGGACAGGGACGAGGCCTTCCCGTTCTGGGACCAGTGAGTCTGCGATCAGTACATTCGATGAGATTGCAGTGATGGATGCCAATTCGCATAGTTTGTTTGCGGCTGCGGCGTCTGCCATAACCTTGAAGGTGGACGACTCGGATGAGGATGCAGATGACTCCGTGAGCCCTTAACGAGGCGCAAAAGTCTTCCTATTTGCTCATCTCTCCACTACCGGATGCTAGTATAAAGCAGGACAATCTACACCACTCGAGTTTACGCGAACGAGCACCGGCATCCTTTCAAACCGACGTCCAGTATCGGGCACGCCGGCTTCCGCCTCCCTCGCCACCTCTGGCACATCGACTCCAGATGCGCATCCCGATACACCCCGGATGAGCCTCATGGCGACCGCCAAGCGCGAGGCTGCCAAGAGGGGACTCTACTCGAGATTTTTCCGCGGGCCGGTGTTGGGGCCGGAGACCGCGATGGAACCGACGATGCAAGTCGAGCAGGAGAAGCCGATCGCGATGGATGTGGAGATGGATCACAGCACGACGGTCATAGGACACGCGAAGGAGCCTGTGGCGAAGGAGCAGGGGCCTGACGAGGCGAAGCGGAAGAAGCGGAAGAGAGGCGGTGAAGACGGGAGTGGAAATGTTAGCGGATCGAATGAGGTGGTGGAATCGTCGGAGGGGAGAGAATGGAGACGAGAGGAGAAACCGTTGGGAAAGGATCAGAAGAAGGACGAGAAGGCAAGGCGGAAGGAAGAGAAACGGAGGAAGAAGGAGGCGAAGGCGCGCGCTAGCGCGCACGACGACGCTGAAACAGAGGATACCACCACACAGTCGATCCCTACCACCGCAGGGAGTAGAATCGGAGCAAGGGAAAACCAGGTTACGAGGGCGAAGGCGGCGAAAAGACGCAAACGAAATGATGCAGGAAAGACGGCGACGGATGAACGGACGGAGAAGGAGAAAGAGGAGAAACCATCAGAGAAGGGAAGGGTGGAGACGGATGACGACGAAAAAGAGGATCAGTTCGAGGCGAAGCGCGCGGAGAAGAACAGACGACGAGCAGAACGTGCAGCAAGGAAGGAAGTCAAGGCTGCTGCAAGAAAGGCCACGGAGGAGGAAAACCGCGCAGCACCAAAGCCAAAAAAGAAACGGAAGGTTGAATGAGCTACGTTGAGCTCCAGACTTGCTCCGTACGGTCGTATGCCCAATACAACGCATACGGCAAGGCACGTCACCAACACATCGCGCCGCCGCACACAACCCTGCCTCCTCCTGCGCGGCCATATCGGCTGGACCACATGTATTATCCAGCTCTCGAAGCCCCTACCGACACCGAAGCTAGATTGGTCCGGCCATAGGGTACCTTACCGCGCCTGCGAGCTTGCATGCAGTCGCGAAAGGTGTACGTATACGCCACGTTCGCTCGGTAACTGAACAACGCACTCTGGCGAGGTGCGGACTGTATGGTTTCAACAATGCTGCTGATCCCACTGTGTTGGTTCGTGCGACTCGTGTTATGTACTTCCTATAGCATGTTACCGCCATGATAAATCGCATCGTCGTCCAAATCTGATAGCTCCGTGGACAAGCCTATCAGTCGAGAGCGGATGTTGCTATGGTGTGAGTGCATTGGCATATGTACTGTTTCCCGATCACAACGTTGCGTACGACGTTCATACGTGCGTATCTGAGTTCAATCTGAGTGGCAATCAAGCCAAGTTGTGAGATGATCAGGCCGGAGGTATGCCTGGTGGCAGTGGACGTAAGATCAATCTTCCGAATGTTCTGCAGTTCTGAGCGCGCAAGCGGGTCGCAACCTGCAACCGACGACGCTCCGGCGTTTGTACATATTCCTCCTCTTCTCCCTCCTCGACACCACCGCGCCCCTCCGAACCAACGCGTCCTCCTCGTAGCGGCAGCGACGACCGCGTAGCAACCCAGCCATGGCCAACTTCCTGTTCGGGTCCGTACGCCCCCCTCGAGACTCGAGTGTCCCCGCGTTCCGCGATCTGACACGCGATCCTCTTCCCGATCGCGAACAGACGCAACCCACGGGGACGCGGAGCTGCCCCGCGCCGCTCGCCGACGCCGACGTCCGCGACGTTCTCGCCCGTCGACCAGATCGCGCCGCAGCCGCCGTCGCCAGGACCGGGCGCTGCCCCGGGCAGTAACAACAAGCCGCTCTACCTCTGCAGCCCGTTCGTTGAAGCCGCGCTCGTGAAAGGCAACTTCAAGACGATCGTGATGCTGCCCAAGTACGTCGACACCGCGGAATGGGTCGCCGTCAACGGTGCGTTGTTTTTTGCCCTGCCCGGATGAGTGCGGAGGATGTGCTGAACATCGCGCCATGTCTGTCCGCAGTGTTCGACTTTTACCAGAACATCAACATGTTCTACGGCGTCATCTCGGAATGCTGCACGCTGCAATCGTGTTCCACCATGTCCGCAGGACCCGGAAAGTACGCGCGCCATCACCCCCAATCCTGAGCCATGCACCTAGCTGACGCGCGCGCGTCCTTCCACCCAGCATGAACTACACCTGGATCAACGCCGACCGACGACCCGTGCAGCTCCCCGCGCCGACCTACATCGACTACGTGATGACCTGGGTCCAGAACCTGCTCGACGACCCGAACGTCTTCCCCGTCAAGTCCGGCGCGCCCTTCCCGCCCAACTTTGCGCAGACGGTCAAGCACGTGTACCGCCAGCTCCTCCGCGTCTTCGCCCACATCTACCACGCCCACTACCGCGAGATCCTCCACCTCCGCTCCGAGCCCCACTTCAACTCGCTCTTCGCCCATTTCTTGGCGTTCGGGCGCGAGTACGATCTCGTGGACGTGAAGGACCTCAAGGGAGATTTCAAGACGGGCACGATCGGTATCGGCGCGTTGTGGGAGAGGTGGAAGGATATGGGCATCTTGGAGGGGTGATTCTAGTCCGTGTCGCGAGATGGTCACAGTGAGGGGTATAAAACGCAGATGAGGGAAAGCTTGGTTAACAATTTTTTTTTTCGTGTTTGTATCATATTATCGCATTGCAAGGATTTTCGAATATCGTTTTCGCCCGAGGTGTCCGTGTCTCACATCCAATCGATCGGTAGATTGATTATAACATGACCAATAGTACATTACTGGCGAACACGAGCGGCCACACCGGTCGCAGCGAGTCTTACTATCTCCACGAGCCGGACGGGGACGCCTTGCTGGCGACGCCGCGGTTATGGCTGTACTTCGTCACGTAGTACCCTATCCCGTTCCAGTCCTTGGGCCGCTTCAGCCCCTCGTTCAGCTGCGTCCGCCGAGTGCGATTCCTCCGACCTCCATTATTATTGTTGTTGTTGTTGTTCGGGGCCGGGACGTCCGGCAGGACGAAGTCGGTGTCGGTCGGGAGGGGCGGGTACGTGGACGTGGACACGTCCGGTCCAAAGTCGTACACGAACGCCCGGCTCTGCGTCGCGCCGAACAGGCGAGAGCTTTCTAGGACGAGGCTGTAGACGGGCGAGGGGTCGTTGCCCGGGCCGTGGATGCTGAAGCCGTGCTTGCGCGATCCGTTCGGGGTGGCCGAGGAGGACGAGGGAGGGAGCGGGACGGTCGGGGAGGCGCGCACGTCCCAGAAGGAGACGACGGAGTGCCGGGCGGAGCCGGCGGCGATGTGCGACCCGGAGCCTCCCCCGGCGGCGACGCTGTAGATCGGCTCGGTCGACCACGGGTCGTAGAGCTTCATCACCGGCGTCAGCCCCGCGTGGTCCGAGCGCGAGGAGGCGCGGAGGTCGTGCACGCGCACGACGCCGTCGTACCAGCCCGAGACGACGATCGGGTCTGGCCCGCCCCATGGGAAGTGCGAGGGAGCGCGCGCGATGCCGTACACGGCGCTCTGCTGCGAGGTGACTTTGGTCCCGGCGCCGAGTATGGCGAGCGGCTCGCGCGAGAAGCCGGTGTCCGGGAGGAGGGCGTGCAGGACGAGCGGGGTTGGGGAGGAGGTGCCGAAGGCGGCGTACGGGGTCGATGCGGACATGTTGAGGTGCGAGGACCAGCCGCGCCCCGGGAGGTCGATCGTCGTGTACGGGAAGGATGGGAGCGGGATCGAGTCGGAGGAATCTGAGCATGAGGACGAGGCGGATGAGGGCAGAGAGGAGGCCAGAGATATGAACGTGCCCTGGCCGGACAGAGAGAGCGACAAGATGTCCGACGAGCACGAGCACAGGCTCTCGATCAGGTCGCCGGCGAAGACGTCGAGCGGGGTGCGACAATCCGCCGGGACGCCGAGCTCTTTTTCGTACTCGGGGGGTGATGGGAGCGTCACGAGCTCGAGCACGCCATCCTCGAAGCCGACGCAGAGCACGCTCTCGTCGCCACAATCTGAATCTGATACAAACGCAAGGCCGGTGACGTCCCGCCTGGGCGTGTCCGGCTCGCGAAGGTGGTACAGGCAATCGAAGCGCACGCGGGCGCCGGGGCCCTCGAACGCGTACGCGTAGACGTCGCTGCCTGCGGCGACGACGAGGCGCGAGGGTGAGATCGCCATGAGTGGCTGGAGCTTGCCGTGCCAGGGCTGCATGAGCGGGCGCGCGACGCAGGCTGCCTTCGCCCATGCGCGGTCGGTCTCGGCGTGGAAGCAGAGCTGGGCGAGAGGGTCTTTGGACCAGGATTCGCGCAAGGGTGAGAGGCTTGGTGCGTAGCGCTGGTGGGTCCGAGCATATTGGGCCCATCCGGACGAAGCGACCTGGGGACGATAGTTAGTCGCGACGACAAGGCTATCGAAGGTCCATATGCCCCAGACTAACGAGGTCGTGCAGATAGTGGCAGGTCAGCGATAGCACGAGCAGGTCGGTCAATTCTAGATGGTACATGATCAGCATCAACACGTCGCCAGGAAGGGGGGCCATGGTGGTTTACGGTGCCCGCACAGGGCTGGGGCCTTAAGTAGTCGTCGTGGTCAAAACGGCGGCGGCAGCGAGCATGAATCAGTTACCCACGGATTCCCACGGTCAAATAATGGATAAGCGCGATCAAATTCGCGCTGACTGTGATCGATTGATCTTTCTAGTGGCGGTCATGTCCGAGTCAGACGTGGAATCAGACGGCGGCTGCACCATCTGCGTCGTCGCCCGGTCGGTCGCCACCGCGCGCGAGCTCGTCCAACGTATGTGCTCGGCGCAACCCCACTCGTCGCCGTGATGTGTCACAGACGAACTCGCCGACCCAGGTCTACGCGCGCTCGCTAACCCCGAGGACGACCCCCTTCCGCCCGGACAGGAGACGCACATCCCATGGACGATACAGAACAAGTACTACACCGCCCAGGTTGCTTTCCGCCTCAAGAGTTTTGACGACTGGACGCCCGCGGACGTGCAGGGCGTCCCCGCGTTCGTGTACGTGTGGAACGGACCGGATGTGAGCGCTTTCTGCACCCTCGCACGGAGCGATGCTTACGCCCGATGGTCTTGGCAGAACTACAGGGACGACGTGAAGCTGCTCTCCGGGCAGGTGACCGCCGCCGTCGGGTGCGATCCCGAAGTGCAGCTCGCCGTGCGCCTCGCTCACGCGAGCGGCGATGAGACGCACGAGGGCGCGGACGACTTTTGCTCGTCGCACGGATTCGAGTACGTCGACGCGACGGGATCGGGCGGCTCAGATCCAGACGCGGACGCGTACGACGACACGGGTATGCATCCCATGCCCTCCTTGTTCCTATCCAACCAACGCCTAATCACATACACCACAGAACCGATCCCGTCGCTCCCCCGCGTGCTAGATGCGCTGAGCACCATCATGTGGCCGTCGATGGTCCAAGCGCCCGCCACGCTCGCCCGCAAGAGCCGCGGCGCGCACGACCTCTTCACCTGGGGCCGCTCCTCCTCGTCCGCCGACGACATCCGCGCCATCCTCGGCTCGACCTCCACGGATGCGCAGCGGCACGAGATGGAAGAGCTCGAGAGATGGTTGCAGGAAGACCTCGTCCACACGCCGACGGCGGAGAGCGTCACGCCCCATCATGTCGACATCACGGCGCCGCCCTCGGGCTTTGACGATGACTTTGGCGCCTTCATGGCCAGCGCGCCGTCGCAGCCCGGGATCGCCCAAGGCTCGCTGACGACGTCGCCAAAGCAGCTCGACGCCGCGCTCGCGTTCCCCTCGCACGACGCGGGACGCTCCCTCGCCGCGTCCGCGTCCGTGCTCTCGCTCGATTCCCACTACGATTTCGACGCCGCCGCCAACCGCTCGTCCGCGTCCGCGTCCGCCTCTCTCGCCCACTCGGATGCCGAGGAGGATGAGGACGACGAGGAGCCCTCCTTCTCGTATACCCAGATCCACGACACCTCTTTCGACGACCACGAGGACGAGGACGGCCTCCCGACGCGCGCAGAGATCGAAGCGACCTCCCGCAGGATCTTCGGCACCGGCTCTACGCCGCCCCCGGCCAACCCCTTCGCACCTTCCTCCCCGTCCGCCCGGCGCACGTCCGCGTCCGCGAACGTGCCCTCGGCCGAGTCCCCGAGCAAGACGACGACGTTCTCGACGAGCGTGATCCCCACCTGGACGCCGCCCGCACGGCCGGATCCGAGCTCGCCGCGCGAGCGCAAGATCTTCCGCGGCGTCTTTGGGGAGGACGGAGAGGACGGGTCGATACAGAGGACGGAGAGCGAGAGCTCGGAAGCGGGCGCGTTCGATTTGAACAGGGTATTCAGCGCGCTGCAGGGTATGAAGGAGGAGATCGGGATGATGGACGACGAGGACGAGCGGAGGCGGGCAGCGGCAAGGGTCGCGCTTGGCCTCGTTTATGGCCTGGAACGGGAGGGGGTGAGGGATGCTCAGGAGGAGATTTAGACATTCTGCTCTATTTTTCCAACTTCGTCTCATTGTGTTCTCTGCTTCGATTCGCCGCAATGTTCTCGTAGCATACGTCTCTATTGCTCTGGGCACTATCGAATACACAGATTTGCCTTAGTTGGCTGATCCCATGCCTGGATGACACCGTTGAATACTGCCATGGCAGTGAGATGCTGGTTTCTGCAGAATGATATCGTGACGCCACCCCATAGCGTGATTGCTCTGGAGCCGCTGCGACTCGAGTGAGCATTCCCTGCGACACCGTCTTCTGACAAAACAAAACCTACTCAATTAGGCGTCTGATTTTATCCCACTCAAGAAAGGGCTCTTCTTGTGGTCAACCATCCCCAACCTCCAGACATTGACCTTATCTTCTCCACCCGAGACGAGGTACGTGTCGCCCCCGAGATACTTGAATGCGACAAACGTCACGTGATTGTCGTGCCGGTAGACGGACTTCTGCATCGTTCTTCCCGTCCTCGCATTCCACACGCGAACTTTGCCATCGTTCGAGCCAGAGGCAAAGTAGTCGCGATGATTGGCGTATGCTACCGAGCGAACCGAACCGAAGCCACCCTTCAGGATGAGCGGCGTTGCCACATTGCTTGTGTACCAGATCCGGATCGTGCCATCCGCGGAGCCCGAGACAACATGTCCCCCGTCGGGTGAATATGCCACTGTTAGAACCGGAGCTGTGTGACCTGTCAGTTCCTGAACGGTTGCGCCTGATTCCACATTCCATATGCGGACGGTGCAGTCATCAGACCCGGAAGCGATCATATGGCGCGGATGAGAGGAGTATGCGACAGAACGGACACTTTTGGAGTGCCCGCTGAGGACGAGAGGACGACAAAGCGGCCCTTGTTGTTCAGGTCCTTCGAATGCGCCGTCGAAGAACCATACTTCTAATGTCTTGTCCCTCGAAGCAGTCACAACACGTCGACCATTGGGTGAGAGCGCAACACCGCAGATCTCATCTTTATGCCCAGATTCGATAAATCTCGACACGGCCCTCAACTGATGAGTTTTTCCCCACAATCCGATAGTCTTCCCTGAGCACGACGCTACTTCCCATGCACTTGCAGCGGGTTCCGGAGCGATCGAGATGCATTTGATCGGCTGATCATGCTTGGTCCATGTTGCTTCAGCGCCTGCATACGGGTCCCAGGTTCGTATTTTGTCGCCCGAGCCTGCGACGATTCGCCCATCGAGCGGGAAGGAAGCAAATGCATCTGTCCCAAACCGCTCAATCGTTGCTACAAGGCCTTGCAAAGTCGGTCGTTAACGATGACCGTCGTTGTGTACCAGAATAGACTCACCAATTCCGAAAACATTGCGGATCGGCACGATATCTAAGATTGTTTCGTGATCGTCCACTGTAGCAACAGCCAGGCGTTTGTCCAGCTCCAATCTTATCTGTGGCTCCTCAGTCTGGGGAAATGTGTGAAATAGGCTGAGAACCCGTAAACACGCCCTGATCGTCCGCTGTACGAGTCCTGTGGCATCGCTTCCCTGTCGTATTGCAGAATCGTTTGTCCGATTTACGATATCTGCGGCATTCTTCTCCTCTTGTATGGCCTCAAGCACGCGGAAAAGTGCTTCTGCTGCGCGAGGCACTTCGGCAAAGGACCGGTTACAGATACCTCCTGGGGGGGGCGTTGGTTCCTAACAGGAATTACTATAGAACGCAAGTTACCTGGTGCAGTCATTTCCACGAGTTCCTTGCGATGTGCTGCGGACGCCGCATTAAGCAAACATTTGCGGACGATTCCTTCTGCTTTGAGATAAGGATCTTCCTCCATCCGCCCACCTCGCTGGATCGCACCCATATCCCACAGGGTGTTATCTGTAAATTGGGCTCGAGGACGATATTTTTGTGGGTCGCAGAAGACAGATGCATGGATTAGTTGACCACTCATCACCGTACGAGGCGATGAGCAGTGAGGAGGCCTAGGCGGACGTCATTTGACATATTGGAGCGAGGATGCTGTGCGGCTCACCATCGCTTAGTGTTCTCAGGGTTCACATTTTCGGTATACGAAAGACGGGTGATAGGAAGATATTCAAGTATCTTCCATCGTCGATTCATAGGCCGGGTTGGTGGCAAGCTCTCCGAACTTGAAAGCCCGTTGTGGAATGGTATGCGAAGAACTATGCGAAGACCAGACAGCGTAGCTTCGTATGTCATCCACCGGAGTGCCGGTCCGTAGTTCTCAAGGTTTGCATTCGGGAGATTTCCGCCACCACTGTTGTTCCTTGTCAGCACGCACTTTACAATGATTCGTTGTCAAATAGGCTTACATGTCTGAATGAGAGCCAGCGAACCAAACTTCCTTGATATTGTTCTGGCCATCCAATGGTCCTTTCCCCCCATTTGCAAACTCCGGCAAGAACTTCACTCGAAGTTCATCCAGAGCCAGAGCGTGACGAAAGACGCAGACATGCGACATGCCTGTAGTGGTCTCTGGCAGACTCGGTCCTCGGATCCAGCCCACGGACGACACTGTATCCCTGCAAGTCCGGTGGTTACTATGCGTCATATGCTCAAATCGTGTCCTGCCATGACGTACCAGGCGCCGACAAAGTGAACCCTGGCACCGGACACGGAAAACGTGTCTTTGAAGAGGTCAGCGGGCGAGGATGCATGGTCCTGTTGCCTTGCTGATCCATTTGATTTCGCCGAACTCTTCCCGTTCTTTGGATTCGTCATGAACGGATTTTGCTTGTCGATTTTCTGACGTGATTCCGTCCCGAGTCTCTCATGCGTGGAGACCTCATCTTGATCCGGTACCGGCCCTCGTTCACGTTCTTCGCGGTCTCGTCCTCCACTCTGGGTGGATTTGACGTATAGACTGTACGCACTGCATACCCTGAATTATCAGGCTTGAAAAATCCGAATGTTGACTCACAAGTTTATCTGATCGATATTTCCCTTCTGCAGCAAGCCGACCTACGAAGGTATACGTTATTCTGCATTCTGCAATTGCCAGGAAGAGGATATCTCACTTTTTCAATCATCCCAGCGATGACGCGGGCTTGATACGCCCCTCGCGAAAACCCTGCACTCGAGAGTCGTACAAGGTTGATTTGGCAACGATCTTCTGGTGCTCACCGAACAGAAAGATCTTGTCACCGCGCTGGTAATTATCACTTAACCATCGATATGCATGATGCACGATTTCTTCAAAGCTCCTGCAGTAAAAAGGCGAAATATACGGGTGTTGTCAGTAACATAAAGGAGCAATGTGAACCGAGCATAACCATACGTGGCAATCGCCTGGTCCACGGCGCTGTCAACTGCTTGCTTCCAGTGCCGGAACGTGGATTTTCGGTCTTCCTTGACGTACGTGCCGATTCCACTACTGTAGTAAGCAAGCTGGGAATCATCTTTGACCAGTCTGCTGTAAAGTTCAACAATATTGGAACTCTAGAACCATATAATTAATGTTCATGACGACGAGACGCTAGTTTTGCGCTCACCTTTTCTCCGAATTGGTTGGCTGTGCCATCGAGGCAGACCACAAGATTTCTGCGTGTCTGAACACCTGGATGCGAACATTGACACGTTCCCGCTGGACCCGCTGGACCCATGAAACCCATGAAATCCGGTGGTGATGGTTCCAGTAGACCCGGTGGACCCGGTGGACTCCTGTCTTCCGCATCGGCGCTGTTTGAATCCCGGCCCGTATCGTGCTGGCGGTTGGGAACATCGCTCTGGCCTCTGGTCACGTCGTTCTGGCCTCGGCCTGCAGCGTCCCCGCCTGCGCCATGGTCATTTTTCAGATGTCCAATCACATCATCTCGATTTTCCCCTGTCTGGATATGAGCTTCGCCCCTGCCTCCATCGCCATCGGTGAGGCTTGTATCTATGCTGTGCTGCACCCCGCCGACACCGAGTTGAACGTTGCCCGAGACATTCTGGCCTCCTGAGTAGTGTCCGAGGAGATCTCCAATGAGATAATAGAGTTGCTTCACCAGGGATATTGCTACGCCCATGTTGCTCTAGTCCTCAAATCCGAGGCTCGACGCGTGATTATATAGTTGTCGATCCCATGTTGCCGCCGCACAATGTCCACACCATGGTCGTTTCCGGAGTTCAATGGTATGGAAGCGATACATAGAGGGGCAGTTCATAACCGGAAGTTGCTTGTATCGCTTGCCTGTTCTTGTTCGTGGTACATGAATATGCCCGTGCTTATAGGCCAGAGATAGCAGAACCTGCGCCCTTCCTGGGCGTCTACGTGAGATCCATATCAATGCAACCTATTCATGGCCTCATTTGGGCGCATCGCCTTCCCCACATAATACGGCCTATGTGCATGGTTCACCCATGCGCGCCTCGTGCTGGTCCCTGGGACTTCAACATGGGCAGCTTCCGACAGCTTGAGGGGTTTCGGCATGGGTTCTATGATTGAATTCGAAGACCAAAGCAATCCGGGTGGTGCCTGAATGCGCCACTCGAATGGTGGCGTAGAAGTCAGGATACGTGTGATGGGTGGGACATGTGAGTTGATGCACGGTCGCGGTGGTCATGGTGTATTACATACGCGCCTTGGCCCAAACCCATGCGCTTCCCTCGCGGTACTGGACACACTGTGTACGGACGCAGCCAGGGCAGATAGGTAGGTTGATATTGCTGCGCCTGTGCAGCAACGCTGACGGAGAAGGCCTTGCCTTAACCGCAGTTGAAGAGGGGCAGTGGACCAAATTTGGCTGTGCATGCGACCACCTTGAGTGAGGTACCGAGTGGGATTCTGCTGGTGCATCCATTCCAAGGATGCAGCTTCAGCGCCTTCAGAAGCTGCATATGAACTCACATGAGAGACTTTGTGCCGATATCTCCGCTGGACTCTGAAGGTCGTGGCCGTATGCATATGGGTTAGGACGATGCGAAGCGCCATCCATCGGTCCACTACATTTACAAGTAGGGCGTTGTGCTGCATTCGAAGGGTCTGATCTGATCGCAAGTGAATTTTACATGCTGGCTCATGTTAGCGAAGAGCCTCAAGGTGTTCGCAAAGTTCTCGTATTTCGCGCGGAGCGGATCGAGGGTGGGGCAACCCTCATAATTTCGACGGCGCACGTTGCAATACGGCGCGAACCCCGTTCTATATATTGTTCCAGAAACTGTGCAGCATGCAGGAGGATAATGCACGTCGTCTGGCAGACGCGCGTCAAAACGCCTTCTTGAAGTAGCCACGCCACACGTTCCAAGGTAGCTTCCAATGTCGCCGCTGCAGCGAGGGGTCGAAGGGATTGAAGTTCACGGCTTCCAGCCGCGAAAGGTACGAGGCGATAGGGACCTGCGCATGTATGCGTTAGCCTGCTTATCCGGGCTGAGCTCGAGAGCGAAACTCACGCCGCCAAGGAATAGTGGCATCGCCTCCTTCCTCGCCTGTGCGTCCGCGCGTCCAAACATATCCCGCGCCGCAAGCAGGTGGTCGTTCGCCGCGGTTGCAAACTCGAACACCGCGTCTTCCAAACCCTTCGCGGCAGGCCCGCGGCGGAACACGTCCTCCTGGCTTACGCCGTGACGCGCGGTAATCTCTGCCGGGATGACGGCGTGCTTCTTCGAGGCGTGGTAAGGCAGTGCGCGGAGGAGGACGGCGATGGTCTGCGCGGCGCCAAGGTGGGACGCGGCGTGCGCGAGGTCGTCGTTCGAGGAGAGCCGAAGGAGGGAGAGGAGGAGGTAGAAGAGCGTGGAGGAGGTCGCTTCCGCGTGAGAGGTGAGAGAGTCGAGCGTAAGGTGGGTCGGATTGTCAAGTTCGCTATCCTGCGCGGTGCGGTAAGCCTGGTGCTGTTATGAGCTACAAGAAGCCTGCGTACCCGAGCGTCAATTATCCGCTTGAGGTGGTACGGCGCGAGGTTGGCGCGTCGAGAGGCGTCATGCAACGCGAGTGCGATCGGATGTTGGGGTGGTCTGCCCTGATATCCGTCAGGTCAAGGAACATTTGATGCAAAGAGAACGACGAAGGCAGACCTCCGTGAGGTTCTTGACCGCATCGCGCCAGAACTGCATCCGCATCTTGCCTATCATCGGGTTGGACACGGCCTCTTGGACGTTGGCTAATTCTACCTGCATATACGCAGAAAATCAAAATACCGCCCCAATCGACGGCTTATGGAGACGCACAGAGAACGCTTTGAGGGCAAGGAAACCTTTTTGCGCCTCGCCGGGGTAAAACGGCGAGGTGAGATACCCCTCATAGTCATGTTTGCGCACATACTCCTCGCAGTAGGACGCAGGATCGTCGATCCCGCCTTTGGGGACAGCGCCAATGTTCGAGTGCACGCCCCGGGCACGTTCAATTATTTTGCTTGCAGCCGTTGCGCGTCTGCTGCGCGGAGCGATAGTCCGCGCGGCCGGGCGTTCCAGCATAGTATGAATGGCGAGAACAAGGCTTGGATGAGGTCGGTTGTACGCAATTGCTCGGCACCGTCGGCGCGGCACTTCGACGTCACGGACGCGCTCGAGCAAACTCCTCGTCCTTCATCCTGCGGGTTACTGGCCATGTCGCCGAGGCTCTCAGGCTTACAAAAGGAGGTGCTATCCCTATACAGAAGGTATGCAACGAACTGACTGCCATGTATATCTCGCACATTTTCATAGCCAACCATACAGAGCCCTTCGAATGGTCAGGACCAAGCCGCCGTCATCCCGCCCGAGGTTCAACCTGTTCGTGCGCTACACCTTCCACCAGAACGCAAAGTCGGTGACACCCCGAGATGTAAACACCATCGAGCACCTCATGCGTCGCGGGCGACGGCAGCTCGAAACGTACGAGGACCCGGGCGTCACCGACTGCTGGGTATCGCAGGAGATGCAGCAGTGGGACAAGAGCGGGCGTTCCACAGTTCCTCGCTAGGCTTTCTGCTGTCCAGGACGGGAGATCTATCGTCCTCCGGAGCACGCATACACACGTTGGCCGGAAGGCCATGACTCGCGTTCGACGTTGCTGTAACCAAACCTGTGCTTGCACTACAAGGGGCTGTGGGCACCCGCCTTCCTGGCCAATACGACGTGCCTTTGCCCACTTCCTTTGCCGCGATATCGACTCTTCGCTGTGCTTTAGCAGCAATGACTCGAGAGCTATGCCTGTTGGCTCGCATACTTCAACCCTTTCAAATCCCTCACCAGCGGTTACCACCGACCGCGTCACTTCCCTGATCCACAGTTATGGGTGGCAAAGCCTTCTCCCAGAGTCATCCTGAATTGCTATTCCCCAGAATACTCCCGGTGCACTACCAAGCCCTTCTCGCCTCCCTCCGGCCCCGTCTCGCGCGCATCTACAAGCTCGTCGGGACACCAGCCGAAGCCCCCGAGAAACCTGATCACGGCGACGTCGACTTCCTCGTCGCTGGCCCCATCAATGCCTCCACGCCCCCGACCCCGGAAGACGTGCGCGACCTGCTCGGCGCCGCACATTACCTCCCCATGCCAGAGAACCGGACCTCCAACTACGCCCTGCGCGCCGACTGGACCGCCGAGCGCGACGCGTTCTGCCAGGTCGACGTCCACGTCTGCGCGGACGAAGACGAGTTCCGGCGCATCCTCTTCTTCCATTCCTACGGCGATCTGGGTATGATCCTCGGCATCATCGCGCGCACCGTCGGCCTCGCCATGGGCACGTCCGGTCTCAAGGTTCGTGTCCTCCTTTCTCCCTTTCGTGACAATGCGCGTGACTAACTAACCCGTGGTCTCAGGCAAGCAACGCCGAAGCGCCTGCCACGCACCCGCGCTCCTTCCCGCTCTCGACGTCCTTCGACGCCATACTCCCCTTCTTCGGTCTCTCCCTCGACCGCTGGCGCGCCGGCTTCGCGACGCAGCGGGACGTGTTCGCCTGGATCGCCTCCTCCCGCTTCTTCGACCCGCGGCGCGTGCCGGACCCCGCCCACCGGCAAAAGGTGAAGCGCGAGCGCGCGATGTTCTACGCCTTCCAGGAGTGGGCGAAGCAACTTCGGGACAGCGGCGCATGGGTTGGCCGCCCGCCCCTGCCGGATGCGCAAGCCGTCGTGGAGGAAGCCCTCGACCGCTTTGGACGGCGCGAGGCTTACTACGCCGTCGTGCGCGATAACGAACGCCGGGCCAGGCTCAAGCAGACGTTCACAGGACACGTCACGGCGGACGTCCTCGGCATGGACGTCGCGCGCGACTGGAGGGAGGTCAAGCAGGTCATGGACGCGGTCAGGCAAGACATCGGGGAGGACGTATTGGCGACGATGGAGCAAAACGAGGTACGACAGGCGATCATCGCGGCCAGAGCGCGCATGGATTCTATTAGGAGATAGTTTTTCTACCGGTCCAGTACACTGTGAGAATTATTACACGCTAGGCTGCAGCGCCGTCGATGGTAAGCGTAGGACGCCGCTATGCAGGCTAGCACGGGCGTGTTGATATCGTAAGTAGTGTCCGTGCAGGGGCGTGAGTGGTCAGCGGTCACAAATGACGTGGGTTTTCGTATACAAAGATACGTGCGCGATCGAACGAAGGCAAAACGAAAGTGCAAATATAGCGCAAAGGACCACGAGTGTTCGAGCATTGTGCAGAGACGACGGGGAGGGAGGGCCCGGAGTTCACGCTCGAGTCTTGCGCTTCCTGCCCCGCACCTTATACTCGTCGTCCTCGCCGTCACTGTAATTCTGGTGTTCGGCGTCGGGGCCGTGCAGGGTCTGTCGCTTCGCTTGCTCGATCTTGCGCAGATCTCGAAGGCAGAGCGCCAGCGTCCTCATAAACTCGTTCTGCGTGACAGTCAGATCCGGCAGCTCCGTCAAATCAGCCAGCGCGACTCGCCTTCTGCATGCGGGGCTTGAATCCCGCCTCCTTCTCCAGCCGTTTTCGTTTCTCGTTGTACTAAAAAAAACACCGTCAGCATGCGTCACTAACCCCCTGCAAATCACTCGGACGCCCTCACCTTCTTCTGCTCCTCCTTTTGCAGGAGCGTCAAGTGCTTGACCCACTTCTGCAAGTGATCCTCCATCTTCCTGCTCTTCTTCGCCAGCGTCGTCCGCAGGTCCACGAAATCGTCCACCTCGAAACCGTCCAGCGTCTCGTCGTCCGACCCCGGCTCGGCGTACGACTTGATCGACGCTGCCGCGGACCGGCGCGGGCGCTTGCGCGCACTGCTACGACGGGGGGAGGAGACCGGGCTGCCGCTGGCCGCTGCGGCCGCCTCCGTGCCCGACTCGGCCTTGACCGTGGTTTGTTCCCGGGACGACGAGCCCCCGCCGTCCTCCGCGCGGAGGTAGTCCTCCTCGGAGAAAAAGAACTCGGCGCCGCGCTCGATTTGCACGAACAGTAGCGGATTCTGCGCAGACGCGGGTGTAAGCGTCACGGCGCAGAGAGTAGAAAAAAAGTAGAGAAAGAACAAAACAAGAAAGGCACGGGCTACGTACTACTTGCCGCCCCAGTCGGGCGAGGACCTTGAAGTGCTTGAGGGTGACGGGGAGCGCGTTGAGCCCAGGCGTGGTCGATGTGCCGATGTAGTGCTGCAACAACTGTGCATACCGTCAGCCAACGCTCGAACCCGTAGAAGGAAGCAGCGCGCTTACCGTCACGTTATTATTGACGATCGCATGCGTTAAAAAGGTCGCGACAACCGCACTTCGCATGTGGTACTGCTGCGTGACCCATTTGCCAACTTGGGTAGCGTCTGAACAGGAGCGCATATATTGATTACTTGTCCGGGCATACATGCATGCGAGGAAGGACATACCTGGAGGGTACCGCAGCTTGTTGTGTATATCCCCAAAGCTGTACTCCCAGAAGTACCGCCGTCGGCGCGACCGTTGGGGCTGGGCCTCGTCGGCGCGTATCATCACCGACAGCGTGTCCTGGCTGATCGTACCCTATCACGCGCACAAGCCCCTCGTCAACATCCGACCGAAACAGCGAAAACAACGTTGGCAGACGCACCAGATCATCCTCCCCGGCCGCGTCCTCCGGCTCCGGCTCGTTCCCGCCATCGAGGTACGCCGTGGCGAGGTTATCGACCTCGAGTATGCTCGCCGCGGCGCGCAGGGTCTCTTCCGAGGTCGACGGCGGCGCGCCCTCGCCCCCAAACATCCGTGGGGCGATGTAATCGCGGCAAAGGGGGGCGCGATATGCGCGGCACGCAGCCAAATCGTCGGTCGATGGGAGCTCTTCGACAGACAGTTGATACCGCTCGACGGCGGCCGACGCAAGTGCAGTGGAGAGGAACGGATACTGGTCTACGAGCCTCTTGAGCATCTTACCCTGTGCAGCGATGATATAAAAATATCAGCGATCGCGTTCTCAGCTTGCCACCTGGAGGACTCGCCTTGCTCCCTATCTCGAGGCACCTGATCGCGACCTCCTCCACAAGCTCGTCCATGTCTTCCTTCTTCCAATCAAGCAGCTGCTTGCCGAACTGAACGATGGCGGTGTACTTCTCCACGAACGGGCTGCACAGCACGTCGACGATGTCCTTCCGCGTGATCGGGAGCAGCCCGAGCTGCTCGAGCTTGAACTTGAAGTTGGCCGTGCCGACGTTCATGGTGTACGTGTCCGATAGGAAGACGGTGAGGAGTATCACCTGGCGCACGGTCGGGTCCGTCGAAGGGAAGTCGGCGTAGAGCGCGCGGATCACGGTGTGGATCACGGGCGAGGTGATCGATCGCGTGTTCAGGAAGAGCTTGAGCAGGTCTTCGACGAGGCCGGAGAGCTCGAAGCGGAGATCGCCCGACTTGTCGAGCTGTTTGAGCGCCTTATACGCGTGCTCGTTCACCGGCGCCTCCATGCAGACCTCGGCAGCCACGGTGCGGCTCAAAAACATGCTATCGGCCGTCGCTACACGTGAGCGCATATATGAGGTAGTATTGGCGTTGAAAGCTCACCACGGATCGAGCTTGCACAGGTCACGGACGTGGCCAGCTATATCATCTGCAAAGTTGCCGCTGGACTGCGGCGTCTCGACCCGCTTCTCGAACATCTTGCGGAATACGAAATCGCGATACTGTTGATTTTTTCGTTTTTTTTCCGGCCCATCATGAGTTCACCTACGATCGCAATGAGGTGAACACGAACGTACCTTGCTATCCAGCCGGAACCCGTTGGCCCGTGCTAAGGGCAGAAGGTTCGGCTCGATCGAGAGCGCGAGAGGGAACTGCGACATGAGCGGGTCCTGTCACGAACCGGGTTAGCCAAACAGGTCGACGGTCCGACATCAATACCAGTTTGCGGTACCTTATGCGCAAAGGGGATGAACTGCGAAAGGGGTTTCGCCGCCGTTAACTCGAATGCCAAGTAAAGATGGACGAGCAGCCAACGAACCTTGTACTTCTCCAAGATATCCCTAATATCTTCCGCCGCCACGCTCCTCGATTCGGGTGTGAACCTATGACATGCGCATGAGTCCTCACGTGAGATCCGGGGAGTAAGGCCATGGGAAAGAAGAGGGGATACAGGGACAAAAACAGGGGGAAGAGGGGGGAAGTGCCACGCACCGGCTCTCTTTGATGAAGTTGATAAAGATATTGCCGTCGTGCTCGTGAGGCTTCTGGACGGGGATGTCGCCGTATAGACGGGCGGCGACGACGTTGAGGTGCGCCCAGTGCGGGAAGGGCATGGTGCGGACCCAATTGGACTTGATGAAGGACACGGCGGTGCGGTAATAGTGGTGCGTGGCGAGCTGGATCATGTACCGAGACAGGAGCGCGCCGCTCGAGAGCATAACCTAAATGAAGACGACGGCGTGCATGAGCTTTCCGGGCGTGGAATGTTCAGGGGTGTGTGGCGTGAGGCGGTGTGGCTATATGCGCCGCAAAGGAGGGGGGGAGGGCGAGGATGGGAAGAGAAAGAGCGGGAGACGCACATCAATCACGGCCGGGGTGAGGATCCTCCCGCGGCTGAAGGCGTAATAGAAGGCCTGGATGCGTCCGTAGCGCGAGAGGAAGTAGGACGCTCGGATCCAGGGGTCTTGCGAAAAGGTGAGGTAGCGCCGCGAGCAGGCGATGAGCGGCGTCGGGTCGTCGAGCTCGAAGAAGACGAGCTGCAAGATCTCATCTGGAAAGGCCGCGTCAGTCGTCGCCGCGTGCGGGGATACGATGAGCGCTGCGTGGGGCGACGTACTGCAGAGCCGATCCATGGCGGCGGTCGCAGATGATCGTTCAAGTCGACGAGAGAACTGAGATGTGCGCGCGGGTCGTCGTCGGGGGAGGCGGGATGGCGGGCAGGCGGGGGCGGGGACGGCGGGAGAGAGAGGCGGGTGGGAGGGGGCTGGAAGAGTTGCTACGCCCCGTTTTGACCGCAGTGACAGGCCAGGAGGGAACACCGGCGTCGGACTCGGAGGCGTTTCTTTCAGACGCTCGCCAGAGACCCACGCAGGCCACTGCCGTCACGTGCCATGGCCCCCGCGCCTTGGGTCTCCGGGGGCGCAACGGCCGCGGTCAGATCTCCGATCGAGATCTTCCGCCGGTCCCTTGGGTGACGGACTTCTTTCGGTGTTCAGTATCGCTCCTCCGAACCTCGACCTCTTCACGAAATCTACTCTGGCGTCCTGGTGTGCTCGGCCCTATGCGTACGATAGCTGAAGTGGAGGATACTCGGTGTGACGCGCGGCGGGCTAAGTATATCGGCCCACATGCCTTCCGATGGCGCCGTGGCGATCGCCGTGATCTACGTAGGTTGCAACTGAGGGTGGCTTGCCTCTGTGGCCTGAGGTCGAAGCCTCCCCACCGTCGCGCTAGGATGGGCCTCTCGGGCTTGCCAGATGCGCTCGATGCTCTTACTCCTTCTGCGTGCCTCGTCGGATGATCCGCCGCCGTCATGTTAAGTTGCATACTCACGGCATCATGCAGATGGCCCTGCTGGCGCAGCCAACAGCACGCCCTGGGATTATCAGACGAATCGAAATACGCGTTACTCGTACGCACGCTACAACACACTCGGCTGTATACAAGCGGCGGGCAACTCGGTCTTACATCGGAGCCCGTAGCCTTCGTCGTCGCACTCGGACGCGTATCTAGCACTATGACGATGCCCAACGTTAACGGAAGTCGCCCCCCTCGGATCCACGGAGATGATCCACTGAACCTTTCTCGACACGTACGCCATCGGCCAGGCCCATTTACGCTACGAGCACTCAGGCTGCCATATGCGAGCTGGACGACGACGTCAAATAACGTGGTGTGGGTGAGACATGACCCATCTATGTATGTAAAGGGGGACCGCCGAAACTCCCGGTGATTGCTACCTCCCCCACTCTTCGTTCACGCTGATCAACTGGAACGACAAACGCCGAGTGCCGAGTGCCGCTCTCATTCGCCGTCGATGGGGCGCTCGCGATGAGCCATGCCATCGTCTTCCTCGCCGTCTTGTCTGCGCCAGGGGCCCGGACGAAATTAAACTTTTGACGACAAACTCCCGAAAAGGGCAGCGACACCGCCACTTATGTAAGAAGCAAGGAACATCTTTTCCATATCGGGACGACGCGGTCTGGTGAGCTTTGCAGACTGGCAATGGCATTGGACTCTGGAGAGGTTAAAGAGCGCGACGGCTTCGAATCGACTGAGGACTGCTTGCAAGAACCCGACGCTGGCTATGGCGCGAGGAGCGATGCGGATGTATCTATTGAACTCACGAATGCATGCACGAGCATTGGCCCCGCTACCTATGTAGATACGTGATTCGGCTCGATATAACTGCGATGTGCTGTGTATTCTCCAGCAGCACTTGTACAAATTTCTCCGCCTGAGGACACTAAAGCGGCGTGAATGGGAGGGTGATACCTCGCGGGAGAACACTCCTCGGGTGGGAGTGCAGGGATGCCACGAGTGAAAAATGACCTCAGCTGCGCAGCTACATTCTCCCATATACAACACCACACACTTTGGGCAACCTATGTACCCTACCACCGCACGATCTCGTCTATCCCGTCTTCAAGATTCCACCCCTCCTCGAAGTCGAGCCCTGACGCGTCCAGGCGGCACTTGGAGAAAGCCGCCGATATGAGCACAGCCACTGCGGTGCTGACATCATTCTGGGCGCCGTATAACCAACCGCTGCCCCCGGTCGCCCCGACAGCTAGCAGCACTACCCAGTCTCTTCCCCGCTCGTCGCGCACGTTCACCTCTGCACGCACTTACACGACCCGAGATACGAGATACGAGATACGATGGCGCCCAAATCGCCCGAGCAAGAGGCGGAGGTGTTGAAGCAGTTTCGCGAAGAGTGCATCCGCGACGGCGTCATACCCGAGGAGAGCGAGATGAACGACGACTTCGTGTTGACGTGCGTGTTTCTCCAACGATGTTTTTTTTTTGGTTGCATGATTTCGCCGACCGACGAGATAGTCGATTTCTGCGCGCGCGGCAATATAACATCCCCAAAGCCAAAGCCATGCTCAAGAACTGCCGCGAATGGCGTCAAACCGTGGGCGGCAAGGGCATCGACGACCTCTACCGCCGCATGGACCCCTTCGACGTACGTCCGCACCCTTACTGCCGCTCCCGCGAACCACGATCCCGACCCCGTTTTCCTTTGCCCTTTATCACGGGCAACAAACAGTACCCCGAACGCGCAGACGTGTTCAAACACTGGCCGCTCTGGTTCCACAAAGTCGACAAGAAAGGCCGGCCCGTGAACGTGCATCGGTTCGGCGGCGTGAACGTCTCGGAGCTCTACAAGGCCGTCTCGCCCGACCGCCTCCTCGACTCGCTCTACGTCAACTGCGAATCGCTCACGCGCGAGATCCTTCCCGCGTGCTCCAACCTCGCGCAGCGCCAGATCGGCACCGTCCTCGTCATCGTCGACTTGAAGGGCTTCAGCATCGGCCAATTCTGGCAAATACGCGACCTCGCCCAGAAATCGTTCCAGATATCGCAGGACTACTACCCCGAAACGTAAGAACCGCCCCGCCCTCCGTTCCTTCCTTATCAGACGATTACCTCCTCATCACGCGCAGTATGGGCCAAGTCAAGATCATCAACGCGCCCTCCTCCTTCACCGCCATGTGGGCCGTCATGAAGCCCTGGCTCGCGAAGGAGACGGTGGACAAGATCGACGTGCTCGGCTCGGACTACCAGCGCGAGCTGCTCGCCGTCGTCGACGCCGACAACCTCCCCGCCTCCCTCGGCGGCAACTGCACGTGCGACGACTGCGGCGGCTGCGCGTTCAGCAGCGCCGGGCCGTGGATGGCGGGACGGAAGGAGAGGCGCGAGAAGTGGTTGAAGGGGGAGAGGGCGAGCATCGCGCTGGGGATGGACGAGCGGCCGGCGGATGTGGAGGGGAAGGAGCTCGTGATCGAGAAGGCGAAGGAGGCGAACGACGATGCACAGGCGCAGCCGAATGGTGACGCGCATGCGCTCCAGGCGGGAGGCGGCGTCACGCCCGGGAAGGAGGACGAGCCGGAGTTTGTAGAGATCAATAAGGAGGACGTGCCAGCAGACGCGTCGCCCAAGGAAACGCGGGCCCAGCAAGGTGCTGCCGCGTCGTCACAAGAGTCCACGCAGCCCGAGGGGCCAGAAGGCGCGGAGACTAAACCCCAGGCAGACGAGGACGAGTCTCCCGCAGAAGCCGCCGCGCGTCGCGCCGCCCTCGGCCTCGCCGCACCCGTCCAGGGCCAGGATGAGCACGCAGACCCCGAAAGCAGCAAGCCCGGAACTCCCGCCGAAGTCTCTGGGAAGGTCTACAAGGCCTCTGCCGCCGCCGACTTCCGCGAGGCCGTCGTCGGCGATGACGTATCGCCCTCTGAGGCGCCAGGTATACCTTCGCAGGACGCGTCGGGCGAGCCTACGACATCGGCGAACGGCGTCCTCCCGCCCGGCCTCGAACCCTCCGCGCCGTCGTCTGCCACGCAACCGCATGTCGTCACCGCCCCGCCGGCCACGAAGCAGGCGATCGCTGGCGACCGCGAGCGCTCGCCCAGCCCGAGCGCGCTGGACACCACCGCGACGAACATGGCGCCCCCGGCGAAGGACTCCGACGCTGCATCCAAGCGGAGCGCCAAGGGGTCGGTCGCCTCCCGCGCGAGCAGGAAGACGAAGAGCCGGATATCAACCTTCGTCTCGCGCATCATGCACCCGCGCCATGCGCAGGGTATGCCGAGTTAGTTGACCCTCAATGGCGCAAATTGCCTCGCGTCAGCGCCTCGATACACGTCCATTTTTGGTAGAGAAAGGAAAGGAAGGTCATAAAACGCAGCATCGTCTTGGAATGTATCAATAGCCACGGGTTAATAATGCAATACCCTAATGTACACCAGTCCGTCCCTAGCGCCGCCGTCGTTACCGAGTACCGTTCAGAAGGTGGGGATGAAATCTTGTATCCTGTCCCGCGCGTTCTGGGCTATGCACTCGGCGATCCAGGTGATGCTCCGGATCTCCTGCTCCTTGAGTTTGACGTACGCGTAGAAGACGGCGTGCTGGAACTGCTGCAGGAACGCCTTCTTGTTGAGCTCGACCTCGGTCGCGAAGAACCGGTCCTCGAGCTGCGCCGCGAGCGCCGACGCGTCCGCGTCCCCGTTCGCCTGCCCCGGGCCGCCGGTGGCGTCGAACAGCGCGCGGTACTCCTGCACGCCCTCGCACGCCTGGCGGACCTGGTCGAGCTCGTCCGCCTTCGCGAGCGCGTTGTTGCCCGCGGGGAAGAGCCGGCCGATCGTGGGGAAGAGGCGCGCGCGCTGCTCCTTGCTGAGCTCGGTTCCGAACGAGTTGACGGTGATGTTGATCGAGCGCCGGTCGGCCTCGAACGCGAGGATGGCGTGCATCGCGTCCGCGGTCGGCCCTCCGAGTGAGGACGCGAAGGCGTCAAAGTCCTCGAGGTAGGCCTTGTAGAGCGTGTTGCGGATGATCTCGATGTTGAGGTCGTCGAGGTCGGCGGCGGAGAGGCATTCACGGAAATACGGAGCTATGGGGATAATAAAACGTGAGTTGTAAGTTGTTGTGCGCATAAGAGGGACCACGGACCGAGCGGGGTTTCGACGAGGACGGTGTGGTAAAGCTCTTCTACGTTCGTCGCGACGCAAAGGGCGGGCATGGTATCGAACACGCCGAGTGGGTGACACCGCTCCAAAAGCTCATGCGTGTCCCGCTCGTGTAGGGTGCCGGTGATGAGCAGTATGACATTGTCGATCATATACCCGTACCTAAAGGCCGAATGGATAGGTTCAGCGTCCGACAGTAGTACATAGTATTCCTCGGCAACGTACGTGATATAGTCAAGGAATTTGCTCAGCGGTTCCACCGAATTGCTCCGCAAGTAGTTGAACTGGTCGACGAGGACTTGCGTCGCCTTGTCGGCGATGGTCGACGTTGAGATGGGTGAGGGCTCGTTCGCGAGGAAGTTGCCGTAGTCCGTCGCGGACAATTGCATGCGAAAGTCTGTGAACGCGTGCTCAGCACCTAGCTACACATACATGTAATTGTTTACACGCACCATCGAGCGTCTCGCATTGGGTTAGGTTGGCATACTGCGGCTGCGTGAGGAGGCCGGCCTTGTAGCCGCGAACAATTCCCTCGAGGAAACCTGCGGACGACTGGCGAGCAAGCATTCAGTTGGCGCATATCCTCTCGTCAAGTCAACAGTTGGCGCACGTTGAAGAACAAGCCCTCCATGAATTATTTGGCAGAGGACGTCGAAGTGAGTGCCAGACCAGCGGTGGCGCTGCGCCCGGAAGCGGAGCACGGCTTGCTCGAGTCTTCCTCCTCCCGCCATGCTCCCTGCCGCAGCTCGCGTTGCCCGACGGCCACAGGGGCTCCTCAGGACAGCAACCGGAGGGCGCACATTTGCATCGCACGTCCCTTCCGTCTCCACCCAAACTTCCAGTGTGCCCGGCCGCCGCGCCGCACCGAACAGCGACGGCTCCGCGCCGGTCGGTGCGAAGGAAGGCGCGCTGCGCCCTCACCTGGGGATTCAGGTCAACCCCGACCACGGGCTATACGCGTTCTTTCGCAAGCGACATGATTCATCGACGGGCGCGGTTGTGTATGACACCATCGAGGGCAACGCGGTGGACGTGGCCATCACTGGTAAGGCTTCCGACGTTTGCTGCGACGTACCTTCGGCGACGGATTTCTAATGTGGACCGTAGGCAGGTCGTGGACCGCAAAGGAGCTCCGCCTAAAGAGCTTTCAAGACCTCCATACGCTGTGGTACATCTTACTCCGGGAGCGCAATCTTCTCGCAACCCAGAAGGAGGAATGCAGACGGCTCCGCATCGACCCTAGTTCCATCAACGTCTCCGCAAAGGCCGCTCTGGTTCGTGCATCGATGCTCGCTCTCACTGTTATATCATACTTATGGTGATTCGATTGCACAGTGCCGCAAATCCATGGCCCGCATAAAATATGTTCTCAACGAGCGGCGCCTCGCCTATCTTACCGCCGACAAGATGCAGAGGGCAGAGGAGAAAAAGCCCGCCGAGGAGGCTAGACAGGCCTCTGCGCGAGAATTACACCGTCGCCAGCGCGAAAGCGCGCGAGCATCCCGGCAAAAGTACCTCGTCACCTTATTGGAGCAGAAACAGGCCGAGGAGGCGCGCAAGGCCGCCGGCACTAAGGCATCTGCCGGTGAAAAGGCCAGCGTCGCCGTAGAGGGCCAGGCGAAAGAGACGGCGGAGGCCGCAGAGCCTGAAGTGGCCCTGTCTCAGGCAGACAGAGAAGCGCTGGAACTGCTCGCGAAACGCAAGCAGGCGAGGGAGGAGAAGGAGGCTAGGGAGGCCGCAAAAGCCAAGGCCGCGAAGGAGCAGGAGGAGCTTGAGCGCGTGCAGAGGCAGCCAGCTGGGCTGGCCAGCGCAGGATTATTCGGCGATGCGGACAAGCCTGGCAAGTCGAGCTAAGACTCTCGCTCGGTGGATCATCTCGAGGTGCATGGTTCAGAGAGGGGATCTGCATAACCTATATATAATGAATAATGCTAGATGTTCAACCACACAACGTCGTCGAATTGAGGCATACATAGGAGATATCTTGCATCACCGTTTCCTAGGTATCCCGGAGACCTTCTTTCCCTTCCACGTCCCAGCTGTCGGAGGTGCCGCGGTAGGCCTGGCTGTCTGTACGCGCTCCTGCGCGCGCTCTGTCGTCGTGCGCGCGAACCCGCCCTCCAAGTCCAGCACAATCGGCCCATCCTGCCTCTGAACTTCCCGCTGCACCTGCTGAAACCGCATCGCCCACCAGCCCCTCTCCTCCCGCTCGAGGTCGCGGGCCTCGCCCCCGCGCCCGGCCAAGATCTCGTCCATCTGCAGCGACGGACTCTTTGGCACTGGCAGCCCAGCGGCGAGCAGCGATACGACGGACAACTTCGTGTCCGCCTCGACGTCAACGCTCGGCCCATGTGCGAGGTACTTGCCCGAATGCGAGGGAAAAGAGAGCGAGCGGACCGTGTAGCGCGCCGAAGACTGGAGGCTGTCCAGCCACTGTTTGCTCGAGGGCTCGGTCGAGACGTCGAGGCGGAGTTGTACAATCGAGGATCCGTCGCCGAGAGATCCCGTCGCGAAATCGTCGGGTTGAACGAGCAGGACATCCAAATCGATCACTGTGGTGCAATCCATCAGCTATCAGTCCAAGCTACCTCAAGTTCCACTCACAACGACGATCTTCCTGCGACTGCTCCGCGCTCAATATTCGACTGATGCCCACCGCGTGGTGCAGATGCCACTTCTCCGAATCAGAGGCATCTCCAGCAGGCACCGCGATGACCAGCAGATCCATGAAGACCAACAAATGGACCGCTTCCTTCGACGAATCCGCGGCGGAGTCATATCTCGGCTCCATTCGCCGGGTCGCAAGAATGTTCTCCGCTGCTTTCCAGCGATCGGAGTATGAAGACGAGAACGCTGAGTGCGCATGCGAATCGTATGATTCGAAGGAGCTCGACGCCTTCGGCCCATCAGCCAGCAGCCTCGCCGTTCCGCGAGCCAACAACCGACGTTCGCGGCGCGCGAGCTGTACCGCCGGCGGCAAATCGAGGATACGACGCGACGCATCTTTGATCTCTTCGTACTCTCGCTCTCGGCGCATCACCTCTAGCATGACGTGAATAATCATTTCGGTGGCATGCAGGACGGAAAGTGTCGACAAGCGATCTGGATGCTCCCGCGGGGTAAACTCTAGGAGTTGCTGAGCCGCAGCAGTTTTGTGAGTGAGACGCCCGCCATATAAGCAGCAACATGGGCTTACTCGGAAAAGTTGCGGGTACTCCATCAGCCTTTCAGCCGGTTGGATTAGAGCGTCCTCCAAGCTCCATCTATCGCCACCATCGGAGTCCTCTTGCATGCGCACGAACTCGCCGAAATGGCTTTGGGAGCTGCGCCTGAGCGTTCGGATGGTCTCTACTGCATGCTGAACTTTCACGATATAGGCTTGGTACACTTCCAATTCCGGGATGAACGGCACCCAATGCTCCGCGAATCGCTCGACGGCTGTACCTTGCCTGGTCTGCAGCCCTCTGAGTCGATCCCAGAGGTTAAAATGCACATTGGCGATGTCGTCTAGCCAATCGAAAAGACGACCGAGCTCGTCGGGCACACCTTCGATCCACTCGTTGACGTCCTGCCGGCGAAGAGGCTGTATAAAGGTACGTATGATGAAACGTAGACGCTTGACGAATGCGTGCTCGGTTTCGCGGACGTGGCGTATGTGCGATTGCCGTCTAGCTTCGATATCCTCGTGCCTGTTGTTTGATACAGCTTGCGCGTCAGAGAACGCGGGTCGGCGAACGTCTGCACGATCGGCAGGAGCAGGCGACGTGGCCATCTCGCGTGTCCCAACCATTGTGGATACACCAACACCGGCAGCTGGTGGACTCGGTTCCTTTCTGCGTAAAGGAATGGCAGGGCCTCGAGTGTTCTGTAGGTATGACGCTCGTCAACCACCAAATGCATCGGGCCTATACTGCTCACATACCCATTCCTCACGTCGGTCACGACCGTCAGAAAATTCGTCATGGTAAGAGGATGCCGTTTTGGACCTCTGGTGTGAGGTGCCCCTACCCCCTCGCGACGGAGCAGGGTGCTCCTCGTTCCGTGCCTGTACCCGCTTAAGAAGGGCCTCGGCACCCATACTCAAGGCTTGTTGGATGTCGTCCAGCCTTCCTGTCTCATAACCGCTGTACACAGAAGACCGAGTGCTCTGCGCTTGAGCCTCGATATAGCCGCCACCCTCGCCGACGAGCGATTCCGAGGCTTGCAACAGTGACCTATCGGTTGCTTCGTCTCTATTCTCTTGCTGGGCGGCTGTATTCGTCTGAGGCGAGGGGAAGTGCTCCTCACTGCCCACTGAATATTCGCTAATAGATGATCTCCGAGAACTGGTCGGTGGTGCATCTGAGGCGTTAGATTGTGTTCTGCAGGCACGTGTGTAGTCGCTTTGAACATCACCCAGGGTGAGCGGTACAGCTGGCGTCGGAGGGTTGTCTGATTTTGTGCGAGGAGGCATTACCGGTGTCGATGCCATTCGCATGTGATTCGGGCGGCTTGCCTGGCTGTGAGACGCTGGCCTCGCGCTGATCCTCGTATTGTCCTCTTGGAGTCTCGTGTATCGACGAAAATCCTCCCGTGCCGAGTGCTGCAGATAGTCACTATTGTCCTTCTCGCCGGAAGTGGGAGAGAACGACGATTGGTAGCTCTCTTGGGCTTGCTCCGCATTGTAATCCACCGTTGGGGGAACTTCTCGCTTAGCGGATTCCAGAGAATCGCTGACAGCGAGGCCCACGGCATCTTTGGTTTCTGTATGTGCGTCGCCGCCGTGTCGCCCTTGGTTGACAGGCGATATAGAGGGCGGATCAAGCTGCAGGCAATCGACCAGGTCAACCAGAGTCTCCCTTCTCCTCCGTCTTGCTTCGCTTTCACAGTCGCGATCGTTTTTATGAGGCTCAAGGTGATGATCCCTGTACCTGCGTGCCTGAGGTTCAGGTGGACGGCCATGATATCTGTCTTCCTGCTCTACGTGACGGTCGTCCGTAGGGTGGTGCTGCGTGTTGACCTCTGTAGGGTGCTCTTGATCCATGGACCACAGACTATCATGGTCGTATATGCTTGCTCCCTCGCTCTCCTGAGTGTCCTCGTCCGTCCAGTATTGTTCTTCTCCCCTGGATCTACCTTGAGTCCTTCCAAGAGGTACCCTCAAACCCAGGCCAGTCGGCGTTTTCTGTACCTTCGTCGGCGTGCGATCTGTGATTCGAGGCAGCCTCGACGCCGCATAACGGTTACTCCTCGTGGAATCCTCCTCGCTCTCCGACGAAGACGGGTATATCTGCGCGTTGGTGACAAATAGATTGCGACGCTGGTTTCTGTCGAGCTCCGCTTCGTACTCTGCCGAGGAGGAATAATCGCCACTGTTGTCCTGCAATCGTATCTGGGACTGATGGGCAGTGGTCTTTACGGACGGCGACGCGAAAGCGCTCGAGGACGGTTGTGGAGTGAGAGGTGACGCGACAGCTGACCGTCCTAGTCTAATCCGTGATGATGATTCTGCACCTGCCACCGAGCGACTGCGAGGTCGCTGGCTCCCTTCCTTGACATCAAGGTCAGCCCTGGCGGCCATCATGAGGAATGACGTGCCCTCACCTTTGATTTTGCGGAGGGTATGCGCGATCGCTCTTGTTCGGGAGGTCGTACGGAGCGAGTCCGCGGGCTGAGGGCTACGGTAGTTGTCCGCTTCAGGGATGTGACAGGAGATGAGATCCCATCCGGGGCTCGGGATGGCGTGGGACGCTCGGGAAGCCGCAGAGCTGACTTCGGGGTCGATGGCGATCTCTCTGCTTGGATAGACGGCGAAGGCCGTTGGGGGCTGAATCTAGGATCGTGTGAAGTTGTCGGGGTGGTAAGCCGCTGTGCGTCGGTGTAGCGCGTAGGATCGTATGACGGCAAAGATGGGCCCATGTTACGTCCGCTCTGGGTACCGGAATCCTGCCGCGACGGAGGTATGTGCGGAGAACCGTGACCGTGCGGTGCGGCGCGAGGGATACTTGACTGGGTCATGCGACCAATCGTGTCGTTGAGAGAGGGTAGGAGGTTCGTCTCCAATAGATCCACCTTGCTCTTGCGCTTATCGGCCCTGCTAGGCGTTCCGGTGTCGAAACTCTGCTGCGAATTAATCGATAACGCGTCATCTGCAGCCCTAGCCCAGGGACGAGGCGACCGGGATGGTTGATCTTCGTAAGCCTGAGGTGAACGTATTTCAGTCCGAGGGCTAGCCGCGGGAGAGTGCAGGAGCGAGTCTAAGGCGCGGAGGCCCGCGTCGGAGAATCCTTTGGCAAGAGGATACTGCACTGAGGCGGCGGCGGCATAATACGACGGAGGATGAAACGCGGGCTTATTCGACGCGTTCGAGAACGGGGATGGGGGTGGCGCAGGAGAACGGGATTTGCTTCGGCTGATGTTGGGGCTTCGAAAGGATGACATGGAGCATACAGGATGCAGCAAGGCGGCGAAAGAACCGTCGCAGAATACGAAGTAGTCGTTCTGGAAGCAATGCTGGCAACAAGAGCACAAATCGGGCGAACCAACACCTTGGACATCCTCTGTCAACCATAACGCCTGTCAGAATCCTCTTTCCAAATGTGTCCAAATCGACTCGCACCGGTGCTTCCGTCATATGCGCTCCTACTCGTACAAAGTCACCGTGTATTACCCGCAGATGATACCCAACATCGGCCTAGAACGTTAGAGGCCTTCGGGGAGCAGTGCCTACGCATGTACTGCGAGTTCATGGCACAAGACGACCAGGCCATGAGGTGCAAGAAGTCCGCGGGGCATAGACCGCGAGCGATTGTCAGCAAGGGTTATATCGTGCACAGTTCAGCAATTCAATGCCAGTGGCTTGCTGCGCTGGTTTGCAAACAGCGGCAGGGAGTTTCTCAAGTGTGGTGATGGATTGACATAGATATTGCTGGCATTGAAAAGTCACATGAAGCACTGCCAGTACCCGCCAGGTGTGTACGGGCTTCAGCCGCTCCCGTGGCGTTGTACAACTTGAAGTCCGATGGTGCTCCGGGTCTTGTTCCCTCTGCAGAACAGCTCGCTTCGATCTAGTGCTCGTGTGCTTGTGACAACAGCACGACGACGTGCGCAGTCGACATCCAGTGCCCAGATTTTCCCTCCGCCGTCCGAGCACAAAGTAGCGTTAGACGGACAGACTCTCTACGTTCCGAAAGAGCTCGCGGTCGCACTTGGCTGGAACGAAAGCCAAGGACGCGAAGGATTAAGGCTCACGCTTCACGGCTGGTCGCCTTCGTACTTCACCGTGACCCCTCACGGTTCAGACAGTGGTGCGCGTTATCTCATTGCCGGTCTTTCTTGCCGTCGTGCTGACTTATAGCGCTTAGAACGTCTTGCGAGCAACACGGTGGAGAGCAGTCAGAATCCGAACTTGCGTAAAGTGTTGGACTACTTGAAGGATCGATGATGCCTTGCGCAACAGTGCCGTCTTCGTAAATATTCGTACTTCATGATGGTCCATGTTTGGAATGAAGCTCCCAGGTTCAAACGCTCGCTGACGGTGTCCAGATCATACCTTGAGTGTTATTCAGGTACACGTAGGTTATGATCAGCTCATGAATGCTCGTTCATCTGGAAACCGCAGTTCTTTGATGATCATGACCGGTCCCTCGCTGAGTTGGACTGCATGTACGCCATTCAAGTCCAATTCACGTTCCGTCTTTTTCACCTTACGGCGACGGAAGACTCATCGACGTGTCTACTCATCTTCGACATACGATTTGCTAGGGAACTTGCAACGACAACGGAACCAACATGCACCAGCGCTTGCTCGATTGACAAATCGATTGCCAACAAAAGCGTACAAGGAGGGTCCGGTCCGTCAAAGTGATACACGATATGTACAACCCGTCACGACTGATTTACAATGCATGGCATGGAACGCAGCACCCGAAACCTGGATTGTCTCCGCAGTTGGTGGACTGCAATCGCACATCCGGAGACTGCAAACGACCAAGAGCGGAGACGACGAGTTCACGATTCGTTGAAGAACTATGCACACGCGACGCATGAGGATCAAGCGCTGCCCTTGAAGATGCGGAGAGCCCGCGCTTTCTTACCTCACGCGACGGGTTGCTTCACGGAATGGGGGCTACGAGGAACGCAGCGCACCCGGCCGAGCAGGTGCCGAGAGCGGCGTTGCACCCGAGAATAGCGGGAGGCGCCAGAGGGGCGGCGACGGTTCCGAAGGTGAAGCCGGCGGCGGCGTAACATGCCACCGCTACGATGTTGCACCCTGCATCGCGTAATCAGCGACTGTTTTCGACCGTCTAAGCGAAATGGGCACCGTACCTGTCTGGCATATGCCATAGGAGATGGGTCCGGCGCTCACGAGGGCAGCGCTAGCGGTGAGAAAGGATGCAATCGACAAAAGACGCATGTTGATATTGTGAATAGGCGGGGTGGTGAGTGGAGGGGGGAGTGAAAGAAGAGGTAGCGAGCGACGCCCGTTTTATGATGGAATCCGAACCCCGGCGCCAAAAAGCTATCGAACATGCGGTTGACTCGTTTGAGTTGCGTCCCGCTGCGGTGCCTATGCTGTCCGTATCTTTGCGTGCGAGCCCACAAAGCGATGGAAATGGGAATGAAAGCGCCCATAGCGAGCCGCAAGGCTCCCGAATGAGGACAGTCGAGAACCATCCCAGCTTTCGGAGCTGCACGCTCGATGGCTTCGTGGACGTGAAACAGCCATGCTACAGCCTGCCTGTCCATGCACGGCATACAGTTGCGACATCGAACCTCGAAAACAGATATAGACTGTCCGCGGCACGCCACCGGCGCGCGACTGAATTCAATCTTATGGCCAGCGTATGTCTCCAGAAATACCGCACGCGCTCGATACCGGGAGTCTTTGCCACTCGTGTTGCCGTAGATCGCGATGCCTGGCCAGTTGGGAGATTGAGTGTGTCGTTCGAGCAAGTACTGTAGCATGCGTCCATGCATGAGTTCATCGTCCTTATCCAATCAGAATCTCCATGGAGAAAGAACGACGATCTTACGCAGCTGCTTGATCAGCTACATGTGCAACGCGGCAACCCAACTGATGCTACTTACTGTAAGTGTCGCGTCTGGTGACCATTATTCACCGAGCATAAAGGTATTCCACGCTACCTTGGAACCATATATATATAGAGCTCGAGGGAGTTTATACGTCATAGTATCATCTCCCAGCCTCCGCTGACCCCTGATATCTTCGAACCACGATCGTCGCAATGGTGAAAGTCGAACTCGACGGCACGCTTCTTGCAGAGTCGGACGCGACGGTGGTGGTAGAAGGAAACCACTATTTCCCGCGCGACGCTATCAAAACCGAGTACTTCAACCCGTCCAACACGCAGTGAGCAGCGAGTTTCCGTCGGTCGCGCGCGATGCTGATGATCCGCAATGATGTAGCACCACCTGCCCTTGGAAAGGGTATGTCTTGTCTTCATGTTAGTCGCATTCGTCCGTCGTTCATGAAGGAAACATAGGGAGGCGTCCTACTACAATGCGTCGGTCAACGGGAAAGAGGTGAAAGACATTGCATGGTACGCACGGCCCGGATCTCGGGATGGACAGTGGACAACTGTTGAACGCGCTATGAATAGGTACTACCCCGAGACCAAGGAGAAGGCCAACAATATCAAGGACTACGTAGCGTTCTACAAGGTCTCTGTGGACATCATCCCTCTCGGATCGTATGACTGATTCAAAAAACTTGTAGAACAAGGTGCAAATATCGGGGTGATTCACCGTTGCTGCTGCATCTAGGTCCAACGCCCAAAGATGGACATGAAACGTTGCGCAGGATGTATGATAGTTGTAGCACTGCTTACAGGCGATTAGCAACGAGTAGAGTACATATTTGGTATATATACCAAAAATCTATGCCGCGGTTGGTCCGGCCAGAAGTCGGGCGGCCTTCCTTCGCCTACTTGAGGCGGGGTATCACGTCTATGTGAGATCCTGATCCTCGGACACTGAGAGAGAGCATTATGCTCAGGAGCGATGACCGCCCCAGCCGTGCCCGTGCCCGTGCACAGGCTGCTTCGTGCTTTCGTCGACGTCTCCCGTCGACGCGGACGCGACGAGCTCGTCCCAGAAGACGGGGTGCTCGACGGTGTTGACCTGCACGGTCGCGCTCCCGTCACCCCGGTTTAGCCATATCCATTTGTATTGAATCGCGATCGTGACGAACGGACCCCAGCGCGTCCGGCGCTGGTTGATGTCGTCGTCCCATACGACGTCCATGTTTTGGCAGTTGCTATCAAAATCGGATATCGTTTCAGGGAGAACCAGAGAAGCGATTGGACGCGTCACGTACAAGTGCAGTATCGCCGGGAAGAGCTGCTTGAAGCGCTCGGGAGCTTGCTGGGTGTCCCACTGACGGGCCACCTGTTCTTCTTCCGACATGTTCTCGTCGCCGTCCGCGAGGGACATGCCGTATCTGCGGGAACGAAAGGTGGTGAGTCAGTCAGGGTTATAAGCGCTCGGGTACGTCCTACTCACGAATAGCGACAGTGGGTGGTATCCCACGAGATGCTGAGATGTTTAAAGTGTTGCGGATAGCCCTGCCATATCGCCCAGTACAAGCCCTGGTCTCCGTAATCCGGGTTATACGGATCGGTTCCGGTGTCCTTCCATACGTCGGGCGAACCAAGCGAAGGGGTTGTTGGTAGGAGGTTGGAGGGCATGAACATACGTTCACGCATAGCTTTGAGGTTGAGAATCCTGGAAGTACGATGGGTCAGGATCGGCGACGCGGGAAAGGATATTAAGGCCGTACATGACGCATGTACATATCCATCCTGAATGACTCTTAGGTCCGAGGGTCGGGAACGCTACCATCTGGTTCTCGTCCATGGCATCGAACTCGCGCCAGAGCAAGGCAGGATCCACTAAGAACAGCATATCGGTATCGACAAAGATGATCCTTTCCACGTCATGCAGCACTTCGTGGATAAACGTCTTGACCAGCCCCCCCATTCCTGCCTCGTGCGACGTGCCGACACCCGCGCGGGCAGCCCGTCGGCTGATGTCGTCTTGTGTAAGGGGGTAGAAAGTGGCGCGAACAGGGTAGGCGGGCCTGGGCACCGCAGCAGTCAGCGCAAGGGGGAAGGACCAGGGTCTAGACAAACGCACCGACTGAACAAAGCTAGCTTTTCCTCGATGGTAGGTATGGCATCCTGCGAGCAAATGATGTGAAAAACTGTCGGCCGAGAGACGTGCATAAGCGCCGTCTTCAGAGCCAACAATCCCTCCCTCGCTGAATGTGGTCCGAACATCACGAACGCGAAGGCGATGGTATTGTGCTTATTATCGGAGGCAGGCGAACCGTTGTTCGTCACATTATCTGACGTAGTATTTGTGATCCCAATCTCAAAGCTGCCGGAAGGCTGGGCATGTTGTGCAGAGGCATCGCTCAGGTCTTCAGAGAAGTATGATCGTGCGGCCGGCGAAAGAAGGTGAACGTTGAGAGCTGTGAACACTATCAAAGCAAGGAAGATGACAGTCCGAGAAGACAAGTAGGACATCCCCGCCAGCCACCACTAGCGAGGGGAACCAGACGGCCACGGTTCGAAGAGGGACTTGCTGTCGGCGTTGGACGAGATCGCAGTCGAACTCGGGTTGGCACCGGGCAAAGGATTGCAACGCGCCCTTCCCACGTTCGGTGCTGGCTCACGTGAATCACTGAAGCCCGTAGATAGTGAAGCTGGTGAAGCACCTTCAATAGCCAATTCACACATAGACATTGCCCACCAGGAGGAATAAGATGTAGTCGCTGGCTGAGTATCCGTGGAAGGGTTCCCAGAGAACGGTATAAATATGTGAGACATTGCTAGACATGTCGACAGCACTGGGACGCGTCTGTGGCGTGCGAACTTCGAGATCATACCTTTCTCTTCCACCATGGCACCGCGTCGCTCTGGCCGCCGCGCGCGTGAAGCGACCGTCACGGACGAGATCGAAGATGTATCTACACAACAGGAGGCTGACGACGTCGAAGAACCCTCTGGGTCCAACAGTCAGCGCTCGGTCAGGCCCCCAGAGGAGCTGCGCAAGATTGCAAAGGAAGACACGAAACAGACTGTGATCGACATTGAAAACTTCGGGAACCAGCCCTTGGATCGCAAGGAGGCGCAGAAGCTACACGGTATGAGCACAGACTGGACGCAGGTGCGGAAGAAATTCCAGGGCACCGCGTTCGCGCTAGTCAGGGAGACGGCGATCGACGCTCAGGAGTCGAAAGCTGCGGCCGCGGAGGAGGCTGTTAAGGTGCGTGATACCGCTGACATCCCGGCAAGCATGGTGCCCTAACGCGAAAACTCAGCTATTAGCTGAGCTAGACAATACGATGCGCGAAGTCATAGATATCGACACCGAGATGAAGGCGAACGAGAAAGCTCTCTCCGAGTTGCACCAAAGGGTGGCCAGAGGGGAAGAGATCGTGCGTCTTCCACGTTGTAAATTGCTCATAAATTGGAACCAGATGCCGATCCTGAATTGTCTAGACCGAACTTGTCGAGGTGTATGAGAAAAGCATTAAGGGGGTGCTCAACACGTATCGCAATTCGACTACACGACAGAAGTACGGTAAACATGAAGAATACGTCAAGTACAAAGAGGCTGTGTGGGAGGTCGACCACGAGGAGGCCATGCCCCCCATCAACGACTTCCTCCCCGCCGGTACGTGCACCCATGCCCGGGCATTCCGGAAGATCCGCACGTTGACTTTTTATTCCCTGATGCAGAGGAAGGCGACGACAGCGACGACGAGGATCTTCAGATGGGCGGTGTCACACAGGACTACAAGTGCCCACTGACCCTCACAATCATGAAGGACCCGCTAACATCGTCAGTTTTTCCTCCCGCTTCTTACCTGGTTTCTAACACAATTCGCCTTATAGAAAATTATGCCACCACTCGTACTCCGCCGATGCTATCCGGGAATACCTCGCACGTGGACCAAAAGCATGTCCTGCTGCCGGTTGTACAGTGCGAATCACCGTAGGGGATTTGGAACCGGACCCGGCCTTGGCCAAGCGAGCCAAACGGTTCGCCGAGAGGGCCGCGAGACACGAATCAGATAGCGAGGATGATGCGGACGAGATCGTCGATTGAGAGAGACATAGGTGACCACCGTGGTTTGCCAACTCATTGGTGGCTGGCGCAGTTTGCTGATGTTGTGCCATTCGCCCAGTACCCCTTAAGCGTATTTATTGAGGTCTTTCGCTTTTTCAATGAGGTCGGGTTCATTTGATCGAGACATTGTATTTCCGAGTCCGCTGCATTCTTGTTTCGCTCGATTATAGCACACCCAACACTTCAGGCTCAGTATCGTACATGAAAGCAACCGCGCTATACGCCGGAAAACATAGCAACGCCAAGCAGACCATCAAAAGAGGTAAGCGAATATTTGCCGGCAGCAGGATTGATGAAGACAACTACCCCATCTATACAGGGATAATGAGTGATTAGCAATGAGCATCGGAAGAGACCCACCAAATCGTCGGTTGATGGAGTGGCCACGCTTTGCGTTCCCAAACCAGCGGTGGCTTGGGCTTCTGTGACCTTTTGCACACAGCTTGCACCGTCCTCGATAGCCCGCTGGGTCGCACTGTCCGGCTGCATGTGAACAGGGAACATAGCGATTTCGTTGGCGATGTCATTGATCCGATCCTCAAGCGTGGACTTGATCTCATCTTGTTTCTGGATTACGAAGCGATCATTCATCCGTGTATGCATGGTGGACTTGTGAAACCGTGCCGTACCTTTTTGACGATGGCGTGTATGCCCGACTCTGCCTCCCGCGCATGTCTGCTGAGTTCTTCCTTCTTCCTTTCCAGCCGGGCCTCCGCACCAACATCATCACCGCTGTCCAAGATGCCGAGCTGGTCGACGAGCTTCACGCCGGGCATAATGTATCTCGTGTCCACCTCCAGATACATCGATGCCACGTCACGGAAGAGCCCAAAGTAGGCGGAGATTGTTACGACAAACCGGAAAATGATCTACTCGGTCTTAGTCAAGCGATGATTGAGGTGAACTGGACGGGATAAGACTTGCGTCACGGAACACCTGGAATTCCTGGTTGAGCGCATCACGACCGTTTGCATCGTTCATGTAGCTCTTGACGCTTTCTTTGAAGGGTTTGACTTGGTGGTCGCAAGCTGCGTCGACCAACGCAGACAAGGTACTGAAGAACTGAACGAGGATCCTGATCTTCTCCTTCACGTCGATCAGGAAGCGTATGCAGTCAAGCAGGACCCGCCTGACGTCAGTCTATATCTGTTGCGTCAATATGTTCCGATCGCCCACACTGCTAGCACTCACGAGTGTGATGCCGCTCGCCTTCAATTTTTCCATCTCTGCGCGGATCCGTATGAGATTTTCTTGGGCCTGAGACACGCTGTCGTTCGCCTTTCTATATGTCTCGAGGGTCGACATGTAGGCCTTCTGCGTCATCTCCAGCTTGGCCGTGGCAGACTGAATAACCCGCGTCGCAATTCCAGACTTATGCTCCACCGAAGCCAGCCGTTCCCGGATGCTCTGGGTCGAGAGCAAGAAGCTGGGCATACCACTCGGAGGGATTCCAGGGTTACTCTTCGAAGCAGAGTAGAGTTGTTCCACCGCTGTGACGCATTTACCGATACGTTCCTTCCAAGCCACGACCTCGGGGAGAGAATGAGACGATGCGCTATACCAGTAGAAATCTACTCTCACTTTGGGATCATCTTCGCTCGGCTTCTTCCATTTCAGGTCGGTGGACCCTTCACCCTGCGCCTTGAGCTCATCCGAGAGCGCCGACGCATCTTGCAGGATGTGGGATATTGCTTCACTGACGAGGCCGTTCTCGGAGGGCGGGAATTTCTGATCGCTCAGAAGAAATTCGTGCGTTTTCGCATGAGCACCTTGTTTTTCGGAGTTATTGGTGCCCTGCGAGAGAAGTGTCACTGAGCGCGATAATCGTGCATGGGCGGCCGCCGCACCTTGACGATGCAATCCCAATCAACTGTGCCATCCGGTCCATCAATTATATCCTTCAGTGCGAGAATGTGCGTGCGGACAGCTGGGACGATGGCCAGTGCGGGATCATTGAGGTCGAACTGAAGCTGCTTCATGTGGATTGGCGCAAGAAATGCATTCACTGCATTCATCTTTCCCCTCATGTTTTTGACGTGGGAGGACCGTGCAGTTGCTTCAACAGGAGGTGATCCGTTTTCGACTTTCTGTGGTTCGTTCTTGTGAAATAACGCCTTGACGAGCTTCATCGCCTTGGAATGCGGGGTTACGTAGGCTACAGCAGTGTTGACGGCTAGGTTGATGGAGTGACCGATGGTTTCGCCGAAACTGGACACTGCTTCCATCATCTGTAGACCCATAAGGCCTACTCTGAAGTGATTAAATCTCATCAGGTTACAGTAGGCACGGAATATGCGCAGCCAGCGTACCCCGACGGATAGTCCTTGACGGCCTTGTCATACTGTGCTTTCGTGCCTTCCATTTGTTGCTTCAGCATGTCGAAAGCTGCCTTCGCCCGCTCTTCATAATCGACTTTGTGCTTCTCGCTCTCGGCAGCCACTTGCGCCTTGAGGTCGTTATCAGCTAGGTCTTCGGTCGCTATCGCGGACTGTTCTTGACAAGCTTCATGGAGCTCGGCAACATAGTTCAGCCAGTGAAGGAAGGCGTCATTCATGGCTTTGGCCTGGTTGTGACAGTCGTCCGCACATTGACCAAGGCGACGCAAGTGCACCTCAACGAGGCCGACTGGAGGACGTGGCTGGTTCAACGTTTGCACAAGGTCACGAATCTAACATCGACCCAACGGCAACGTCATCGTCCGGTCAACAGTCATCATGATAATCACGAATTTGTACGTACCGTAACCGGTATACCAGCAGCCGACTCATGGATCCTTACCATGCCATCGCGAGCGACGCCGAAGGCAAGGCTGCCCTGGTTGCCGACCTCGACAAGGTTAGAGCTGAGATATCTATGACTGAGCGCGATGTATGAGTGAGAATTATCATATCGTCATCGTTATCAAAGCGCACGTACCCTTTAAGATACTTGAACCCGTTTTGGGGCGGGGTGAGTGTGGTAGTTTGCGTCAACTTCGTTGAAGCAGCAATCATGCATGTGCCAAGCAGTTCAAGACAGTTGGGTGCGGCGATGAGCAGGGTGTCCCAATTGTTCTTGAAGAAGACGGATGATTGAATGTCGAAACTCGCAGACTTGACCGTAGCGCGTTTTTGCTGATCAAGGCGAGACAATGCGTTGTTCTCTTCGGAGGTGAGAGCCATGATTCTCGATGATTGTGCTAGACTAAACGTGGGTCTAACCATATACAAGCAAGCCGTTCAAATGACTCACTTGGAGAGAAGGTACGTGGAGACTGCCCTGGAAGGAGGGGGTCGCTTGGGTATCTTATAGGCAAAGTGCTTATCGTCCCTGCGTACCCGGGATATTGATAAGGTGCAGGAAGCATGGAGTTCTCCCTCGGAACGAGTCGTATTGTGGACACGAGCTTGCGAAATGAACGTCGAGAAAGCCGTAGGCGAAGAGGAATATGTCCCTTTCTCATGTGAACATGTGCTCCTTGACTGGTCCATCGTATATCGACGATTCCATTCCACTGGCCATGAATACATCATGGTAGCGTGCTAGCCGGACCGAAGCCGCCATTTGAAACGAGGAACGGTGATTAAGTCAACCTCTTTGCGTCTTCAGGACTTGTCCCACTGAAAGGACAGCATACGAAGACGCTGATGCTAATTTGAGAGGGTACCTGGCACATCTTCTTGGAGGTCGGGCCACCGGTGATAGCGTCTTACCGATGAGGCGCGTATGGTGAGATTGGTTCAACGCACCAATCAAGGTTCGAATGCCATCTGATTTGGGCGCTAAGCCAGCGATGTGGTCTTATCGCTTCGATGTGGCGACGAACTCGTCGATGAAGTCGGATTGTAGGCGGGGAACGTTCCAGTGTCCGAAGCCCGACAACGTGTTTTAAGCGCTAATGGCGTGGTTCCCCAAGCACTCGGTACCGGCGCATCCACACGGTCCGACGAGTGTCACAGCCCGAGGGGTGGGATCTTTCGTGGCTAACGAACGGGCTTGTACCGGCTTTAGTTAATTGGAAGGCAATGAAACCGTGCTCTATTCGATACTGGTCAACAGGGTTCAAACGCAGACTCGAGCCGGGGCGCTAGATAGTCGGGTGTGCCTACCAGTGGATAGATGACGGCAGCACGAGTAGCACGAGGTTGGAGTGGGAACGAGTCTCTCCTTCAGCGTCAAAACGGCGATATGGTATGCCCAGAACGTACTATGCACTGACTTCTGGGAAGGAACATTCCAGAATGAAGACGTTGGCTCGAACCGCGTCCTTTAATTTTGGCGACCACTTCCACGATGGCATGCGGGTCATCTCTGCCAGCGGTTTTTCTAGTTTACGCCGGAACGAGGTCAGAGGACCAAGCATTCTCACAGCGGACCGTATCGTGCTGCTCAGCGTTCGGATGTTTCGCTGCACCCTGGTCGTCGATATGCAACAAAGTTTAATCTGCACAATGCAAGTTAGAGAAACGTGAGCGCCGGATGTAGGTGACCGATGTGTACCTCTCCCGTCTACGGTCTGCTTCCTTATCGTGCCCGCATCTTTGTATCTAATGCACCATTTCGTCCGGTCTATTCTCGCGTTTGAGGGCTCTATTCCATTAAACGACTGAAGACCTCCGCTCGAGTCCTAGGCAAGCACGAGGCGGCCACGGGATTATGCATACCGAGTTCCGATCGGATAACACTGTCAGAGCTACATCACAGAAACCTCAAATGTGCGCCATGTTGCATTTCTCTCAGCTACTGAGAGCCATAGTCGCGCCTATATCCCGACAGAACGGACCCCACTCGGTGTCCGATGACATGGCGAGGGTCCCTCATTTGGTGAGATATTGGATTTGAAGCAGAGTAGAGCAGCAAGGCGAAGCAGATTCAGACGAAGCGATGTATTTGCTTGACTTTCAGGTTCGTTTCCGTATTCGCCATCAAGGTCCACGGAGAGGAAAGGAAAGGGACCGTGGGCCGTGGCTGTGTGCCAGCGTAGGGAGCCGCCGGAGATTGCCGGTGGCGGTGGTACCTACCCAAATTGATCACGAGCATATTTGCCTCCAAACATGATGCAACAGGGAAACTTTTCATACTCTAACGACCTTACCAAGGCATTGCTCTGCGTACTGGATCGTTCACCGGGCAGAGCAAGACACGGTATGAGCAGCCATTGCGTCTACGTAGTCGTTGTGCTGACCACTAGCCGTTTCTCAGATGCAGACAGAAGCCTCGACGTCGTCTACTCCGTACGAGCCACCAAAAGTCGGCTGCCCCATCAATGAACTCCCTACTGAACTCCTTTCACACATTTTCTACCTCGGGACGTTAGGCAACGACCCCGAAGAGATCCCCGAGGACGAATGGGAGACTGACGAAGAGGGAGATATCGATGGCGAGAATGGCAAGCCATCAACAGAGGGCACTGAGATGATCGTCGAGGAAGACGAGATCATTAAGCAAGACACGGAACGACTTTACGCTCCTGTCTTGTCCTTCCCTGTCCTCGTATCGCATGTCTGCCGGCGCTGGCGGGATGTCGCGATCAACGAGACACCTGCTCTATGGACCTCGTTGGATTTTCGTGAAGGCATGCCATTCGACAAGTCGGCCGAGTGGATAAAACGCTCCAAGGGCTGTCCCTTAGACATTGACATTGATTGTGGGTACCCAGAAGAGGAGGACGACGACGACGACGACGATGACATGGATGCCGCGCCTCGCCACTCTATGACCGACCTTGCGCACATCTTCGCACTCATTAACCCGCACGTTGACCGTTGGCGCACCCTCCACCTGTCCGTAGAAGAATACGGCTACATGCACCTCGCCCTTGTGACGCTCGCGCGCCTCCCACCTGCTCCACAGCTCGAAGTGTTCCAGCTTTATCATTACGAGGAGTCGCAGGACAATGCGGCTTTCTCACCTCCCGAACTGAAGGAGCCGCGTTACCTCCCGTTCGGTGGACATGCGCCAAAACTGCATACGGTTTCCTTGTGGGGCGTGCACCTCGACTGGACAGCTGCGCTTGGGATGCTCTCCGGTCTGACCGATCTCGAACTTGCGTGGACAGCAGTCGACGTAAGGCCAAGCTATGCCGAATTCGTCGCTCTGCTACGTGCGTCACCCAATCTCGTCAACCTTTCGCTGTGCCAGTCGGGACCCGCGGGCGAAACGGAGCAGGATTGGATCAACTCCCTGCTCGAAAAGGAAGACGGTGAGGGGCGTGCTCCGACGGTATTTTCGGACGAGACCGTTGTGCTTCCCTCCGTCAAGAGCCTCCTTCTCGCCTTCCAGGAACCCGAGTACTCCTGCGCCCTCCTCCGTCGGCTGTTCTTCCCCAGTCTGAAGGAGCTCACGCTCGATTTCGACGACATGGATTACAGCGCGCTCATCGAGCAGCTTTGCATGCGTTACCCGCAGTATGGGTCCGCGTCCGCCCCGAGTAGTCTGCTAAGCGGATTGGAACAGCTCAAACTGAGCGGGTTGAACGCGAACGAGGCCGCGATACGTGCGACGCTTTCCGAGCTGCGGAACCTGAAGAGCATCAACCTCAACCTGGAGCACCTTGACATATTCTGGATCCTCGCGTTGGGCCATCCGATCGGCACGACGTTCCAGCTCCTGCATCCGCAAGGCGAACCCACAGTGGTCGCTCCCAATCCCGCTTCCCTTTCCAAACCTTCCACGTCCTCCAATACTCCTAGCAGCGGCCCGGCAGAAGAATCGCGACAGGTGACGGGAATGTACTGCCCGCTCCTCGAGCAGATATACGTCAGTGGTCTCGACGGGACGAAGATGCGCGCATTCGTGGCGGCACGGAGTAGGAACGGCGCGCCCCTGAAGCGCGTGTACATGAACAAGGAAGATGATATCGAGACGGACGACGAGGAATGGTTGCGTGAGAATACGCAGGCGTTCGACTACTTCAGCGGGAGCGAGGACGACGACGACGTTGTCGAGGTGGTGGATATGGAAAGCGTCTTTGACGAAAGCGAGGAGGAGCAGGATATGCAACAGGATGTGGAGGTCGTGGAAGCGGCCGGGGATGACGATGAGTGGGTGGATGAAGCGTGATGCTTCTATTCTGTATCAGCAGAGGGTAATGGGAGACGGGCGGAGTAACCACAAATTATAATAAACGCAATATACTGTACACTAGTGATACAAAAGCAAGGGTCTATGTCGGGTTCGCAGTGCCTAGCGCACTCGAATCGTCCTTTGCACATCTTCATCTGCATAGCATATTAACCAAAACCTCCTCTCAGCGATCACTAAGACGATGGCGTAGACACCGGCACGGGTAAAGGCGTTGTCGGGGTCGTTTTGCGGAAAGGAACCTCGGTTGTGCCGATGAGCACGTCAGGAAACTCCTCATCCCAATCATCATGACCAACGCTGATACTCCGCTCCTTGCCCTTCACCGATCCATGGGGCGACGGCATCGCGATGAGCACGGATACCTGTAGCCGCTTCTTCTCCATGCCTTGGGCCAGTGATTCTTCGTCGTTCTCGGCGTCGTTAACAGCAGCATCAACGTCTGCAGATGAGTTCGTGCGAGAGAGGAAGCGGGAGGGTGTCGAGGCGGAAGATGGTGAGGTGGTCAGCGATGCGTTCATGTTGTTGCGGTCCGCAAAGAGGGGTAGGCGTCGACCGAACATAACGTGCATGCGACTCCCGATATTCGGCTCGGATCGCCCAGTGAGTTTGCCCTGTGCAGGGGCAGAACTTAAGTGGGAGGAAGCGTACGTCTTCTTCGCAGATACAGGCTGTTACATGGGAATAAATAAGGATCTCTCGGAGGCGCAGGGGTGAACGAAGGAAGTGGAGCGTACCACAATGTCACTCCATTCCTCGCCCGATGGTGCCGCCCATGCATCCCAGATCTTCGGCTTCTCCCCAAAATCACGCCGTCGGCCATGGCCGGAGGCGGGCGGGAGCAGCACACCAGCGGCGATCGCCTCCTCGATACGCCTTCTGAAGCGGCGTCTCAGGAAGAAGGACCGGAGTACAATCGCACATGATACGAAAAGGAGTAGGAATAGCGTCGCCAGGAACGTGAATCTGTGTGTGCACCAGTGACAATCCCGCGGTAAATGGTGGCAAACCTATAAATGAGAACGAAGAGAGGTATGGGTGGTGCAAAGATACGAACAGGTATAGGCTCGAGCCCGCGCCGCCGTTGCCGCCGTTACCGGTATTGCCCTGGTTGCCCGTGCTGGTCACTTGGCTGGCCGTGAGTTGTGAGGTGATAGTCCCTGTTGCCGTATCGGTGGTCGACGCCGTAGGCGTGGCTGTAGACGATGCGCTCATGGCGGCAACAAGCACGGTCCTGTCCGTCGCAGACGATGAGGAGAATGACCCGCAGCCCCGAGCTGATCGGCGCAGTAGCGAAGGAGGAATAATATCGCAGGATATGCGCACGCTGTGCAGGTGGGATGACGTAAGCAGGCTCTCCTCTGCTCGCTGCAAAGCCCTTCCGCCGATTATTGTTACATTTCCTGCCACCGTTGAGGACAACGATGGCTGACCCGCGCATGAGCGATAAGGAGCTCGCTGCCATCAACGCTGCCGCCGTTACGCGCGAGTATCGCGTCAAGCCACATCTCGGTGCGTTAGCGCCGCGAGCAGGATACAGCGAGGTCCAAGCTCATGTATCTTCTGGCTGTACCTAGATTACCGGACGGTGTCTGCGATCAACGGGCAAGTTAACCAAACTCTGATACCACGTAGTCACGGAATGGAAGGGCTGATCGTATCCTCGCGCTTGCTTGCAGGCCGCTTGTCGTTCTCGACAATGTCAAGGTCCGCGCCTCCACCTTCATATCGGGTTCACCGGACCTCACAATCATTCTAACACCGTACTCTATCACAGTTCCCATCGTACAACGAGATTGTCACGCTCACGCTCCCTGACGGATCCAAGCGCGGCGGGCAAGTCCTGGAAGTTCAGGGCAAAAAAGCCATTGTTCAGGTCTTCGAGGGCACGTCCGGTGTCGATGTCAAGGCAACGCACGTTGAATTCACCGGTTCCAGCATGAAGCTCCCCGTTGCGGAAGACATGTTGGGCCGGATATTCAACGGCTCGGGTAACCCGATTGACCAAGGGCCCAAGGTGTTCGCCGAGGACTACCTTGACATCAACGGTGCGTGCTCTGCTCTGTGCTAAATATGCCATCGTTTCGTTTGCATGAGGACAGAAATGCTGATTAACGGACCAGGATCGCCGATCAACCCGTACTCGCGTATATACCCGGAGGAAATGATTCAGACCGGGATTTCGACCATCGACACTATGAACTCGATTGCGCGAGGTCAAAAGATCCCTATCTTCTCGGCCGCCGGTCTACCGCATAACGAGGTGCGTTACCCCTCTTTCATTCTCTCTCTTTCCATCCTGATTTGATACTCGTGTCTGTAGATTGCCGCCCAAATCGTGCGTCAAGCTGGTCTCGTTCGCCCAACAAAGGATGTGCACGATGGCCACGAAGACAACTTCTCAGTCGTTTTCGCCGCCATGGGTGTGAACATGGAGACTGCGCGCTTCTTCAAGTCCGACTTCGAGCAGAACGGCTCGCTCGACCGTGTCACCCTCTTCCTCAATCTTGCTAACGACCCTACGATCGAGCGTATTATCACGCCCCGTCTTGCGCTCACCACCGCCGAGTACTATGCCTACCAGCTAGAAAAGCATGTCCTCGTCATCTTGACCGACATGAGCAGTTACGCGGATGCTTTGCGTGAGGTGAGAACTGTTACCCAGCCTCGTGCTGCAGGAGAGTGCTAATACGGTGGCGTACGCGGTAGGTGTCGGCAGCACGAGAGGAAGTTCCCGGTCGTCGCGGTTACCCGGGTTACATGTACACCGATTTATCGACCATATACGAGCGCGCCGGGCGTGTGGAGGGTCGCAACGGTTCCATCACCCAAATTCCCATCCTCACCATGCCCAATGACGGTGCGTCTCTGGTCCCTTCAGCCGCTTTGTTGTCCCCTTAAGCCCCCACTCACAATTAATGCCTTCCTTGTTAGATATTACACACCCTATTCCAGATTTGACCGGGTACATTACCGAGGGACAAATTACCGTCGATCGGCAGCTGCATAACAGGCAAATTTACCCACCCATCAACGTCCTGCCCTCGCTCTCGCGTCTGATGAAGAGCGCCATCGGCGAAAAGCTCACCAGGAAAGACCACGGCGACGTATCCAACCAGCTTGTGCGTGTCTTAGCCTTCCTTCTACAATCCCTGCGTTGTTGCTTCGTTTTGTCGGAGCTGTACCATCCATCATCATTTCCCGCATTCCCCCGCCCTTCGGCCTGCCTACGAGAAGCAACATTATTAATGAATTATGTTATAATCCAGTACGCCAAGTACGCAATAGGTCGCGACGCGGCCGCGATGAAAGCTGTCGTCGGCGAGGAGGCGCTTTCGTCCGAGGACAAGCTTGCGCTTGAGTTCCTCGAGAAGTTCGAGAAGCAATTCGTTGGCCAGGGTGCGTTCGCAGTATAGAAACTTGCATTACTCCGCGCTGATGACAATGGTGCCACCCATGTTTGTTTTGATCACGCGTTTGATTGACGTGTAGGCCCGTACGAATCACGGACGATCTTCGAGTCGCTAGACCTCGCTTGGTCGCTCCTCCGCATTTTCCCCAAGGAGCAGCTCAACCGGATTAACCCAAAGATCATCGCCGAGTTTTACGGCCGCAAGCCGACGCGCAAGCCGACCTCAGGCTCGCCCGAGGACGCGGCGGCGGAAGGCGGCAACCCGGAGGATGGCAATTTGGTGGACCTCTGAGTGTCGCGCGGCTCGCTGGGGCTGCATGTCATTGCCCGTGCGGTCGTTTGTGGGCAAGGCAAGCGGTAAGATAAATGTTGTGCGGCGGACATAATGAGATTGCGCACATAATGGCCCGACTGTATATCACGAACGCGTACACATGACCATCAACGACGAATAAACCGCAAGCAACTCACGTCATAGAGAAGCGGTGTTATGTAGCGTTTGTAGGGGAAGAAGGATGGAGCAAATGGACTGTGTACACCGATTTGACACGTTCATTATGCACGCCAACCCTCGACGTGATCTGTCTAGACCCGCGACGAACTCTAGAAATATCCGTCGTGGCGCTCGATCACGGCGGTGAGGACGTGATTCATCTGCGAGATACCTGCATGGAACGCCTTGATCGGCTGGTATTATGACACGCTCACGCTCACTCCAATATAGACATGACTTGATACACGATCAGGGCAATCTGAATATGAATTTGGCCAGCAATGCCCTTGCGCTGGGTCAAGCAACAGGTTCAACATAACCTACAAGTAGAGTACATACGACCTCATGTTTACAAGCGTTGGCAGTCATCAAGAGTGAATAAACTCGCACACAAAGTTAGATAGGAATGTCACGAAGAAATGTCCCGAGCAGATGGCCTATCGCGTCCGTGATTGAGTCTGGAAGGCTGAGAATTGCTGCGGCTCGCAAGAAGCCTTGTGGTGGTTCGCGCACCGAATTCCTTTTCCTACCGCATTCGCAACAAAATACAGGGAGTTCAGGTACAGAGAAAAATAATGATACGAGTAGCGATACATGGGCAAATTTTCACAATTCAGTCCTACGACGGCAGTCCGGTCCTGCGTGTCCTTGCAGACTCGCTTCCACCTCGCGCGCCTGCGACAGGAATCGAGGGGCCAGGAGTTCGTCCGCGGACGAGCCTGCGACCGCGGGAGGGAGATTCATTATCTGAGAGCCCTTCTGATCCAGGTTCGCTGTCGCTGACAACCTCGGCCGGGGACAGCGCGCGGCTCATGCTCCTACGGGGCGCGGGTTTGCCTCTTGAACCTTGCTTGGAGACAGGGCTGGAATGGCCTCCGGCTCGGCGGGGTGGTTGCACGTACACCGGTGTCCTATGAGAAAGGGCGCCACCGCCGTCACTAGCTGCAGAACGTGGCGAATCGTGGATGTCGGCGCGGTCGTCCGGAACGTCTTCATCGCGGTGCCGGTCTAGATGGTCCTCATCTAGCTTGAACGACACGCGTCTGCCCCGCGACTTGCTTCTGCCTCGTGACTTCGAGCGGAACGAGCTGGCAAGGATAGGTGAGGACGGCTCGGGTGGAGAAGACGGGGGCAAGGTCCCAGATGAGTAGGTCGGATCTACCATGTGAGGATAAGGATAGGTATGTGAATGGGTGGGTGTCCTGAAGGCGCTGGAGGAAGAAGACGCGGAAATTGAGCCTTCCGTAAGATGCGCGTTGTAGTGGCGGGAGTGCGTGGGTGTGTGGGGTGGCCACGGTGGTTGAGGGTATTGAGGGAAGCTTGTGGACGAATGACCGCTCGCGTTCTGCACGTGTGGTGGTTGGATGGGAGAAGAATATCCCATGACAGTCATCAGATAGTTGAGGTTGTGCACGGTCTGCGCAAGCACGTATTGCGCTTGGGGGTCCTCAAGTGATACTATCGGAGGATGCGGCCCTTGAGGGATGGCGGCGGGAATCAGCGGTATAGAAGGGCTTCTACCGGGTCCTTCACCCGGGGAGGAGGTGGAAGGAACGTTGATAGGCTGTTGACTGAAGCGGGGTTGTGACTGGGAGCGAGCGCGACTCCGTGAACGCGATCGTTCCTTGAGCTTGGACCCAACATCCTGCGAACGATCGGTAAGTTTGCGATCCGACCAACCACCCTCTGTGTCGCCATCGTCATGATATTTTGTATGGGATATCTCAGCCGATGGCGACCGAAAGGATAGTGCCGGCGGCACCTTTGGCCCTTCACTTTTCTGTCTGCGAGAGGGATCCGGAGGTTCAATCTCAGGCGATAAGGACAAGATTGCGCGCTTGCGTTTCCCGGTCCGTGGCGTTCTGATCGGACTGGTTTCAGGGGAGGACGGTGGTAGCGACTTCCACCGGTTCCGACCTGCCCTGGTTGGCTTTGGATCGATGGCAACTGGAGAGTTACTAGGTGTTCGTTGACCACGGGGCGTCGTAAAGCCGCCTAACGAATGTTTCCCCTTTGACTCTAGGGAAAGCTTCTGCCGCTCTTTTCCCGAGTGCAGCGCAGGAGATCGCGGTCGCGATTTCGAAGTAAGGACACGTTCCTAGACGGCGTTTAATCAGTATGCGCTGTCTATAGGACTTGTTCTCTTACGGCTTTCGTAGGTGACGCCGAGCTGGGTGTATGAACGCCACCAACGGGGTCTTCTTCGTTCCTGCGATCCCTAACTTGGGCTTTTGATTTGGCTGCCTTTTCAGACTCTACATGTTCCGCAGCAGATCTCTTGGGTATCTTCACGGAAGTGAACGGCTTGGAAATTGGGGCGTCCGGGCTAGGTACGCCGATCGCATGGCTCTGGGACCGTTCTTTTTGTTTCCTACGCGAACCCGACGGAGCTTCGGAAGGTACGGCATTCGAAGGTTCTGATGCCGTATGGGGCATGGTTTTGGACGCATGGAATGGAGTCGAGGACCCTGACGCCCGAACGGGTTGCTGCGCCTTCTTTGGGACTTTAGTCCATGTCGCAATTTCGGTCCGAGGCATTGTTCTCATTTGAGGTCCCAGGGATACAGACTCCGAGCGAGACACAGAGTCGATCGAAGGCAAGGACGTCGACCGAGGTGGTGTCTGCAACTGCACCACGGACGTCGTGAGCTTGCTCTTCGGTGCCTGTGACGCGCGGCGCACGAGCTTCTGACTGCTTGTGGGAGAGGCCAGTCCGTGCGTGGGCGAAACTTTGGAACTAAACGACCCGGATATCGCAGACGCGGTAAATTTTTGAGGGGATATACTAGCATGACGTGCTTTGTTCACTGCCGCCTTCGGCGACTGCGCGCGGGGTGTAGGTTTTCGGTTAGGAGATGGCGATGAATCAGTCAAGTCAATTGCTGAACGGACAGGGGAGGAAGAAGGAGGTGGCGTATCAGGAAGTTCAATCGAGTAGTTGTCGTTCAGCGGTGGACTGGCTTCTCCGAGTGGTACTGTGAAGCTGCCGTCCTCACTATCCGGTGCACGGTAGAGCGTACTAGCTTCGTCTAGCTGCCATGCACCGAATTCATCATCAGAGTCATGACTTGACCGGCTATTGTGACTATATGCGATTTTGTCAGATCATCGGCCTGGCTGAAAACGGGGCGACATACCTTGCTCTGCTTCCACCTTCGCTCAGTTCGCCGTCCGAGACATCCTCTAAATCGTCATACACCGTGCTGCTTCGAGACAAACTCCTTCTTGGAACGTCGAATGCGGGTCCGTCTGAAGTCCACGCTCCTTCGTCAGGATCTCCGAATTGCTCCTTCCACTTCGAGTTTTGTTCCAGAAACTCCTTCAAATCGGCCGCATCCGCTGGATCCACTTCGCGAACGGGTGGCATCACACGCACAGCGTTCGACATCTCCTCCCGTAGATCCGCCTCAGGGTCCAATATGTCCAACTCGTCGGCGTCATCTTCCAAGTCTGGACCGGCGCCTTCGCTGCTGACCTCGTGGTCCTGGTCGTCGTCCGGGACGTCCTGTGACTTCGTGATGTCTCCAAAGTTGAAGTTATGTTGCAGAGATCGCAACACCCCCCTGTCTTTGATGACTTTCCCGGTGGTGATGTCGACGATGTCGTCTTCGTCCACGCTTCGGCTGTAGCGCTCGGCCAGTTGCGACCAGATGTCAAGTACGCGCATCGATGAGTCTCGTCTGGCCTTGTCGAGTTCAGCATACGGATCCGGCGCGGTGGATGAAGAAGCCCTTGACGCAGAGAACGACGATGACGGTGTTGCAGTTAACCTGGCGCGTTTCGCTGGTGGTCGAGGATCTGCAGTCCTTGACAATGCTGACACCGTAGGTACAAGGCGAGGAGGAGACGCTGAGGGAGTAATGAGCGCAGTCTTCGGCACGGCATACTTTGTCGTAGAGGTCACAAGGTCAGAGTGTTGAGTAGACTCATTCATCGCAGTCAACTGCAGAGTGGCAAGCCGCGACGCGACGCGTGCGAGCTACATTCAAGGTGTCCGGGGTCACCCGCGCGTGTCGGGGTCCTCGCTCAACATATCCTCTTGTTCGGGCAGATAGTCGCAAGTATTTAAGAGCGCGGAAAGGACTGGGTTTCGTTCTATGGGGCATTCACGTTCGTTATTTACAAATAGAAGAATAATACGGTAGAGTGGTAACGTATTAGTTGAGACCCGGGAAGCAATGTAAGTCGTCGGTGTGGAACGAGGCGCGCCATGCATATGAATAGAGTAACTCTGCACACGCTCCGAAAACGAGTGGAAATGGCGACTGGTTCGAAAAGCCCGAGTCCCCAGTTCGCCCACCTAACACGCCGCGGCGTCCATAAATCCGTTTTGCTCGTACAAGGGTCCGTATACGTTGAGGTGTATCGTGGCCAGCTTCGCGATGCGTTCGCCGAGGTGCTTGATTTCCGATGTAAGTGGCTCCAAGCCGGACATCGTCGCCGCCGGAGACGGCGCGGTCGCATCTGGATGCGTCGATTTCTTCGGGGGTAGCTTCAGCACGTTCTCTATGACCACATCCAGAACCGCGTTCCGCAATCGATCTCGAAGGAGCGTGCTCAGCGGTGAGCCATACCGAAGGTTAGTATCCGCCCAGCGTTCGACGAGCTTGACGGTCGCTTCGTCCGGTGCTGGCGTCGTGGCAGGCGTCGCGAGCGGAGATGAAGTCGCGGCAGCTCCGGGTATACGCGCCGTCGTCGCCCGCAGTGCAATCTGCAGCAGCACGTCCCGCATGCTCGTATGCCACTTCTTCCACTCCTTCTTCTCTTTCTCTTCATAACGCAACCTATCCTTCTCTTTCTCCTCCTCGGTCCTCTCGTCTCGTTCCCTAGGCCGTCTACTGCGTCCCTGTGAGAAACAATAGCCTACTCTTGACGGGCCGACCTCCCAGATTTCCTTCTTCACGCGCTGCAGCTCCGCGTCAGTGACAGCAACCTTGGGCACAGCCTTTGAGGATGACGAGAAGACGAGCTGACGATACAGCATGAGGAGCATATATAATGACGTCAGGTCGGCCGCATCGGCGCTAAGGACGACCATCCTCGAATGGTCCAAGTACAACGTTTCTGGGTAACCGGGAAGCGGCGCGATCGCCGGCGGTGGGCGGTGGGTCGGGGTAGTCGTCGGCGGAGGTAAAGGAGTTAAGGGCGCCGTCGATGGGGGAACGAAGATAAGATCGGCGATAGCGCGGAGGGCGATCAGCCGTAGCTGCACGGAAGGAGGTGACGCAGCAAAGTACGGTAGCGGGGAAGGTACCGAGAGCAGTTGCTGGTGCGCAGCCTCAATCCATTGCCGTGTGGTCGTCAACGCGAGATGACCGTGGACTCGACGTTCTTGGAACGTCTTCAGCTCAAACTCCGCGGATGATTGCACCAGAAACGGTCTCAGGGTCTGCAGCTGATGGTTCGCAATGTCCTGGGAAATGAAATGTTCATCATGTGGGTGGACGACGATAGGCTTCATGGGCGGCTTACCAATTTCATGAACTCGAGCACCTCGAAACACATTCGCAGAGCTTTCACGGCGTCGGCTTTGGTGCCACTGCCGCCGGAGGCGCAGGTTTGCGCGATCTGAACCATGCTCTCCACCGCCCGGTCCCGCATCGGGGCGCAGTGGCACTTCAGCGTCTCGCCGATGACGCGGAACAGACCTGATGGATCAAACAGCCCGTGCTTGAGTTCTTGCTCGATCAGGTCCGAATCTAGGACGGAACGCAGCAGCGCGGCCTGCGCGGCGTGCTGCTCGGCCTGGTGCTGCTGCCCGGAGACCCCGGTCGTGGGATGCTGCATGTAGAAGCCAGATGAGGTCGACGGCAGAGGCTGGATCACCGAAAGGAGGACCTCCAGCAGCTCGGATAGCAGAGGACGTAAACGAGAGGGCATGCGGACGGTCATCACCCGATCCGACTCAAAGAGCACCAGAAGCGGCTGCGACCCTGCGCGAGGAATACGCTTGCATGCACATTTGAGGTCGACGATGCGGCTGCCATAATCCAACGTGATGCATGTACAGCCGTTTTCGAGCTCCTGAAGGACGGAACGCCAATAGTTGTCCACGAGATCGCGCTTCCGACGGCCGGACGTCGGACGGAACTGGAGGTTGGAGTCGAAGAGCAGATCGTGCCCTAAACCGATAGAGGCAAGAGCGTTAATGGATCAGATATGACGCCCGTCATAGATATGACCGTGGTGAAGAAGAGAACAAGGAACTCACGCAGCTGAGGGTTCCTCAGAATCTGCTCTAGATCAAGCTCCTTCAGCGTCTCCCGGTTGATCAACGGCTGCAGGCAAGGAATGTATGGGCTGCTGAGGTCGACCGGAACAGGCGAGATGGGCGAGTGGCTGCGAGCGACGGCTGCGGGTGCGGATGCGTGGCGCTGCATCCGCCGGGGCACGCTTGCGGACCCGCGCTGCGTGGGTCTTGTGCGCTTGCGGGACGGCGACGGCGATGTGCTTGGAGACAGCGGGATCGAGGCTCCAGACTCGGTCCTCGGACGCTTGGGGCTAGAGGGGCTCGGGGGCTCCGCTACGAGGGTCGGTGGCGGCACGGTGGAGGACGACGCCGAGGAGGCCGCCTGCCAGAGCGCGTTCCCGTCCGACCAGCATGTGCTGGACGTCCGCCTGGGGGCCTCGAGCGTCGGGGCGGTCGGTTCGCCGAGGAGCTGGTCGGCGGCGGCGGCGGCGGAGGACGAGGACGGGTCCTGGACGCCGGCGGGGGCGGAGCGGCGGTCGTCGACGTCGGGGAGCTTGCGCTTTCGGGCGAGGGGGCTGAGAGGGTCGTCCATGAGATCGGCCGTGGACCGGGGGTGGCGGTCAGGAAGCGGGTGCCGATGGTTGCATGGGGGAAGACTATATATTGGCGAAACCAAGCGACGGGCGTGTTTTACGCATGCCTCCCAGCTGCCAACGAGCCGTCCTCCCTTTCTAGCACAGTTCGGTGCATCCTCCCGGTCCCGACTTCTTCTTCCAACGCCACGCCCACCTCACGATGATCGCGTCCGATATTTCTCATTATACAGCGCGGTCACCCGCCCACCACAGGCCATTAATGGCCCCTGTTGCAACACCCAGCATGATCAGCAAAGATACCACAGATTTCCATCAGGCAGCGTCCCAGCCCAATGCAGCCCATCATGCAAATGCCACGAGGATAAAAATTTCCTCTTGTGTCTCGTTTCGCCATCTCGGAGCACCCCTCTCACGTCTCAACCGCCCAAGCTTTGCGATTTCGGAAACTCAAGTCGGCACAGTTCTCAGCTCCGCTTGCCACGGCCCGCGCCCCCTCGCCTCCTATGACCGCAATCGCCATGCGAGCCGGCCACGCGTCCACGCTCGAGAACATGCGACCGCCGTCCCGTCCCTTTGTTGACGACATCCTCCTATTGACCGGCTGACGACCAGGGGCTGAGAAACGCGAGGTCTTTTTATCACGATTCCATGATCAAGAAGATATGCCCGCCAAATGATCTCATCACACCCCGGTCGCGAGTATCTCATCCGTCCCCATATGTGATCCATCCAGTAGTACGCTCCACGGACGTTCGCCCAGGGTGCGCAAAGACACATCCGTACGTAAAGTCGGACCGTCGCCACGAAGTTACACGACAGTGCGAAGTTCATTTGGATCCACGACATGGGAAACGCAATCTCTATCGCGCCCTCACTCCACGGACGGATGTCGGCGTGTTCGCCAATCGAGGACTGCCGGCGACTTACCTGGATCAGCATGTTTCTTGAACTGCCGGTTATCTCTCGTGACTCCGCCACCGTCTGCCATTGTTCACGTAGACGGTCGCATCTCCGTTGGCTTTCTTGGCCCTTCTGCAGGCCATGAGCACCGCGGGTAATCCCCGGGGTTCGCTGCTGACCATCCATACCGTTAACGAACTATAGATCCAAGTGAATACGTTACTTTTCTCTCTCCGGCATTTTGTTCACAGCATTTCGACGCAACTCAACTATTGCCGTCCTTCCATCTTCGTCAGTCTCTGGTCCTGCAGCGGCATTTCACACTTCTTGTATTGAACGTTACTATACATGTGAGCCCTTTCCCGGAGCAACCTCGTGTGGACTCGGCACCGGTGGAAAAGGTTCAGGGATCCCCCGATAGTAACGCAACTATCTTCTCGGAAGTATCTCGCGTGACTGACATATCGGCTAGCGTCCTTGTTATGCCGATCAGTTTCGAACTTTTCGATCTGACAAAGTCAAAATGTTATATTAAAACTCACCATTCGGTTTCGAGCAGGAGGTTTTCGATCTCCTCAGTATCACCCTGAACGTCGTTGCTTTGCAGGAACAGGTACAAATATTCCGCCGTATCAGCGCGCACCTTACAAAGCTATGTCAGCTTCGGCCAATAGAATAGAGTGACGTGCCGCTACTACCTTGGGAACCGGATGAGAAAGGAATCTGGGTAAAAGAGCGACGCAAGCATCAAAGATCGCAGGGACGGTGAGAAGGTTTACGGTTCTAGTGATGATTCGTGGCTGTTCAGTGCTATTAGTGACCTCCATACGAACCGAAACTCACGTCTTCATTGACATGATGATGCGCTGTATGCTTTTAAGCCGGGAAACGTTCTTGGTTACTAAGTCAAGCAAGGTTTGTAGGCTAGATCCGGTTTAAACACACATTTCCGTCGGATAGTTCCATAACACACCTGCGCAGGCCACGAGCGGACTGTGCCACGGCAACAAGCACGTCCGCTTCAAATAGGACTTGAAACGTCTGTAGCAGCGGTATCACGATAAGGTTCGATGTAGCGTTTTGCTTCGCTTTCTCGGCCAGTCTCTCGCATAGGCCACAGATGTCGCATGAATCTGGATCTGAGGCAGTGACCGGTAGTCGCTGAACGTATGTCCTTAGACTTAGCGCCGCGGTGCGTTGCTTGCATTCTGTCAGTCAATCGGGATAAGTGTCTATAAACATGCGGACATACCGTGCTGTCCGTTCTGCTCGCGATGCTGACCACGAGGCCGTCGAGAATAGCACTCCGATATTCCTTGATTTGTAGCAGTTGCACGGCCCGAGGGTAAAGCCATTCGCCATCGCTCCACCGGACGTTCTCCTCATCACTGCAAGGCTGTCAAATTCAGGCAGCGTGTTCACGATCAAGCTAACTCACCCTAAGAATAACTCCTTCATTAGCTGCTCCCCTTTCAGTCGCCACGCCTCTCCGTCAAGGACGGACGGGACGGGTATATTCAGCAACTTCACTATATCGGCACCCGCGCATGCACGGACGTTGTCTAATCGCTCCATGCCCTGTTTCAAGATACCTGCAACGGCGAGATGGTACCGATCAGGCGGAAGATACTGCTCCAGTTCATCCTTGGCAAGCCCTTTGGCCATCAAGCTCTCGGCGAACGCTGTAAGGCCGTCCATACATGCCATCCGAATCCAGGATCCGACGTCTCCACGCTCGTCGATAGTGTAGTCATCGAGTCCCGCATAGAGGGCATCAAACATGCGACGGGTTATGGATGGCCCGAGAGCTAGTCTATATGTTAGCTTCGATCCAAGAGATAAGTCCCCGATTGATGAATACGTACATTCAGCGAGGCACGGGGAGACCTTGGAAAGCAGCTGATGCATCGAGGTGAACGCATTGCGTCTGGCTTCTACAGTGGAGGCGTTTTCCTGGGGGTTCTGGAGTTAAGTCAATAGGCCACGAATAACGAGGTTTCAGCTTGCTAGGGTTCTGCGCGCACTTACAGGGCTGACTACGTTCAATAAGAACTGAACGACCTTCAGGAGTGAGTGCGAATATGCTTCATAGTCGAGGAAGCCCATCAACCGGGTCACGCCTTCCGTGGTAGTGGGAGAACCCCGCTTGCAATCTTCTATCAACGTGTGGGGTTATTAGATAAGGTCTTGTCGAATAGATCGACGGTACTCATCTTGTCACAATCGCCGAACAATCCACGAGATGGCTGACGGAGGCCATCGCACGCGCAGACTCCTCTTGAACAGCGACGCTCCTGTGCTTAAGACCGAAATCGAGGATTTTACGCCAGTGCGGCACTCTCGTTGCTTGCCCGAGTTGGATTTCATCAATGGATATGCTGCTTCCGATCAAAGTGCAGGCTGCAGCTGTAAGATCCTCATGTCTAGAGGACATGATCCTGTCTGCGGGCGCCAACGCCAGGCATGCAAACGTCTGGTTAAATCACCGTTAGGCCACAGTGATCGTACAGCACTACCATGCTCACCTCGCGCTTCTCATCGAACAAGCCTGCTTGGTCAAACGCTGCTGCCAGCTCTGCCAACGCCAAGAGTCCTCCATGCACGTCCGTATTATCGGGAGAATCTAGTAGCTCCGCCTGGATTCCGATGAGAAGAGCAGCGAGATTGAGCGATGAGAGATCCTTACCGCCCGACGACGTGAACTTGGCCCATCCGTCGGTAGATCGACCTCGCAGATTATACGCAAGGCTCGGGCTCCTAGGACGCGCATCGCGGGGTCCCAGTGTCGCAGCGTGACAGCGTGCAGGTGATTAATAAGACTCGGCCTATACTCAGAGTGTCTACCACCTTGTCAGGGCCGCTCGGTATGTAGAAGGATGCAGTATAGCTCACTCGGCGACCTCGGGTGCAGCAACAAGAAACGCATTTCTCCGAATGCCAACAGCATAAAAGTCAGTCTTTCGGAGCACATCTATGCCGTGTGGAAAGAGGCCCTGTGACGACTCTCAGAAACGAATGGTATCATGTGGATAGATAAACTTGCCGTTCTACCGACATGCTCCTGGAAAGCCGCGCTAGCCGCACGTCGGATATGTACCTCGCGGTCGAACAGAGCAACTTGCACCAGGGCAAAGGCAAGTGCATTGCAATGTGCCCTCAGCGTCAAGGTGTCTTGAGTTCTCGCCAGCGACCATATAACGTAGCAGGCCGCATCCCGAACGTTAGAGCCGACTGAATGTGCACCCTTTCGTATATCAAAGTAAAGGGCCTGAACTACCATCAGTGGACGCCAAGCCGGTCTGTCGTCAATACGTCACCTTGAACATCCATTCTATGAGCTCGCCGACATTGTAGTCTGCTACGCAACCTCTGCGAGCCATCTCTGCGCTCGCAAGACATGCACCGTGCCATGTAGCCTCCGCAATCGAAGACATGTCATAGATAGTCGCCGCCGCCATTGAGTGGATCTCGAACAGGCCAAGGATGTTGCGCAAGACCTGATCCGAGAAGTCGGTCGGGAGTCGTTCTGATATACGAGCAACGCCCTTCGCTGCTGACCATCGAACGATTGTGTCCTGAAAAATATTGGATCATGCTGATTTCAACGTGCCAATACGCCCACCTTGTCCTGCAGTGCGCTGAAATGGTCATCGAGAACGCTTTCGACGATATCCATTGTGTCCGGATCTTCGAGAAGCTCCACGTCTCCGGCGGCAGTGGCATCATCCTCAAGAGCGACAAGAACCCGTCCTGATAGCAGCCCATGAGATAGAAAACCCCATGATATTCAAATGTGAGCTACCTTTATTCCGATTTCTGCGTGCTTTGCCTGGTAATGTTCGTAGGGCAATTCGAGATAGCAACTTCACCCTCAACTTCCTGATGATGGTGTTTGCCATGGCACTGGAACGCCCTTGCACGACACGCGCCAGGTCAAGCAACTCCGAAGTTTTTTCTCGGATCTCTTCGACAGGTCCGGACTTGCCGATTTCGCAGACAGTCCTCAGGATGCCGGTGCACTGCGGGAACCTTAACGTGAACACCACCGGGCAGTCATCACCACGCACCATGAACGCATCGGTCGAGCCAGCGAGACCTTCTCCTGCCCATTGTAGGAACTCGGAGAACATGGAACGCGTATCCTTCCTACGTTTGCTGAGAGCCCATCACGAGATCATGCCAGGCCAGAACGCACCTCATGTACAGTCTTGAAAGCAGCAAAGCCGCGGCATCTCGATCTATTCCGGCCTTTCCCAAGTAATCTTTTCCTATGGACTCAACGGTGCGTGCGGTCTTCCCGGATTGACCATCCTCATCGAACTGAGCCAGGTCAAACGGGATCATACACACAAGCGACAACCACAACAGCACGACGTAGCGTAGAGCCCACTCGTTCGGACCTTGCGTCTCGTCATGCAGGCGCATATAGCCAATAGCGACAGAGAGATCGGCCACTTCATGGGGGAAAAACCTAACTGCGTAGGCATGCTGTAGAGACGGGACACACGACTGGCTTGCGTTTACTGACTGATGGTCTTATAGCCGCGAAACTTCGTGTAATTGTAGATGAGTGTTGCCAGTCGGTTTACTCGTTCAAGAGACCGCGGAGCATTCGGCGATCGAACGCGTTGTCTGGCATACGATCTAAGCTTCTGCACCACAGGTGTCACGAGCGACTCCAGGAAGGGATCGAGCAAGTATGGTTGTTCTTGATATTCATTGAACTACGCCGACTGAGAAGAGCCGTAACGACATATGCACTGTAGGCTTACAATTCTCAACATCCCAACCAGGGTCACAGTGTCTTTGTGATCATCCTCGGGTGAAGGCAACGCCCAAAGATCGCTTGCCAGGAATCGGTCTTGTAGTCCAACGAACTCGCCATGTTTTTCAAACGTGCTCAACAGTCGGGCGTCCGATGCGTCCGTTTCCATAGCCAGCAGATCACCGAGTTACGGGTCGAACCACCGGGGTCGTGGTGAAAGGTGGAGGTGCAACCCAGCGCCAAAATAGGCGCCGACCATGGCCACAGGCCTCGAGATGCTCTGTGGCCACTACATTGCTCCCGCCCCCCTTGATCTGCCCGCAACATGCCTCCAACAGCCGATAGACAGACCCTCAAACGCAAACGGGATCCAGCTGTTCCGGAGGTGAGGCTTTTCCGCCCTATATTGGCGTACCTCAATTCGGGACCAGCAGGTAGAAGATGCCGGACGAAAACTGAAGGGCAAACTGGTGAGGTGTTCGAGACTGCTTTTGAGCTCCTTGGATTGATCTTGATAGATGAAAGCACCATGAACTCAAGGAAGTACGACACGCGTCCAAGAAAGCGAAGGCGTTCGATACGCAGAGGATTGTGAAAAAGCTCAAGGGATTGAAGTACGTTACCCTATTTGCCATTGGTGCAACGACTTCACATAAACACGATTTCTAGGAAGAAAGATGAAATGTCACCTGAAATTGTAGATCTCGAAAAGCAGCTTGAGATACTGAAGGTTCTGCCACTGTATCTTTTTCCGTGTTTCGTTCACTCACGGTTTTTCAGGCCGTGGACTTCGACATCGTAGCAGAGACCGCTCTGAAGACGAAAATCATGAAGGATAAACTGCTGTCTTCAAACGATGCCGTACGGGACGCAGTCCAGGCGGAATTGTCTTCGACCGGTCTCGCTCCAGAACCACCCGGCACGCCTGCCGCAAAAGTGCACGGCAGGCTCCTCAGCTCGAAGGTTCTTGCCACACAGATTAACCTTGTCGTGAATGCCCTGCGCACTATACTGCAGCCGGCTCTCAGCCCTTCGTCCGCTGACGAGGCGTCAGCTGAGTGGTCTGAGCCTCCACCCAAGAAGTCGAAGACCAAACCCAAAGAATTGGCTCCACATATCTCTCCCGCCTTACGAGATGCGAAGGTCTCTGACTCTGGAGAGGGCTCAGACGAGGACGGAGATGAAAGCGATGCTCGAGAGCTCGTTTCAGATGACGATGGCGATGTGGCCGCTGACGATGCTGGGTGGGAATCTGGCTCTGTGGACGATGGTGAGGGCGGATGGGAGTCGGGCACCGTCAGCAGCGACCACTCAGATGAAGTGGAAGATCAAAGCAACGAGGAGGCTGGAGAAACCGAAAAGAAGCCTGCACGGCCAGAACGTCCGCCCGCAAAAGCCAAGGCGTCAATTAAAGCCGGCGAATCGACATTCCTCCCTTCCCTTGCCGTCGGCTTCACGCGCGGAGACTCTGACTCGGAATTCAGTGACAGCGAGGCGAAGTTCGCAGACGGAGTGAAGAAAAACAGGCGTGGACAGCGCGCTCGTAGAGCGTACGTTCACGAGAATGATTGACCTTTACCCTGCCCGTTTCTGATGGCCGTCCTTCCCCAGTATATGGGAGAAGAAATTTGGCCGCAACGCTAATCACGTCAAGAAGCAACGTGAAGAAATCGCAGCGAAGGGAAGCCGGGATAGGAGGGCCCCGCGAGCAGGACCGGGACGACCAGGCCCTCAGCGGAATAACGACGCGCCTAGGATGGCCTTCCACGGGAACGACAGGAAGCTTGCGTCAGGGGCCAATCAAATTCAGAGTCAACATCGCAGAGGCTTTACGGCAACGCAAACAGGCTCGACAACTTCAGGAGCGCAGGCTGCCCATGCGACTGCGGACGCCGGCGCGAAACCGCCGAAGCGCAATCAGGACCGTCCTTTACATCCGTCATGGGAGGCGAAAAAGAGACTCAAGGAGAAGCAGAGCATGGGAATCGTGCCCGCACAGGGTACGAAGATCAAGTTCTGAGCAGGCGGGATCGGTGCATTCAGCTGCGAACGGGCCACTCATCGTGGTGTCCATGTCAGCTTCTCAACTTGCTCTCAGCTGAGGTCGAAGTATCGCAGAAGCCATGTCTATAGTCGTGTTCGTGGCTACATGGTGATAATATGATACATATGACCTATCCTCTTAATGGTGTGTACATTGATTAAGACAATCAGAATGCGAGATGGTAGCAATCCTCCGCCGTCAGTTTTACCCTGCCCTTCGCGCCTTTTGAACAGTACGCGTCCTACTTTCTATTGGTACAGATGTGTTTCTTGCCGTTATTGCTAGAAATCCGGCAGTCACGCGAGCACCACGTCTCGTCGCATCTCGGACAACGAGGGAAGTTGGCTCCCCTCTTGGTACAGTGGGAGCAGACGGAGGCGGTGCTCAGTTTGGAGGACTCTTCAAGGGCAGCGAGCGCGGGGTCAATCCTGGCTGCGCACCGCATAGGCGAAGGAGATAGTTCTCGCAGTCTGCGGGTGTGTCGTGGCGGCGACCCAGCGGTGGACGAGGATGGGGTCGCCGGCATGGACGTATCGGCCGAGCCTGAGTACGAATGGGTACGGCTAATGGAGGGTATGGAAGACATGGTCGGCACTGGCGACCCCGGAGCGATGGGCTCGTCCCATTCGGGAGGAGGGACGGGGCGCGAGGATGGAAGCATCCGTTTCCACAAAGGTCTGCGAACGCTAGCGTGGATATACCGCAGAGCATCACTGGCGGGGTTGACGGTTGTGAACGAGCCCAAGGTGTGATGATCCTTGCTAAGAGCAATAGTACATGTTGTTTTGGGTGTACCCCGTTCGGATGGAGATGGTGACGCGCAGGAACGACGCGGGTTCATGGGACCTGTCCAGGTCGCGTGCCGCTGATGATGAGACGGACGTTTGTCCTGTAGAGTGAGGGTAAGAGCGATCTATAGTTCAGAGATGACCTAGGGACATACCGATACCGAAGCCCAAGCGGCATCGTCGACGATAAGGGTGTGATGACCGACGTCGAGGTCGGAGTGTGGAAGCTGTTGAGCGGTCAGCGCTTTAGGGGGTAATCTATGGATAGTCATGTGCGGTGTGGGTCTAACCTGGTGACGGTTGGGTCGCTGCTGAGGATAGAGAGATACGTCTAGCATGTTGATGAGGGGTTGCCGAGAACGTCGGGGAGGATGATAGGGCTAGTGTGTCGGGCGACCGAGGCTTTTCCAAGGTTTGACTGCATATCCAGGGGTTAAGTATGGGTACGGGCAACGCCCGCCAGAATCGTGAAATCGAGAAATCGCGACACGTGACATTACACAGCCGCGTCGCCGTCCTCTCTCTAAAATTTATCGTCCGACGAGCAATGCTGACGATCATGACACGAAATATATTTGACGATACACTGAACGCGACGACGGAAGAACACTGTACAGTCATAGCAAGTTGTATTCGGCAATGTTCGATACTGGGGAATCACATACCGAAGTTACAATAGGATGCTCAGAGCATTCTATTCATCCACCTCCGTGTCTGACCCTCCATCGTCCTGCGGTCGACCCATGGCAAGGCTTGGGGTGGGAGGTGGTTGTTGAGTGCCGCGGGGACTGCGAAGCTCATGGTATTTGGTGAGAGCAGTAACGAGGGTCTGTTGTTTGCTGATCTTTAGTCCACGGCCCTTGCGGCCACGAGAGGGTATCGCGGCGTCCGTGAAAGCCCGGTGCCAGTCCAATTGGTCGTCGAGTTCCTTAACTGAGAGCTTGGCAACCTTGTCCGCTTCGAGAACGAGCGTCAGCTGGGCAAGACGTGCTTGCTCCGCACAGATCTTCGCGAGCTTGTCGGCATCGATGCGTCGGTGGTCTGCAATAATTTCGTGGTCGTATTGTGCTATCGCATCCCGTCTTCGTTTTTCTGATTGACTGGCGGAAAGGTCTCGTGCGTGTCGCCGGATGAATGAGTAAGTACCAGGATGGAGTGTGCGGATATAGTGTCGTACGCGATTGCGCTTGTACATCGCACGTCCGTTGTATTGATCGAGGGTCATATTTGGCGCACGTCGCTTCGCTTGACGGAACGATCCCAAAGAGCCTGTGCCCATGTTAGCATATTTTCATGATGCACGGTGACATGGCGACGCACCTTCGTTATCATCGTTTGTGGGTTTTGCGTACGCTGCTGGGCCTTGCGCGTTAGTCCGGGTCGAGGCAAAAACGGTCGTTACAGGACTGTCTGGTGCGAACTCCTTGAGAAACCGAGGAAGTGTATCAGCGACTCCTTTGAAGAGCCCCGACAGGACGATATCGAGATGAGGCAATTCCGGCACAAGTTGTTGAATCCGGTACCAGACTTCAGGGTAGCTGAATGGCTGCTGTTCAAAGCAGGCGCTACCATATGTTGCATCTGAGCCAGTTAGAAGCGAGATGTTGTTGGCGAGGTTGGTGACATGGGAGAGAAGGCGAGAATGTAGTGGACCGAGAGTGAGATGATTGACTCCGGCGCTCTCCGATGTGCGAATAATGCTCGTATATTGATGGCCAACGGAAATCTGGTACAGCGCCATGGCAGCGAGCTCGGTCAGTGTTGCCGTGTCATTGAGAGCAGTGTATAGATTCTTTTCGATGTTCGTGAACGTACGATCTTGTTTCTTGTCACGTATGTCTTCGAGGAAAGTCCTATGTTTGACGAGCCGTAAAATCAAGTGAATGGCAGCTTCTCCGTAGGAACCATAACGGTTGGAACTTGTTTCGGGAAATGGTACGGCGTAGGAGAGGCCATCTTCGAAGTGGATGCGATAGATATCATGCTGACCTTTCTTCGAGTCTTTGTTGTTATAAACCTCCCCAGCAAGCCATGCCGCCTTTACACCTCCGCGTGGTGAAACTGAATCTAGGCGCTCGCGTTCAGCGTCGGTGGGAGCATGATGATACGACTGAGCATTGGCAGCATTCATGAGAGATATCGGTAGGGGCAAGTGGTTATTTCCCCAAGTAAGCGCCATAGACGAGCATCCTCCCTTGAAGCCATTCATCTCCTTGTGCATACAGCAGCCGACTTGGGCAAAAAAGTCGATATTGAGTTTATCGGAGTCACCAAGCATTTCATAGCCCTCTTCTCCAGACCGGCGGCAGACAGTCTTCCATGCAGTATCAAGATGTCGCCCGCGCTCCGTCGCCGACAGGTCTGTCCAGAATCTCACACCACCGAGGGACACGATTTTGTGACTGACTTCGGCCCAGACAATTGCACATAGCTGCGCCGAGTCTTTCTCGAGAAGACATTTCTCGCCCCGGAGCAGCCTATCCGATGTTTCCTTCCATGCTTTGATTCCGCGTGCGACGGCAGTATTGTCACTGGAGTGATCGGAGCCATAGATTGTCACCTTACTGGGAAACTCCAGTGCACTGACGGCAGTCGACGACGACAGAGGACTTGCATTCCATACACCAAATAAGTCATCTGCAACAAGTTCTTCCCAGCCACGAAGCTGCGTCACAGCCTGGTGATTCGGAGCGTTCATGATCGGGAGCATGAACGTCGAAATAGATGAGGATCCTGCGAGTGAGGAGGTATCGCCGAGCAGACCAGACGGTGCATCAACATCTGTCATACTAGACTGACTTGAGATTGTATGGATATGCTTGCTTTCGTAATGCCGATTCTTGTGTGATGTCCCATCCGCCGAGAGAGAGATACCTACGATGAGTGTCATTACTCTTCTTACCGCAATGAGTTGGCAAGATACCTTCTGCCGCATGTACAGCCTCGACAATCTGCAGCTTCGCAGCAGTAAGGCCTTCGAGTACTATGCGAGAGACACTACGGCGGCTTATTGAGCCCAAGATAGCAATTCCCCATATCTCGGCAATGATAGTCAATGCCTCTCCCACGTGTGCAGATGGCAATCCAAGTCGGGTCAACTCGTGTACGAGAAATCTTGCCGATTCCGTGATGGTTCCCCGATTTTTGAGGCACTGCGCGCGAGAGATGATCTCCTGTGCCTTCCCAGCCTGATAGGCACGAGTTCGGAGACGCGAGAGCTGCACCCGAAGTATTTGCCGATCCTTGGCAGTAGCGGACAGCTTTCCTCGAAGCTTGGAGACAGTCCGTTGGCTAGCATCCAGAGAACTCACAGCATCTGACACCTGGACTCGAAGCAAAGTTATACGGCGTGTTTCTCTTTGACACAGAGTCTGGCAGCATCGGATCTCATTCTTTACAGCCACAACTTGACGAAAGAGAACCTGGTTGCGATCAGACGTTGTCTCCAGCTGAAGAATCAGATCCATCTCTCGGGAAGACATCAACAAGATCCGGCTTTCCTGCATCTCGAGGATAGCAACCTGTTGTCTCTCTGTGTGTTTTGAGGCATGTAGGCGTGCTCTGAGGACCTTTTTGGCCTCGAGGTTCCACCGGGTCTTCTGCTTCTGGGCCTTGAGGTTGAGCCTGAGAGCCGATATCGTTATCTCAGCCTGTGAGAGTTTTCCGCGCAGATCGGTGATGATAGCAGCAGTTGCCGCTCCAGACACGGCCTCCACCCTCGATGCACGGGCTATAGCACAGTTGAGTCGACGAGAGGCTGTTTGGGCAGCGGTAGGAGCCATCGCACGAGTAACAAAGATGTATTTTGCGACACCGTCGTCTCTTCCGGACATGCATCGAGGCGTGAGAAGAGTACTGTCAAGCATTTTGCAGGCCTTTGCTTCGCAGTGTAGTATCACTGCCCAGGCTCGGACTAAACTCACGATTAAATCTTCAAATAATCTTCGCCTACACAGTATCAGTTTGGCCTTGAATTTATCTCTGAGACCTTTCTCCAGAGCCTACAATGACCCCTTCGAGTGCCATTGCGAGAGGTACAGCCAATCTTATCATATTTCCGGAAGTGAGATTACATGCGACTATTATTATGAACACTTTCTCCTGTACAACTATGGCCCCAGTGTTCCTGCCCGAACACTTGCTGTTCGGACGATGAATCGTTAATCCCGTTGGGAGGGGTGGCGTGGGATCATCCAGCGCCACACATTCTCGATTTCACGGTTCTGGCGGGCGTTGCCCGTACCCATTAAGTATTAGACATCAGTACGGTGTGAAGGCAGCGGGCCAGAAGAACTGCCCTTCGCGAAATCACATGACGCACCACTGCTGACGCTACACTTAGCACACGAGGTGGACCCTGCTGGATCTGTGTTGAAATGAGATGCTAGCAGTAGATTGAACGTTGATACGCTGTTGCTGCTTCAGACAAGATTGCAGAGGTGGTTGTAGTACGATGCGAGGGTCGGAAGGATGCTTACTTATGTTCAGGGGTCTTATAATTTTATTTTTCGGGCGCCGGCGATCTGACGGTCTCGGCTTCCAGGGCTGTGTAGCGGGGGCAGTGGGGCTCCGCCCAGACTCCGCGACAAAAAACCATCTCCCCCTTGTTTACTTCCGTCGTCATGAAGCTTTCGCTGGGCCCAGGATTATCCACAATGGAACTACCGAACACCGTAGTGTTCTTCCAACAACACACTCTCGGGAGACTTGTGGTGTTGGTGCCTTTGACCGTTTGCCCCTGCTCCTCCTTATCTTGCTCGCAACCCGTGGGTTGTTGCTTGCATCGATCTCAATCAAGAAGCCCGCTTCGCATCGTCTACATATTCTCACCTATACTGGTAAGATAGGGCTCATTCAGTTTCAACAGGTGTGATACGTGCTGCGCAGCGAATTCCACTCGCTACGGGGCACACTCTCTAAATCTAAAACCACAATTCTCTTTGGATGTACATTATCTTGAGATCTGTGGCGGCGATTTCTGTGAATTTTGAGTGTAGATTATTTTATTCGACTAGCAAGACCCGTGGGACCTGTTGAAACTGAATGAGCCCTATCTTACTTATGTGGTCCTTTCGCGCAGCCGCGATCGACACGTTAGCACTGTAATTGGTGGTCGTGTGACCCCAAGCTTGACGGCCTTGCGGGCCCCCGGTAAGACCTGCCAAAGGGTTAGATCACGTACATCTATTCATTAACGTGTGTCCCTGCCCTTTCGCAATCGGTGAAAAGTTACCTTCGGCCGATATGGATCTCCATTGTGGCTGAGGCCAGATGAACTGGTTTGCTCGCGAAGCATCGATGCAGAGGTCTGACGACCTGGCTGAAGCGCACACGCTGTTTCGAAATCACCCAAACACTCATACTTGCGCGACGAGGGTTCCAAATGAATGCCTCATGCGTCACGGATCTGGCAATTGGTCGTCATCGTATTGCATTATTTCGACGAACTCGAACGTGCTTCCTCATCATCATTCACATGCATGCAATGGGAAACCGCATTGCTAGCAAATACAAGCGCGCATGCCGTCTCGAAACACGTCCGAGCGCATATGCAGATAGGATAGCCATGTATAAAGCTTCTTTGTTTATGAGTACTCAAGGTTAGCACATTGATGACTCACCGGCGTACATATACTCCTAGATGCTATCTCAATCCAGGCGCGTACGTTTGCTTGTTCGCCGGCGCGTTGTACCCCTTTCTAATCATAAGGTGCGCTACTGCCGTTCATGCCCTGATCGGGATCTCATTCTATAACTACGTAGGGTCCTCGTTCCAATTTCTACATCGCCAACCTCGGGAGATGTGAATAGTGAGCTATGTATCCTGCGCTACATGCTATTACATTCCCGAATCCGGCCAGAACACCGCGAAAGAGCGTTAACGTTAGCGCTCGATTCGTAGCTGTATTCTTGTACAACACCAGTACTCGGTTTACGATTACTGGTGTCTCGTCCATTCTTGTCCATTGCTAATGGGTTGCCTCAATGCTCATGCTGAAACGAACCATAGTACACCAGAGCGGCTCCGTTCGTCGGCTGTTGCCGAACTATCTCAACAGCGGTCTGAAGACCGCCGCCATGTCCGTAGACCATAGTAGCTAGTCCTCTCGTTGGGACTTGTCTATTGTAGTTCGAAAATATGATTCCTCTCGAGATGCAGCCAATGAGCTCATCGATTTCGAAGGATTGCGGCCTCCTTGCAACCACGAGTATCGAGGTCATCGTCCTAGAATCGTGCGCGGATCGAGCGTATGTTTCTGGAGATCCGTAGCCATATCGACGCATCTTCGGAGGGCAATGCAACGAGATGGCTGAGAACGGCGCGAACATTGTAGCTCCGGAATGCTGTAGACGGTCTCGAGATCGCATCTTCATGTACGACAGCTCCGAGCTCAGCGAGATCCTGCAGCTGGTGTAGGATGTGAGCAGCATGGGCCTGAAGCTGTCCGTTAATACTCGAACGGGTCACCAATCCCGTCCCAAAGCCCCACTGTGCTGCTGCAATTTTGCTATTCGGGGCTAAACCGATGAGCAAGGTGCTGTGCTCCACCAGATTACGGCCCATTTCCCGAAACGGCATACGCAGCTGTCTGGCACGAAACTCAGGCCCAGATCCCGCACGCCCGCTCTCTTCATTGCCTTCTCTCGTCCCCGAACCCCGTCCACACGACTTGCCCGCGTATTTTTTCGTCGCTCGCGTCCGTACTGCAGGAAGACACAGCGATCAGGAAAACAACCGAACGATCCGAAACCCTTACCACACTAGCTCCACCCATATCGCCGAGTCATGGTGAGCGCTTACATGTTCGTTTCACGGCGCGAGCTCATGCTGGGCGTGTTAGGGTCAAACATTATCACAACCAGGTTCGTTCATCCCGTAGGAAAGCCAAGACATAGTCTTATCTTGTCCTCCTGAATAGCGACTGAGAAGAAGACCGAAAGTGGAGGCGATGCGCGGTTTCTATACGCCGTTTCGGAGATGCAAGGATGGAGAATAAGTAAGTGAATGTTTTTCAGCAAGTTCTGGTTAGATCGGGTCCATGGAACGCCATGCGATGTTCCATGCAAGTCATCTGTGCGGCCGCTGAACTGGTCTTTGTTGTCAGGTATGGAGGATGCGCATACTGTGGCGTTGCAACTGGAAGAAGAGGGCACGGACAAGCACAACAGCTTCTTTGCCGTATATGATGGCCATGGCGGTGTGTACCGTTACCCTCTCTGTGAACCTCCGAGTGCGATATGGCTCGACAGGCGCGGCCGCTGCGAAGTTTGCGGGTGAGCGTGTACATCAGCTCCTTCAGCAAGAAGAGTCGTACCGGTCAGAGCAGTGGGAGCAGGCAATGAAACAGGCGTTCTTGCACACGGATGAGGAGATGATTAAAGGTACGCCTGCATACACGCAGGCTTTATCATCTATGGTTCTTACTCTTTTCCAGATCCATCGCATCTCCGGGATCCGTCGGGTTGCACCGCTGTCGCTGCACTCATCACACATGATAACAAACTCCTTGTGGTATGTGCATGCATTTGCACCTGCATATGTTGCTGAATCTGATACAGGCGAATGCCGGCGACTCCCGATCGGTTTTGAGCGTTAAAGGAGAGGTCAAAGCTATGAGTTACGACCACAAGCCACAGAACGAGAGTGCGTCATATGTGCATGCTCTCACTTTGCAGATCTCACACAAGTCCATAGGCGAGAAGTCCCGGATAGTGGCGGCCGGAGGTTACGTCGAATACGGTCGCGTCAACGGTGAGACTGCCTCGCTTCTGGACATTGAGTGGGACTGACCGTAGCTTAGGAAACCTTGCACTCTCTCGTGCGCTTGGTGACTTCGAATATAAGAAGAACCTTTCCCTTAGCGCTGAAAACCAGATCATCACATGCGATCCGGATATTATGACGCATGACATCACCGACGACGACGAGTTCCTCGTGCTGGCGTGCGACGGTACGTAGAGTTGAGGACCATCATGTGTAGGATCGTCTCATCGGGTCCGCACAGGTATCTGGGACTGCCTTTCTTCCCAGCAAGTCGTCAACATCGTAAGACGATGGGTGGCGGAAGGCAAGGAACTCGGTGAAATTTGCGAGCAGATTTGCGAGCACTGTTTGGCCCCGGACACCACCTCGGGTGCTGGGATCGGCTGCGACAACATGACGATCCTCATAGTCGCATTGCTCCACGGCAAGACGAAGGAGGAGTGGTATGCGTGGATCAAGGATCGCGTCGAGAACAAGTACGGCTACGATACCCCCGAAGAGATTCCGCAGCTCTTCGCCCAAAGCCGATTGATGGCGTTCCGGGCGCGGAGGCAAGCCTTGGCAGAGCGCAACCAGGATCAGGATGGACGACAGAATGGTCCCGCAGGAAACCTCGGCGGCTTGCTCAGTGCGGGTGGGCTCGGTGGGTTCGCGCGTGTCCTCGGAAGCACCGGTGGCATCACCTTCCACCCTGGGTCTGGTATCGTGTCCGACTCAGGGCTCATGTTCGAGAAGTATGACGACAGTGATGAAGATGACACGGACGAGGACATGGACGTTGATGGTGCGAACGGCAGCAGGTCGTTCTTCAGCGAGACCTTCGGCACCGGTGCGCCTGATGGGACGAAGAGCTTGAGGGAGCAACTCGCGGATCTTGAGAAGGACTCGGATTCGGACATGAACGAGGAGGAAGCAGAGGAAGCCGGTGTCGGCACATTCTCGAGGTCCGGACAACCGCAGGATACCCCTAACCCAGATGCGACGACGCCCATCCCGATTGGCAACGTTGACCACGTCCTGCAAGGCGAAGCCCCGCCGCCGCCCAAATCGCTGCCGAATGGCGACGCAAAGCAGCTTGAGTCCGAGCCTGGCGGAGACGAACCCCATCCCGCGGTAAAGGCCGAAGGCCTTCTGGACAAGAGCGAGGATCCCATCAAGGCCTCCACGTAATTCATCTTGCTTTTCGATTCCTTTGTCACATAATCTCGTCTGCTGCTCCCTTTGGCTTCGTTTTTCCTCCTAGCCCGCCGTTCAAACTCTGCGTATTGTACATATGTATCACGACAGATGTAGCATCATAGGCATAGGATTCCGCTTCTCAGTGTCCCTGGCATCGTGTAGCATTTATCTGTGGTTATCCAAGGTTTGTGATTACAGTACATATCGCTCTTGTTCTTCTGTCAAGCTAGTCATAACAGCCCCCGCAAAACGAACAGTCCCTCCTCACAAAGACAGAGGATGATGAGTTGCCCATCGTTTTTTAACCCCCCAACACCCAGCAACGAGCCGGCAGCACCACCACCTACGCGCAGGATCGACTGCTGGCCAGAGGTGTCCTTGGGCTTGGTGCTGCGATACAGATAGAGGTTTCCACCATAGCCCGCGCCGCTGCCGCTTTCAAATGCCAGGACAGCTTTTGAAGGAACATGATACGTAAAGCGGACGTCGCGCTTCGATGCTAACACGAAGGCGAGCGCCGAGAACGTTGACGTATGGGACCATGCAGCTGGGCCATCCGGGCTGGAAGCGGGTGATAGAGTGAAGACGACACCGTCCACGCCGTTTTTGCCGATGAGTGAAGGCTCGGATATGCCGGGAATGGGCGTAGAGAGCAGCTGCAGCGTGCCGTCCCCGTTTTTCGTTGACATGGGCAGGGTATCTCCAGAGTCGGAGACCCATGTCACGCACGCAGCGCTGCCTACGGACACATCCACTTCATCGTCCATTTCTCCCTTCGCGAAGCTGGGCACGCCTGTTCCCAGCCCTAAGCCACTCGCGTCTTCGCCGGTTCGGGCGGCGATCGTGAATTTCTCCATGCTCTCCAGGATGTTGGCGAGCTCAGATGGGTCCAGCGTTTCGGGTACCTCCACGTCATATGGGTCCTCGGATGCGCTGCCAGTGCTGGTGAATACCTGTGGCCACCGCGTGCCCTCATGCTGCTTATCGAGATGAACGGTGAGTAGTCCGAGTGCCTTTTCTGCCTCGCGGTCCCACGTCCAGACGCTGGAGGTCGGCTGTATGCCGTCCCATAGCGTCTTGGAGAAGCGAGGGAGTGGCGCCGACAGCGTAGTCTCGCCGGAGACGAAAACGGTCAGTGACTTGGGTGAGAATGCGACTTTGATATCGGACTTGGGGGTTGACCTTGGGAGGGCAAACGCAACGCTGACCGTGTCACCGGTCTGCGTCCACGAGTAGGGAGGGGGTGGTGGCGGTTCTTTGTTTTCTACAGCGGCCTCCAAGTTTTCATCTTTCCGAGGCACGGGTGCCAGCTCGTCTGCGGACGGCTCGTACGCGCTCGATGGTGCGGATGCAGGACGATAGATGGAGCTGCCCACCAGCAGCCAAGCGTGTCTTGCGGAGTCATGATACGTGTAGAGCGGGACATCCTCGCCTTTCCGGTGCCAGATGACATCCATTGCCTGCACCCTGTCCTGAGGCAATAACACAGGCACGCTAAAACGAATGCACCGGATGTCGTACTCGACTTTCGTGATCGCGGGTCGTGTAGGACGTTCGGCGTCCACGGGGCGGTCGATATGGGTGCATGAAGATAAGATGAGCGTTGCTTCGGATGGCGACACGAGGGCGCCTTGATGGATCCTGAATGGAACGGTGTTGTCTGGCAGCTCCAGCGTCCCAAGTAGTGTTGCTCCGCCCTGAGCTGGTATTTGCACGACGTAGAGATAACCATATCCATCTGCGACAGCACAGACAGAGTCGGTCAGGAACGCAGCCGACGGATATTCCCTTTGAATATCATGCTGCGAGTCGGTCTGTATAGGGCTCGGTAGTTCGTATGCGATCCTGAACAACGGTTGAAGGGTATCCTACTTCGGTTCGCCGTTAGTCACAATCAGCCTTCGATGATGTCCGTACACACCTTCTCCAGCTCCACTACGATCAGCCTCAGAGACTCATCGATATATAGCGCGCGCCCGGACTCATGGACCACAAGATGATTGTGTCGGATCCGGCTTTGAACTTCCTGGAACGACAACGATGATCGACCAGACAGAGCAGCTTGCGTCGCTTTATATTCGAGAGCGTACTGGGTCGCTACGGTCTCTTGATCTAACGCAGCAAACTTGTAGCCCTCGAAGCTGGGATTCAGGAGACCCCGTTTTGTCGAGAATTCCGCCATGTTGAAAGCCTGGCCAGGTGCGGAGAGTTGTGGGATAACCTAGCCTCCAAGACTACATAGCTCTGACATCAGTTTCAACGTCGGCGACATCGGGCCACTTGTTTTGCACCTACCCCTACCTAGCTGACTGTGGTACGGAAATGGGGCTATAAAAGGGTGTTTCCCGCGGGCGGTCCTGAGTTACGCAAATTATATCGCGCAACTGGTTGTCGTGTTTCTCCTCCATCTCTTAAAGGATGGCACTACCTGCGCCAGCTGAACAGCAGAATTTCTGTCATGTATCTGCTCTAGAAGGGGGCGAATTCACTATGCCTCTCGATCAAGTCCTTGAGGGAGCCCACGACAGAGTTCTCGTGCCGTCTTTGGCGTTCCTGCTACGGCATTCATCCACAGGACAGACAATCGTCTTCGACTTAGGCCTCTTGCGAGACATACACCAATATCCACCGGCGGTCGTGGAAGATATCAAACAATACTTTCTGCCCGTGAACGTACCACGAACAGTCAGCGAATCGCTGCAGGAAGGTGGCCTGGACCCCGCAGCGGTGGACTACGTGATCTACAGTCACTTGCATTTCGGTAGGTTGGCTTCATAACTTCTTTTTTTGTGGGTTCAGACTGATTGTGATCTTGAAGACCACATAGGCGATACTAAGCCATTTACTAAGGCAACCTTCATTGTCGGCGAAGGTGGCTTTTGTCCTCCTGGCTATCCTCACGACCAGCACGCATACGTCGCGTCCGACTTGCTTCCCGAAGATCGAACTAAGTTCGCGTCGAGAAACGAATGGAGTCCGCTGGGGCCATTTCCTTTGTCGACCGACATGCTTGGGGACGGCAGTGTCTACATCATCGACGCTCCAGGCCATTGCCCGGGCCACCTCAATTTGCTGGTGCGCACATCACCCGATGGCGCATGGCTTCTCCTCGCTGGAGACACCGTCCATGACAGGCGGCTCTTTACTGGAGAGGGGAAGATGGCTGTTGAACGCATATCGAATGGGGGCACTGCAGGCCTCATGCACGATGACAAGGATTTTGCACAGCTCCACATCAAGCGCGTAAAAGAGTTCGCCGAGGGATATAAGGTGAAGGTCATCTTCGCGCACGACAAAGAATGGTTCGCCGCGAATCGAGGTGGGAGTGCGTTCTGGCCAGGACAATTCGATCCTGTGGTCGAATGAAGAAAGAATACGCCCGTGCATTCGACAATGGTAATGATGTAACGATTGTTCAGAGGATATGATCGTGCTTCTCTTGGTCGGTTTCATCTTCTGGCATCAGATTCAAGGGATTATGCGGGGCAGCAACCGGTTATTCCGCTATAGGACCGGGCCGGAGATATACCTACCTGCCCACCACCACACAAGATGGGAATTCGAAGATCACGATGGGCCGGAGAGCTTACGCAGTGATCGGCAGCTCATCGTCTAAATCTCGTATATGAACTGACTTACGTCGTCCTTTCCCTCAATCGGTCCAGCACCGCGGCACATATTCAGCATGTTGCTACCCAAACCCGGCGCAAACCAAAATTATTGTCACGTATCCGCACTCGAATCCGGTATGCTCACACTGCCGATGGAGATGGTTCTAGCAAATGGCGAGGGCGCTCCTGACACCCCCGTGCTATCATTCCTGTTACGTCACTCGTCGTCTGGGAAGACTATCGTCTTTGACCTGGGTATAGAGCGAGAGTTGAAGGGCTATCCACCGCATGTGATTTCGTTTATCAACGAGCACTTCAAGCCTTGGGTGCCTCAGTCAATCGAGGAGTCACTCCGTAAAGGTGGTCTTGACCCATCTGCTGTGGATTATGTCATCATCAGCCATCTACACTGGGGTGAGTGGGTGATAAGTCCATTTTACAACCGATCGGTCAAGCTGATAAGTTCACAACACTAGATCATTCGGGGGATCCACGACCGTTCACAAAGGCGACGATAATGGTCGGTGCAGACAGTAAGCACATCTGTTCACCGGGTTATCCAGAAGACCCCAGCGCGATGGTACCCTCGGAGCTTCTCCCCAAGGATCGGACCAAGTTCATGAGCCGCGACGCTTGGAAGCCGTTAGGACCTTTCCCACTCGCCCTCGACCTATTCGATGACGGGAGCGTTTACGTCGTCGACGCGCAGGGCCATTGTCCCGGCCATATCAACCTGCTCATGCGCACATCCGCAGACGGAGGTTGGCTCTACCTCGCTGGAGATAGTGCACACCACAGACACATCCTCACCGGGAAAGCAACAATGGCCACTACAACGAGCTCGGATGGTGTTGTGAAGGCGCGGATGCACCACGACAAGGATAAGGCGGAAGCGCACATCCGATGCATTGCAGAACTTCGCAGTCAAGACCGTGTGCTCGTGCTCCTCTCGCATGACACAGACTGGTACGCAGCCAACAAGGATGGGAATGCGTTTTGGCCGGGGACGATTCCTGCTCTTTAGAGCTGAGTACGTGTCTCTGGGTACACCGGATGGTCATCAGCTGACCCTGGACTTCGTAGCACGTCATGCATCGACCGTGCCTACATGGGTTTATGTTTAGTTAGAAGCACGAACCTGGGAATGATGCTCCAAACAACCTACTTATATTTCATGCTTTGATTATCCCCGAATAGCCTGTGATATAATCCTTGAGGATACAAATAGAAATACAAAAGATCCCAGTCATCGCTTGATTTACTCCCAGGACGATTACTCACCTATGACGCTGCCGCTGCCCGCGAAAGATCAGCCCTTCTTCCGTGTCTCCGCGCTGGAGGCGGGCATGCTGCAACTTCCTCTTGAACTCATCCTGGCTGGGTATAAAGACCCAATCGATGTCCCATCTTTATCCTTCCTGCTGAGGCACTCGTCGTCCGGCAAAACCGTGGTGTTCGACCTGGGCATTCGCCGGGACCTGGAAGCGTACCCTCCGCTGCCTTACGAAGGCATCAAGAAACACTGGGTCCCTACTGTCCAACAGAGTGTGGCTGAGTCGCTCCAGATAGGGGGCATCGAGCCATCTGATGTGAACTACGTGATTATCAGCCATCTGCACTGGGGTGCGAGTGCTTCAACTGCTGAGTTTACCTTGAGTGGCATCTGACCAGAAGAGAGTAGATCATGCAGGAGACCCCAGGCCTTTCACGAACGCGACGTTCATCGTGGGCGCAGACAGTTGCCACATGACCGAGAGCAACACGGAGGATGTGAACGCCGTACCGGCTTCCGGCCTTCCACAGGACCGTACACGTTTCGAAGGCCGGGAGACATGGCAGCCTCTAGGGCCATTTCCCCTAGCACTCGATGTCTTCGGTGACGGAAGCGCATACCTCGTTGATGCACAAGGTCATTGCCATGGGCACACCAATCTGCTGGTGCGGACATCCGCAGACGGGGCATGGATTTACTTCGCGGGTGACAGCGCGCACGACCGACGGCTCCTCACCGGAGAAGCGAGCATGGCCATAAGAACAAACGAAGACGGCAGCGTCAAGGCCATCATGCACAAGGACATGGACAAGGCGAAGGCCCACATTCAACGTATCGCAGCGTTAGAGAAGAAGGACCGGGTCAGAGTTCTTCTAGCTCACGATAGAGAATGGTACGCGACCAACAAGGGCGGGCCTGCCTTCTGGCCTGGGGAAATTCCGAGTCTATGACAGTAAATATGAGCAGGCGAGGACCAGCAGGCGAAGGAGATGTGTGAGAACGGAGGCTGGGTCAATATGAGGCGAGAATCGCGGAAATATTATAGCATGGCTATGGATACAGATAGAGAATAAGATGTGATGAACGCATGAATGCGTCTATGACGGGACGAGTGCCTGACGTGGCGTCACCCAGCGAGGTCTTCGTTTGCATCCAGTTTTCAGACCTTGAAGCCGTACCCCCGCATGCACGCAAGATGTTGCTGCACGAGGATCTTGCACTTTTCGTCAGCCTCCGCGGGGTCAAAGCGCATGAAGCAGTCGTCCCTAGCAGACTTTGTCTGTGGACATGCGCAGCATCTAATAACATCGAGGTGTCAGAAAATCTCGGAACGGGTCCGAACGAACTGCAGACGCACGGCTTGAGTCCCTCGGGATTCAACGGGTTCTGCTTCGGGTCTGTTGGGTCAAACCCCTTCGCTGTTGCCTGAGCAGGAGCTGAAGAAGACGACCACCATGAGGTAACCTGGAAGATAGCTATGAGCACAAGCACACCGAGGACGATACAAGCATGCAACTTTCTCGAGCATCTTGGCTGCAGACCTGCAAGGGACCAAGAACAGAAGGCTTATTCACTTTCTGAGGTGGCGGTGCCGGTGAATATGACGCAATCTTGTGACTTCTGCATGACAAGTGCGTGATTGCGTCACGCTTACACCTGTTTGGGCGCCTTCCTTCACGCCACGCGTTCAAGAAGTTGAGAGGTAGTACGCATACATAGCAGTGTTTAACATCTGCATGATGCCGCCAGCTATAGCTCATTCGAGGCGCTGTCTACATGATTTAGCTCAGATGCGGTCTTCGCTATGGGAATGGTCAGAGGCAACATATAGTGGATAGGGCGGGACACAAATGGCGTCTAACTCGTCCTCTTTGCCAGATGGCAACGGAATGCCCAAGAATTCAAGCTCGTCCGCGGTAAGGAAGATAATGTCAGTGAGGTTGGCGGAAAGATTCGTCGGATGTTCCTTTGCGAGGTTGGCGGAAAGATTCGTCGGATGTTCCTTTGCGAAATTCCAGTGATCCGGGTGCTCGTTTCGGATGTGACTGTACATGTTATACTTCCAGAACGCAGGCCACTGTTTTGTTACCGGGTTGGCGGGGCAGAAAGGACAGGCGATGGGTACGTTGGTAGATGGTTTGCTCTTGGATGCTTTCTTGGCCCATGCTATGGAGAATGTGTGAGCACGAGGACAGTTCGTCTCGACCTTCCCTGCGGTTAAGTCAGACACTTCCCCCGCGAGCTTCATGAGCGCGAGCGTGCAGGTGCCAGAGCGACCGCAGAATCGACACGAGTTCGGGAATCGGGCCTTCGTCGTGCTTCGGTAAGCGTTCCACCGCATATACGGCATTCGGCCACTCACCCGCCCCTGCAGACGCTCGCCAATCACTCCGAACTGACAGCGAAGGATGTGCGCGCCAACGTGTGCACGCGCTTCAGCCGGATCAAGCGGCGCAGTGCACTGGAAGCAATGCACCTTACCGCCGTATGCCTCGGACACATCGCCCGCATCGGGCGCCAACAGGGTGTATTCGCGGGGTGCCGCGGCAGGCGCATGATGGCGGTCCAGCTGCGCGTTCATACTGCGCACCTGTCATCAAGATAAGCTAATGTACAGTGAGTTCACGGGTTGGTCAACGAACCCTGCTTCGCGACCGCACGTTGTCCTCTTCACTAGTACGGATGAGCCCTCGAAGCTGGCGATGGTGACAGTGGGCCAGTTCTGAAAAGGGAAATACCCGCTCCACGGCGCGCGCATGCAGTTTCTTGAACGCCGTTTCGCCGCGTATGCAGCTGCACGCATAGCAGACCTCCCCAATAGCGCAAACACGGCGACAATGCGAGGACCTTAGGGTGAGTCCGGTACCATCGCGGAAGAACCGGAAGGGTTGGAAGCCGAGTTCGCTCGAAGGACCGAACAGCTGGAACGGGAAGGTCTCCATTACCGGCCCAGCTGTCCACGAAGTAGGGTATTGCAGTGGCATGCATCAGGAAAAACCGGATTTGCTCAAAACCTCCTAAAACGTACTAAAACGTGCTCATTTAGTAGCTTTAGAGGGTTTCGGTACCCAATAAGTGACTCTTTCGATAGTCAGATTTTTCCTGATGTGCCCATGCATGTTCGCGGAGGCGGTGTGCTCCAGGCCTCCAGGCTATTGAGAAGCGGTAGAGCTAGCGTACAGAGCGCCGCCCGTTCGTCATGGCCACCTGCACTTTTCGGAGCCGAAGTGTGTTGAGCCGGTCGAGGGCCAGGAAGACCGTTCTTGATTTCGGCAAGCACCTGCCTGGTCCTCTGCACCTCGCGAGCGATGCGAGAGTTCTGTTCGCGTGTGCACTCGGCACTGCCAGCGTGCGCGTCATTACTATGCGTGGACCCCGCGGTGACAGAGACTTTGAAACCAGATGGAGAGGCAGAGGAGAAGATGGCGTTCTGCCGGATGAAAGCACCAGATCTGAAAGGTGCCGGTAACGCATTAGAGGAGGAGAGGCTGTCAAGTGATCTGAATAGCGGGATTGTCCACGGGAGAAGTTGCTGAAGGATCGCCATGTGACGTAGGTTTCGGAGGCAAGACCTATAACTGTGTTTAGGGAGTTGTGCGCATTGCTTACGCCATAGAACGGCATGTTCAGACTGTCTTGCTCCCAAAGACCCTGTGTTCGACCTTGAATCTGACTTCAGGTAGAAGACGACAAAAGCTAGGCTCAGTTTCATTGGCATTAACAGTATGATTGTGTGACTTGGGAGAGATTGAAACATCATTAAAGGTATCAGTTGAGTCGTCCCCTGAGCAACTGGTAAGCTCAGGGTCGTCGGTGGACGAGTGCAAGGCCAAGATGGGTTTCTTAGACGGGTCATTTTTTCGATGGAGACGAAGTCCGCAGTAGGTCAGCATTATGATGTGAGCTAGAGGACACAGCGAGCGGAGCGGCCAACTGCATAGGCTTGACGAATAGGGCAGAGCTCGAAAACGTTGGAAACAGCTTGACGCGTTATGTACGCGTTGTTAAGCGCTGTTATTGCATGTTTGTACGCTGCCGCCCGCCGCCATACACTCGTTCGAGTTCGACATGACGATACTTCATCACACACAGCCTTGTACAAAATGACTGCTAATGATCGCTCTCCTTTCACTCGGAGTTCTCATGGCTGTTCGCATCTTTTGGATTTGCTGCTCTTGAGCTTCATTGATTTATTTACGACCACCATCTGTTCCACCATCACTCCGCCATATTTGATCGCTTTCTCATCACGTCAACGCTCTCATGACCCGCACACGATCCATGGTACGGCCTCTCCTATACTTTGCATCGATCCGGTCACTTCTATCTTTTCCCTTGTTTCTCCACAGTGTGACGGGCTTATACGATGAGCTGGCCTCCGCTCGAAGCCCAACAACAAACTCACCGCGGCGCAAGCTGGCATCCCCATGCGTACCCTCAGCATCAGGCTCAATGGCAGCCTCAGGCACATCCTCAGAATCAATACCAATGGCAACCCGCGCAACCCGTCGGTCAGGGAATGGCCGCTCCAATTTGGACATCACCGGTGCAATTCGTGAATGCACCAACTGTCAGCAACATGGGATATCCGCTTGGTGTCCTACCAAACTATACTCGACATCCGACAGAACTAGCCCTGAAGATCAAAGAGAAGCGGTTATCATGGAGCGGTGACGACTTCACGATCCGTGATGCGATGACAGAAACTCCTATATTTCGCGTAAATGGCAAGACATTTACATGGCATGGGCGGCAACGTGAGTGCACTCCAACGTCGGAGGCCTTGATTTTACATATTGAAACCTTGGAAAGAGCTCGTCGATGCCCAAGGCGCTCCACTCATGGATATCTCGTTCGAGCCTATGCATTTTGTGCATTCAGTATTCAACGGACATGATCCTGTTACCAAAGAGCGGCTCTTCAGAATTCGCTCCAAGGTCTCCTTCGGCGCGAACCTAATTATCACGTTCCAGAACAAGTGCGGCCCGTACGCAGGACGCGAGATGGAGCTCTCTCTCAAGGGCGACTTCTTTGCACGCGAAGCGACGATACAATACGATGGAGCAGTCATCGCGCGAATAGATCGCAAATTCTGGAATTCGCGGCAGTTCATCTTCGATCAACAGTCCTATATACTGACCGTCGGACCCGGCGGTGAGCCTTGAACACGAACATAGCCGAACGGGAGATGCTGATCTGTGATTGGTCAGTGGATATTGCATTCATGGTAGCTCTTTGTCTATGCCTAGACCAATTGCGTGACGATGGCGGCGCGCCTGCGAACGGCGTCGGCGCAGTGATTGACCTTGCGTTGTAACCTGCAATGATCTTCCTCACCGGAAAGTTGGCCATCTCAAGCGTCTAACTGTGAATGAGAAGGTCGAATATGATATACTTAGGGACTCATGCTGACGCAAAATGTACCCGACAAACACAATACCAGTGTTGCAGTAGAGGGAAAAGCCATATGGTTTGGGAGTGCGCTTTACATGGTCTCGTCTTCCTGATTTTGGTCTGATCATTGTGCCGGCTCGTATGGTGACCAATGTCAAATCCATCGCATTCTGCGAAGTCGGGGTTCATACTTCCGTCACTATATCATCCGTGCGAATCCCAGGACCAGCATGGCGCGACATATTGTTTATGTGAAGATTTCATTCAGCAGCTGCGATCTTGAACAGGGTGCGATTACTGACACGATCCAGCCCGGAGCGGGGCCAAAGCTGCTCTGAGAAGAAGTCTGGTCCATTGTCCCGTACTATCAGCATAGCGACGCTATACGTGAGGACAGTGCGAAGAGAACGGCGGCAAAAGCTATTCACTAGTGGGCGTCCGGTATCTCAGGCCAGGCGATCTACCGACCACACGAGTTCGGTACCAACCCGAACCTTCTCGATGTATATGTCGCTTCCTTCCATCATCGCCTTAGCTTCAATCAGGTATTTTGCGGCGGCGCAGTTGAGGCGGTCCCAACGGCGTGCCCATCTCCCCAATGGCCTTCCACATATCCTGGGATTGAGGACCTCCTGATGCAGCGTTATGAATAGCCGTGTATAGCGCTAGTTCCGTGAGTTCTCTGAAACGGCGTTGTCGCGAGCGCGAATTGGAAGTGATCTTGATGGGCGCTGCTGTCGAAGGACACCTTGCAGTCCAGTACCGTAATTTCCAAAAGCCTGCGCCTCTAAACGTATATATGACCATGCTATTGCCAGCTATTGCATTAGACTCAGAGACATACCTTGCATCGTACTCGATCCCTCTTGCACTCCTCTCATCCTTTCGAATCTATCGTCATATAATGGTTGGTAGTCCTGCGCCTTTGCTGATGGTCTCACGAAACCAGAGCTTACGGAGACCGACAGTACTCCGAAGAGCAATATAGCGAGGAGGTTGTCGTTGACAACGGTGGATACGCCGCCGAGGAGCAATACACCGAGCAGACGGATGTCTACGAAAACCAATACGGCCAAGAAGAGGTCGTCGAGGAGCAGCAATACACCGCTGAAGAAGAATACGTCGAGCCTGATGGCGATGTTGTGGTGGAGGAGCAGCAGTACACCGAAGAAGTCGCATACTAGTCATCCATCGGGATTTTGGGTTGTTGATTTCAGTTGATGGGTCTTCTAAGCAAAATATATGGGCATGATGATGTATCACTCAGAGCGTGCAATCGAATGTATTTTGCTGCGTTCCAACTCGAACGTTATCTTGTTGTCATTACGTTGATCATAGTGGCATCGAGGAACGCTACACCGAAGTTCATAAGTCCGTGTGATTGAATGCGCATCGGTCAACGAGGGTGCTTACTCTCGCACATATCGTCGTCGCATATGCTCAATTTCACGCGTCAACGTTTGGAGTTTGATGGCCGTATGCACTCCGTTGGCGGCCGGAAGGATCACAGGCTGAAGGAAAGATTCAAGCAGTCCAGCTCCTGAAGGGACCGTATAACATCGGCAAGGCTTCAACAGCGGTAGCATAATACACATGGATGTTTCGATCACTGCCAGTGCATTCATACAGGGTGAGATGCACGGAAAGCTAGGCGGAGAAGATCTGAGCCTCAGTCCTTTTCATCTGCCTCGAAGATGTAGTCCTCGGCCGACCAATACGCCCTGGAGTTTGGATTGAGCAATCTAGACGTACCAGGTCAAAGAGAGGAACATACGGTGGCAAATCCAGCACGGTTGTCGTCTCGAAGTACGGAGGTAGCGACCTCTCGTCTGCGTTCCGCGCAACAAATCCGGCCTTATCCGTATCACTGTCCGCAATGCTCGTCCGAGACCGCATGGAGCCGGCGACGATGTTTAAAGGTATCTCACACTTGACGTCGTTCCCAACTCCGGGAAAAGGCACCCGTAGACGAAGGAAGTACTGGATTCCACGGAAGAGTTGAGCCGGGATAATCCAAGGTGATGATGTATGCTCACCGCTGCTTCGAGAGTGTCGGTCTTGAAGGAGGGTGGGCATGCGAGTTCGATGACCGTCTCAAAGTGGCTGGCACGTCTGCAAACTTGTCGTTCCTTGTTGCGTCCAAGAAGTTGACCCTTTGACTGATCAGGAGCAGGTATCCACTCCGGTGCATCCTGCCAAACACGGAGACGGTTGCAAGAGACATTGTTCTTGCCCTCGGGCCCAAATCCAACGGCATAACACACAAGGTCAGTAATTCTGGCCTTTACAGTAGTCCACTGTTCCTTCGAGTTCACAGTGGTCTCGCGGTCAACACGAAGCTTCAGAGATGTGGGATCCATCGGAGGTGCCGGAAACATGGGTTCACCGTCCTTTTCGTCGCCTGGCTCTGACGCTTTGTAGGATTTTGTCGTGGTGATGATATCCAGCTTGATCGGTATAGGCGTGCCCAAGGGGAATGCAAGGACGTCCGGAACGCGCAACTATATCGGTTTCGAATCAATGACACATCATAAGAAGGAAACCGTGCCAGTAGCGCACATTGACGTCCACTTGCGAATAGCCTCCCCACACTCCTTCGCGTATGGACTTGGATCGCGTACATGCCTTCCACGGCATGGCGGCGCCCCAGCCCCGGGTCAAAGACCGACGAACCTCGTCATGCTCACGCGAGCCAACAGGAAGTACCGAGAAAAGCGATCGAACGCGTCGACTTCGATGCAGCAAGCCTGGCCTCGAGCCGACTACCTCCACGAAGTAAGTGATATTTCCGTATCCGTTGCCACCTTTCGCATGGAAGGAGGGCAGAAGTCTGGATGGCAGTTGGTAGTCGAACGGAAAGGTGAGCGTGCCCGTTTGTGGTGACGTCTGGTCACGTTCCCACAGGGGAATGTCGGCACGAATGAGCTCGACTCGCGTGGGGTAGGTATTCGTGCCTACACCAGTCGAGTTGTACACGACGCTGTCAAGTAGAGATTAAAACAGACATCTAGCAAGGAGACGTGACAAGACTTACGTCTGGATTGAACCCCTGATCTTCACTTTGATCTGTTCGATATCCTCCAGCAACCCCTTGTCGAAATCGACGTCAACAGTCCCAGCCAACCTTTCACCAGGAAGTACGTGTTGGTCGCGCAAGTGCAGAACAATCCCAGTAGACATCGTTCAAACGAATCGTAGAATGACGGCATGGCCCAATGTAAGTAGATCGTTCTTATAGCATGATCCGGAGAGGTCTGGAGATTCTTGTGGCTGCGGTTGGCTCTGCCTGAAGCCTGCGGACGATGGATGATAGGCGCCAGGCAGTCATGCACCGGTCATCAGATCAGGCGGCGATGCTTGCAGCGCGCTGCGCTGATGCTGCGGATACCATGGTGTACGTGCGGGGTGAAACGGTGTTGTCGGCATCCTACGCCCACTGAAAGGTAAATGTGGATGTCCGTGGCATGCGCGACCGTTCCTGTTCAGGGACCAGGTGCGTTGATTCACCTACCTACCTACCTACCTACCTACCTACCTACCTGCTACCTACCACGAGTTCAAGTATGCATGGTGCGTTGATTCACCTACCTACCTACCTACCTACCTACCTACCTACCTACCTACCTACCTACCTACCTACCTACTACCTACCACGAGTTCAAGTATGCATGGCCTTGGGAGAGTGATAGGAGTAGCCTTACAATTGCCAATGAATACAGCATGGCGCTGTGTAGCCAAGTTCACATCTGTTCGCCGAAAGACCAAGGTCGCTTGGGCGGCTTGGCAAAGAAAAACTCCGTATCTGAACGAGCCTCCAGTCTCGGCGGTTCTAGTGAGCCGAAGCCGACGCACCGCTCCGACGCAGATGTTAAGCTGAGTATATGCAATGTAGTGATAACTACAGATTCCGATCTAGGTAAAATTTTACCGTACAGGGAATGTCATTAAAGGCAAAGGAGCAATGCGACTACATGGTCTCAATTCAAAGCTGCGACTTCTTGTCATCACAAAGACGTGTTGCGAAGGTTCGAGGGCCTGGCGCGTACGTCGAAGACCAGACCAGAACTTGCGTGCTAGGCCCTCACGCCCGAGCGCGCAAGACCCAGCTTGATCTGATTCTTGGTCTTCTGTTCGTCCCAATACTCGGACGAGCCCCACTGCTCATGGAACGAGTCTCTGATGCTTTGCGGGTAGTTGTAGGTGATCAAAAACTGCTCGATCGAGTTCCACGCGCTATCGAGCGCTCCAGCAACCCATCTATAAGATGTTGTTTATTGACAGAGCCGGGAGTTCTAACGGCAGACACGTACGCATGACAGGCGCTGGTCGCTTCTCCAGCGAAGTACAGTTGGCCCTGGGCAGCAGGCTGGGTCAGCTCGGTGTACGTCTTGTTGCTAAATTGCTGAGGGCCGAAGAACGCGAAGCCACCTGTATGAGACTGCTTTAGCGCTTGCTGAAGCGCATTGACGTGACTGCGAACCTTGGGTTGCGGGGTTATGCAACCAATTGAAGGCGTAGGAGTCGACGACCAAGCCTTCGAGTTCTTTAACGTCGATTCCGTGAATCGTAGCCAGGTCTTTCAAGACCAAGGACCGGAGAAGCGGGCTCATTTTGCCATTCTCTATGAGCGCACCGAGACGTTCGGCATCTTGCGTCCAGCAGTAACTCGCAATGAGGGTGGCCGACTTTGTGCCCGACTCCGGATAGGACGGGTACACTCTGTCGGTATTCGGTAAATGCAACAATCTCAACCGCGTTCGTTTTACGTACACGGTGCGCACTGGTAGGTCAGTATAACTGCGAAAGATGACCTCAACGTGCATCCCGTTGCTGAAATCACAGGGAATGATGCCTACCTCTGTCCACCAACGATACCCAGCGGCTCCCACCAGTTCTTCGAGAACTGTATCCCAACCTTGATGGCGGGACCATACTGCAACTCGCGAATCGCGCTGTATTGCGCGTAGTTCTCGTTGATCCCGCATCCGGTGAGGTCGATGAGGTTCAATGTTGAGACTGGTGTCGTGCATATCACGGCGCCGAAGTCCTGCTGGGCGGTCCAGGTACCTTGGCTGCTCTCGACGTGAAGACCAGAGGCCGGATCGTCCGGATTGATATAGGAGACGGAGGTCACGCGCGTGTTGAACTGGATTCGCTTAACGTCGATCTGCTCCTTCATGGCGTGCGGCAGCTGCGACGACCCCTTGCTGTGAGCGAGCGTGTCATTAGTCCACATGTTGTGAGGCTGTCTAAGAGGACGTACTCCAGGCAGTAATAGTCTGGCAAGGTTGTAGTATCGGTCCAGCTGAAGGCCAGAGACTCGCACACGGTTTCGACGAGCGCGCGATCATACCAACCCGTTGATTTATCAAAAGCTTCAAAGAGGTCTATGACTTCCGATGGATACCGATCAGGACCGAGGCTCAGATATGAGCGCATCGAATACTGGTCGTAGTTCTGGATGAGCTTCCTCATCGCGGTGTCGATGTCCATCGTGACGAAGTCAGCTTTCAGTCGTTGCATGATTCCATTCAACGCCTGCTGAAGCTCCATGGGTCGGAGCAAGCTCGCATATTGATTTGGAATGTAATGCGGCGTGTAATCATTGATGCGGTATGGATCAGGATTCGCAACCCAGTCATTCGACGATGGAACCAGTCGGACGCCGTTGAAGTAGGAGAAGGTGTTGTCTGCCTTGAAAATGTACTTGATCCACTTCAACCTGTCGGGCGAGGCTTCGTTAATACGATCGACCAAGTCAAAGGTGCGTTTCATGAACGGTGTCTTGGGAAAGCGCATGGCGCCGACGTCCTAGGCAAAAGGGATCAACGAGGCGACCATCATTCACAAAGTGCAGGTTTTACATAGTACTGGTAGCCGTCGCCATTGTTTGGGAAATCGTATGTGTACAGTCGACCTAAAAGGTGGTTTGAGGGACCAGTTTCTAACAAAAGAGAACGGATCGAATCACCTCCAACATCCCCGCTGAGCTCCAGGATCTCATACGGAATGTTGAGAGACTTCAATATCATCGCGGTATAGAGACCCGCTACCCCTGCACCGATGATGCAGACCGGTTTACCGGAGGTGATCGCTGGACCGCCGGACATTGAAGAAGCCTGGCCGGGGACCGAAGCTGGTAGCGCCAGCTTCAAACGATCAATCATCTTGTGCAGATCAAGCCTTTCGAGTTCCTCTTTGTGCTGATTGTGATACAGCTGCATGGAGACGCGGGCACGGCTTGCGAAGACATCAGGGCTGTTCATGTTGGAAGAATGGGGCATTGATGAAGGGGCAGGACAGGCGAGTGAGCCGAAGGTTGCCTGGGTCTTGCTCGTGTTTATGTATGCAGTCGCATCCGCCTCACTTGAATTGACAGGGACATCGTGATCCGTTGAGCGATCACAGGCATGACCTGAGCGCTCCGACCCCATACGTACAGTTGGGGGTAAGAAGCAAAGGCACGCTTCGAGTTTGACAGCTCGAATAAACCCGCAAGATGAGAAGACATCGTGGCGGACACATTACGGTGGATACACTCGGACGTGTCTTGTGTCCGGCATGTTATACGAATATCGGGTCATACGTAGCTCGCCGAGTGACGGATCTTCATATCGTCAGTCCTGGGAACTAAGTCACTATCTTGTCACGACGCCAGCAATAGAGGTTATTCGCAACGCACGGAAAGCCGTTGTCGACTTTGACTACGACTAACGCCGGATGCTTCTTGCCCTCCATCCGCAGCCTTCGAGCACCGCCAAAGGCTTCGGAGACCATCCTACGTTCCTTGTGCTCCACTGTTGTGGAGCCCGTCGAAGGGAGCTGCAGCTAACCCTTCTGCAGAGTTCATAGTTGAAAAGCGACACAATATGCAAATATAGATATAGAAAAAAACACGCCAAAGCGTAGATTATACGCCCATGAGGCTACATGATTTTTTTCGAGGTCAAAGATGATCTACAGCGTACGCTTTTGCTGCTGCAAAGAGTACCAGTTGCTGCATCGGCGAAACGTGCGCCCGACCGCAGCTATCCCGCGGTGATCTTGCCCCGTTGCAGTGCAGCTTCGCATTAATTTCTGTGGAGCCCCGTCTCGCTTGCGTGACTGACTACGAAAGTCAGCCATCAGGCGTTGCGAATAACCTCTAATGTCCAATGAATTACCGTTAATCTCAGGAGGCACCGAGTCTATGACATTCCTCGTGAGCAGCCTGGAGCAGGATCACACAGGCCGCAACGGGGACTCACCCGAGTTGACTGAATACATATGACTTGCGCTTGAAATTCTGCATTGTCTTCCTTGACGATGTGTACACGCGCGTGAAGGCGATATCCGAAGGACTAAGGTCGTTCCCGTCGAACCCGGTCTCAAGGCAAGCGGCATCGAAGAAGCGCCGATGTCGGGTATCCGCGAGCAAGTGTCATCGAACACTGACAGATGTAGAATGAGGATAACCTTGACGCCTTTGCGGAGTACGTGCAATGCCGTAGGATGATTGGAAGCAACGGAGGTTGCAACGCTCCGTGCCTTCCCCATACGTCATAGACCGCACGCGGACAGGCTGTCCGGGTCTCCGGGACAGCGTTAGCAGATATATTACCGGGCACGATCCCTAAAAAGGAACAGCCCTACACTCCGGTGTGGACATCGGGAACGAACCCGATTGGCTATCTTTGAACTGTTCTACCTAAGGGTCAAGGCACCATGCTCCCGTCGCGCAACGGTTTGCGCAACAATTTCAACGTTTGACGGAGGCTAACGATACATTGATTGCAGGTGACACTACTGTGAAGAATAAAGTACATCTAGCGGTACATTGAAACATGGCCATGCCGAATTGTGGTAAGGTAGAAGTCGAAGAAAGTGGTAGGGCAGCCGGGCCCTGCCACTTCAGAAGGAATACTAAGCCCCTCAGTCCTGGCCATTGAATGCCACGAAGGCGTTGTAGTTGTATGTTTGTATATTCTGCTGGAAGGTGTATCCGTCGGGCTTCACGTCGACGACGGTCTGGCCGGCCCTCTGGATCGTGCCGTGCATCCCTCCGCCAACTGTGAGCGGCACGCTCAGCTTGCTCACGCCCGCGGGGACGTCGAAGCTCTTAACACCGCTCCCGTCCGAGCTGGTGTCGAGCGTGACCGTACCCGGCGCGCTCATCATCACCACAGCCCATAGCGTGTCCTGGGTCAGCGCGAAGTTGGACGGCTTGCCGACCGGATCGGGCGCGTCGGCGTTCGCGGGGTGCGTGCGCGCCCACATGTAGAGCTTGTCCTCCGTGATGGCGGGGTAGGAGCCCGTCTTGAAGGCGGTGGAGTAATAGGAGGTCATGTCGAGCCAGCCTGTGTGGTTCAGGCCGTCAACCCAAGCTTGCGAGTTGGGCTGCGCGCCCTCGATCGGGCCGAGATAGTGTGATTCGCCGTAGTCGTTCCAGGTGACGACCTCTGCGAGGGCGATGTTGTCCCGCTCCTTGATGATGTTCTCCCAGCGAGTAGGGTACAGGTGCGAGTCGGCGAGGTAGATGAACTATAAATGTGAGTCAGCTGAATTTTTCGCACAACAGGAGGCATCAACTCACGTTTTTATTGAACGTTTGTGGGCTGTAATGCGTGAAGAACCAGGGGCTCACAGCTGCCATATATGCGCGCTGACCCGAAGCATCAATCGGAGTGGGCATTGTACCTAACGCATTAAGGTGCTGTGTGTCTGTGTCCGTTGCCCCGATGAACTTGGAGAGGACGTTCGTGGCAACGCTCGCCACGCCGCTGACGAGTGATGAGAGCGATGCGCCGACCGAAGACAAGGCAGAGTTCGCGGTGTCATCCGTGAGGCTGATCGGCCAACCGGAGTTGAACTGCATAAAAAACACGTTGTTAGTGTTCCATAGAACGCGAACAGAGGTGAGGCCACATACGTTGAAGTCGCCGTCCATGACATCGGCGTAGGTAGAGAAGGTCGCAGGGTCGACGAAGAAGCTCGGAACAAAGTACACGGCGTTCTGGCCGGTCAGGTCGGGATGCCTCGTGAACTGTGACTTCCACCCATCCGCCACGCTTCCCTGGCCGAACGTGCAGCTCTCTCCCGCGAACGTGCTGGCAAACACCCTCGGCGGATTACCGTACGTCAACTGGTTCGGATGGGTCGCGTAAGTGGTAATGTATTGCCTTAACGTCGCCGCGTCATCCGCAGATGAGCACGGCAAGACGGACATGTCGAAGGAGATGAAGAGTTTGAAGGGTTCGGTGGTGTTGGCCTTTTGGGCTGCCGAGTAGGCGTCGGCGACGTGCCCGGGTTGCCATGAGTCCGAGCCGATGTTGAGAGCGAAGGCATCGATACCGGAGCGAGATGCGAGTTCGATGTCTGCGACCCAGTTGTCGACAGTATACGGGAAGGTGTTGCCCACCATGTGGTGGGCAACGACATATTTGGGAGTGTCGGAGGAGGATGAAGAGGAGACCGCGACGGATGATGAGGGAGTGGGTGATGCTGAAGTAGAGGATGAAGCGACCGGTGTCGTGTCTGTAGACGTCGGTGTCGTGGTCGATGAGGATGGAGAGAGGGAAGACGTTGCGCTAGCGTTAGGGTCTTGTCGTCGAAGGATCGGCAGCGACTGGATGGCGTGCACTGCAGCCAGGATCGTGAGCAACTTCGCAGAGTACATATTAAATTGAGAGAGTGGATGTCAATCAAAGCGTTCAACGCTTGTCGGAGACGCGAAGTGCACTAGGCACGGGCGTAGGGGTAGAGTATCCAAGGGGAGAAGGTGCGGGACCAACGGAGGGTGGATGGGGCCACAGGAGACGTACTTATGCCGGACACAGTACAATAACTTTGTTGACAGCGGGTCATTGTCGTTCGAGCGGCTCCGGAGGTGTCCCCTGGGATCGGCTCAAGCGGAAGGTGGGAACGGGAGCACGCGAAAGAACAATGGAGGCCAGTACAATGAGGTGTCCTATCGTCTTGGGCGCGTGTTCCTTCAGTCTCAGTCTCATGTGCATAAGAAGAGTTGCATGCGTCTTCAGAGGTCCATGGATTTGACCGGGGTTATATCGGTTATTGTGCGGTCGTCGTCGTTCGCGGCAGAGACTTTCCGGCGGCACGCCCAAAAAGGGAATAGCCGACGTCACACCTCTATTGTCACTTGCATCACATTGTGACGCTACGCCCGAGTCGCCGACTGTCACTGCGTGCACGTCCGTTGCGCGTCAACTCCACGCATCGTCAACCGCTGGCCGCCTTCTGACTTTGACGCCATCTCACAATGTCGACAGACGTGTGCCCACCGTTCGCTTCGTTCTTTGGCTTCGCTGGCGTAGCGTCCGCTGTAAGCGTCACCTTGTTATAGACGTAAGGCATAGATGCTGAACCATCGCTGCCAATACAGATGATCTTCAGCAGTGCGTTGCAGCGTTTCCTGACAATACTGCGTGAGCTTACCGCCTGTGTGCGTGCCACTCAGCCATCGGTGCCGCGTTCGGTACTTCGAAAGCAGGCATCGGTATCGCTGGCTTGGGTACTTTCAAGCCAGAACTCATCATGAAGGTTCGTTCTTGTGTTTGCTGCCACTCGCTCGTATGATCTGACGCTTCTACCGAAGTCCCTCATTCCGGTCGTCATGTCCGGTATCATCGCCGTCTACGGGCTTGTCGTGTCTGTTCTAATAGCCGGCTCACGTACGTCAACCTGTTCGTTCTGTGTATCCCTTGGCTCATATAACGGGACAGTGAGCCCCACTGGTGACTACCCTCTCTTCGCCGGCTTCATCCACCTCGGAGCAGGGCTCGCGTGCGGCTTCACGGGTTTGGCAGCAGGATATGCGATAGGTCATGTTGGGGACGCGGTAAGCGCAAATACCATGGAGTACGTTTGCGCTGGCGCTGACGTTCGATGCAGTGTGTGCGCGCATACGTCTACGAATCGAAGATTTTCGTGTCGATGGTGCTCATCCTCATCTTCGCCGAGGTGTTGGGTCTTTACGGGTACGGGCCGCTCACGACTACACCAATGCCTATATCTGATATCAAAATCTAGTCTCATCGTCGCGCTCATCATGAACACTCGGGCTACTGAGGCTACATGTTCGTAAAGATGACAAGGTTGACATGGACTATACTGTATACTGCCGCCCATAATCGAACTGCTTTCCCGATGCTACGGGTCCATAAGGGAGCACCTCTCATCAACGTCTCCTTCTGCCGCCAGCTTTGCATGACTGCGGCACGGGTTCTGGGAGCATATTAGGCAACGCTTGCACAATCTCCTACTGCGCAATCATCGTCGACCCCTCCTATCGTCCTCTTCCGATGAGGACGAGCGCGACCGTCTTCGTGAACGCTTGTGGGCTGGAGATCTGGATCGCGACCTCGAGTCCGACCGCGAGGAGCCGGAACCAGAATCCGACTCTGAGTCCGAGTCCGAACTTGAATCAGAATCAGAGTCAGACGAGCTGCTATGCGAGTCGGAGTCCGAGTCCGAATCTGAGCCGGATGACGATGACGAAGATGAGCGGGACCTGGGTCGGGACGTAAATGGTCAGCTTGTCTTGGGGAGAGAAGAAGTTCAGACTGAAGATCGTACCGTTTCCTTCGCGAAGAGCCCTCTCCTTTGCCCTCTCCTTTCGCCCGGTCTTTCTCCTTAGCTTCCAGGATACGATTAGCCGTCCCCTTCCTGACAAGGTCATGGTGGCGTTAATTTCCGGTCATGATCGCAGGGATGCAGGCACTATATACTCACTTGTTTTTAAACTCCTCTGGAACCTCCACGCTGGGCTTTCCCTCCTTCTTCAGCTTTGCCAAGAGCTTGGGATTCTCAAGCTGTTGCGTTCGGCTGGGCCTCGCCAGATATGGCCTAGTGCTCTTGCACTCAAAGATGTAGTGTCCTGTTCCGAGACATTTCTGGCAGATCGTTGACGACGTAGCGCGGGGTTGCGTGTTGACTGAGCGACGATGAGGTGCGTATTTCGACATGGTGAACGAAGCAGAAGGGCGGTTGACCGGGACCAGCGGCTGTGCACAAAGCCAGTCGCGTCCCGAAATTTAGGCGCCCGTATCCCTTCCAGCATGCTACCGCGGACGCACCGCCAGGCCGTGCAGGCCGCCCACAGGGCCTTCAGCTCCTCCGCGCCGCGAGGGCCGCCCTTCCAGTCTAACATCGGCAAGAAACCCATCCCGCTCCCGCCCTCCATCACCCTCACCCGCCTCCCGGACGAGAACGTGCTCGCCGTCTCCGGGCCCAATGGCACCGCCCGCGTCCCGTGCGAGCCCTTCGTGCGACTAACCCAGCCCGAGGCCCAGGGCGGGCATCCGAAGGTGCTCGAGGTGCGCGTGGACGACCCGAGCGTGAAGCAGCAGCGGACGATGTGGGGCACGACGCGCTCGCTCATCGCGAACGCGGTCACGGGCATGTCCGAGGGATTCTCGGTCCCGCTTTACCTCGTCGGCGTCGGATACAGGGCCGCGTTGGAGGAGGACCCGCGCGGGACGTCCGAGGGCGGGAGCGGCATCCGGCTGAACATGAAAGTCGGTTTTTCGCACTCGGTGTACGTGCCCATACCGCCGCACATCAAGGCGGAGGTGCCGATGCCGACGAAGATCGTGCTGAGCTGCACCGACAAGCAGAAGTTGGGGCTGTTCGCGGCGGAGGTCAAGAAATGGAGACCGCCAGAACCTTATAAGGGAAAGGTACGTCCAAGCTGTCCTGTTGACTGGACATGCAAGCTTACTTATCCGGCGTAGGGTATTTTCCTTGGGAATGAAACGATCCGCATCCGGGCCATCAAGAAGAAGTAGACTATTCCCCTAATACCATTCTTGCACGCTGCTTTTCGTAGAACATTGTCCGCGCTCAGCAACATTTGAGAGATCTGATACACCGGTCGACCGCAACATCGCACGGCAACAGAAGCAAGTCTCTTTGGGGTGCTCTCCAGGATGAGAACACGACTGTATGCATCTACGACAAGGAAGCTCCAACCAGTGTCGGTGCAAGACAGATACCCGCCTGCGTCCTGATGCGATGTATACTCTTCGTTGCAGGGTTTACCCATGCCGCCTCGCGCGTCTCTAGCGTCGTGAAACCTACACAAGCATAAGCATCGGTTATCAGACAGCGAATTATGACGACATGCCTGGTTGGACTGTCTCGAATATTTTCTTCTTGGGGTTCAGCTGCGAAAGCGGGGTGGCGCCTTGTGCAACGTAAGGTCATGCAAAAACGGATTAACAGCGAAGGCAAACGCACCCTCAAACTCGCTGCCCTCGAAGTAAACCCGGTCGCCGGGTTTGCTGCCTGGCGGGGGCTGGATGAGTTCGATCCCAGCTTCTTTGCCATCCTTCGACGTTGCCTGTTCCGGTTCGTTGATTAGTTTTGGTGAGACGGGGGAAAAGTGGACCACGGACGCAAAGCACCATAGCAAAACTCTTGACACCACGCATGTTCGCTGGCTTGAGGTTGCACTGGATGGCGGAGCAGTGAGTGGACTGAGCGAATGATTGGGATGGGTACATACCACGCCGACGAGGTACTTGTCCCGCATCTGCTCGATGGGAATATAGTGTACCAAACCGGAGACGACCGTTCGAGGACCGGTTTCTTCTCCGAAGTCAATTTGCTACAACGTGCCCATTGATGCATGTCATTAACCATCATTTGATGACCCACGGAGGATATAACTTCACCTCAACGTACAAGCCATCCGCGTCAGGGTGCTTCATGATGTCCACGATATGTCCCACCCGCAGATCAATCATACTAGGCACGGGCTCGCCGCTATCTTCAGCAGCAGCCTTCGGCGCCGCAGCTGGTTTCTCTTTCTTTTCTTTCTTCTCCTTCTTCTCCTTCGGCTGCTTTCCCTCGCCCGATCCCGATGCAACGGCAGCCACCGCACCCTGCACGGCTTCCTTCACGGCCTCCGCCCCCTTCTTCGCCTTCTCCTTCACGGCCTTGGCCGATCCACCCTCCTTTACCGGCTCTGGCGCTCCGTCAGCAGCCTTCTTCTTCTTCTCCTTCGGAGGGTCAGCCTTGCGCTCGAGCTTGGGAGCGTTCTCGAGGTCGAACGTGACAAGAGGGAAGGATGAGGCGGACGACGAGGAGCGGACGGCGGGGAGATTTTGAATGTGGTCAAAGTAGCGCGTGAGTGCGGGGTGGGTGTAGTATTGCTCAGGCTGGAGCTGGGAGAACGTCGGATGGAGGAGGGCGTACAGGGCGAGGTCGGCGGCTGTCGGATAGGTCGAGACGAGGTAGGTGAGGGGTGTCAGTGTAGTGTTAAGTTCCTGAGTGCGCAGTACAATATAAGCTCCTGATTAAATGATTGTCTTGCGGGGGGACTTACGTCGAATGACTGGGGCTTGACGAGATCGCCCGCTGCGATTTTCTCAAGCCAAGCAGAGACGTCTGCCTTGTCCTTTTCCGAAATGCCAAAGATAGACGATCCGTCGGCTTTTGCAGCATCAAGAACGAGAACGAGAGATTTCACGTTCTCAGGTAGAGGATTCAAAGAAGCAGGTGCAGCCATGTCTGCAACGCTCGTAGCCAAAGTTCTGCTGCACAACGCGTAGCGTATCGTGTGACGTGGGGAACTAGAAGCAAACAAGTCCCTCGAATTGGAAGCAACTCCGAAAGAGATAGATCTGAAAGGAGTAGGACGTAGACGCCTCGCGAACAAGGTGCAGAGAACGGAAGAAGATCTCTCAAACGATCGATGGAGACTCCTCGAGAGCATGACTCTCCGGTGCTGGTGGCTGTACTCCTCTTCCCCATCTTATCTCTGGCCCCTCGGTTGCGTCAAGCCTGTCGCGGCCTAACTTGCGATGGGGGATATCCACGTTAAACCCGGGACGCTTCCAATAATCAAGTGAGAACGGCGTCGAGATACCCAGACATCTGACTGAAGTCTGCGTTTTGTTGAAGCATAGGCCCCTACCTACACACGGACGACCACCCTGGCCGCCTTTCCGTCGCTGCGCAGCTGCACTCTGCATGTCTCGAATTTGGATTTTTCTACCTTGACCTTGGCTCCTTCATCGAACCCGGTGAGCCTGAGGAGCTGCAAAAGCTTGCCAGGGAGTTTTTTGCGAAGCCTCAGGAGGAGAAGGACAAGATAGGGTTAGCTCACCAGGATGGAGCGAGAGGTGAGTCTACGATAAGCATGTGTGCTTGTATGACCTATACTTACGCCAATTTGATAGGCTATCAACGGCTGAAGGAGAATGTGACGAACGGGAAGGCAGACAACCATGAAGGCATCGATTTCTACCGACCTGTGGACAATCCTGACAAGTCCCGTCCGTTATGGGGAGAAAACCAGGTTCGCACCTGCCCACATCAATATTACGGAGCGTATGAACCTTGCGTGCGTGGTAGTGGCCAGAAGATCCTCCCCAGTTTCGCGAGAAGTTCGAAGCCTGGACAGAAAAGATGAAGAAGTTGGGCGTGGTGGTTATGGAAGCGTTCGTTCATCGTTCTCTTCATGCTTATTGTACAAGGTTCTGAAAAGTCACAATGAAACGTTAGAATGGCAGTGGGCCTTGGCATGACCCACGAAGAATGGGAGCAGCTCAAGTCACAAGTCGACGAGTCGTTCTGGGTGATGCGCGTCATCGGATATCCCCCTCTTCCGAATAACTATGACGGTTTCTCCTGCGGTGCTCATAAGTAAGATTACTCGAAGCTATCTCTCTTCATGTCCCACTTAAGCTGTTTTCAGGGACTACGGATGCCTAACGTCTGTCGCTTCCACCATGTTGTCGTAAAGCTGAGGTGTGCTGAATTGCCCCAAGCTTCTTGTATCAAGACGACACCAAGTCTGCGCTGCAGGTTTGGTTAGAGAACTCGGAGGTTGTAGAGACCGATGCGGAAGGGAATATATCCGGTATCGTCACTCTCCTCTTATAGCTCTTGGCGGCAGCTGAGGCGCCATGCAAACAGGACTACCGAGCGAAGAGCTAGCGGAAGGTGTTTGGATTGACGCAGATCCTATACCAGGCTGCGTTGTGTGCAACATCGGCGAGAGTCAGTTTTTATGCTTCTATCGGATCCCATCTGTTTGACCAAACGCGCTCAGTGTGGGAGGTCTGGACGAATGGATTGTACAAGAGCACATTGCATCGCGTAGTACATAGGGGAGCTAACTACCGGTCAGTAACTCTTTTTTCCGCCTACTCAACCTCGTATTCATCCCCTTTTCTTGCAGAGTCTCGTGAGATCTTCATCTGCTTCTCATCATAGATCGCGGCTCATGTGCCTCAGTATTCCGTTCTTCTTCGAGCCCAATTTCAACGCCGAAGTGAAGCCGCTCGCCGCCGCCCTGCGTATTCAGAGCGCGGATGACGACGCTCACGCGGAGCAGAAAAAGTATGAACCGGTGGTGTATGGTGACTTCCTCTTGAAGAAGGCAAGTATGGCATACCTCTTAAACATGGTCGGCGCGCTGATCACGCAGCTATTCAGGTCGGAAATAACTTCGCAACCGGCAAGGGCAAGTACGATTAGGCGGGGCAAGGGACAACACGTATAGTACTCACGAACAGAGGAAAAGGGAAGGAATAGAAGCTGGTATATATATCTGATGTATCGCGGGACTCTTATGAACGAACCCTGGAGCAACACTGAAGCTGTACGTTTATTGAAAATGTATAACATGATCTGATGTTGGGAACAAGAACTTTTCTGCACGATTGTAGGCCAGTGTACAGCAGTCGAACCAACACAGGAATCAATGGTCGTAACAAAACTGGTTTGAACATTGGTATCCAGATTGTGACTACGCGGACATACTTGTTCGCGGTCCAGCTCTGGGGTATAGGAAGATAGTGAGAAGGATGTGGGCCGGTGCTTATGAGTTCTGAGAGTAAATGGTTCTCCCAGCTCGTTCGCCTCCGAAGTGCGCTCGTCCCCGCTCGTCTTGTACAGGAGGGGTACCCGATGTACGATTCTCCCGGCGCGCCTGCCTTGGGCTGTGTGACGAGCTCGCGTGTGCATGGTGCCTCTCCTGCGAACCGCGCTCCCTCCGCCGCTCGTCCGCATGCATCGGGTGCAGGTGAGACCGTTGCGCGTTCGCGTGCTGCCAAGGCTCCTCCTGCACAAAGTGCGCCGCGATGTAGTGCGGCCCGCCGCTCGTCCAGCGATGGTCGGCCTCGCCCGGGACCGGCGGCGACTGGAGCGGGTGGGGGTGCGCGCCGACCGCCATCGGGGCGAGGGGCAGTTGCAGCGGGGGACCGTCCCAGGGCGCGTGCTGACGCCCGTTCGCGTATGCGTGCCCGTGCGAATGCGAATGCGGAGGGGACAGGGAGGAAGGCCCTCCGTTGGCGTACGGCGCGCCCTCCGGCGAGGTCTGCCGCGTCCGACTGCGGCGCGGGCGCGAGACGCGCGTGGGTCCGTCGACGGACGAGCTGGCGGTCGAGTCGGCGCCGGCACCGCCGTAGCGGCCTTTGGTGTCGCGCGTGCGCGGCTTTTTGTAGGTCGGGTCCCCGTTCGACTTGTTGCTCCTGGTGCGGGACATGCCCTTTGTTTTAATGTTTGGCTGATGCTGGGAGACGCCGGACGCGATGGAGCCGACTACGGGCGTGGACATGACCACTGGCTCCAAGGGGCCTTCTTTCATCTTCTCCGCTCGGCGCTCAAGAGCATCGACGATACTTATGGGTTCGGGGATGGTGTCTGTGGCGTGAATGAGCAATAGTGGCTTGGAACGGTGTGGAATGGGAGACGCGCACCCTTGAGGAACATCAGTTCCTGGTATTGTCGGGTCGCCGCCACTTGGATCGCAAAGGTTAGAGATAAGTGGCGCGAAGCGAGTAGCAGACGCACCCAGGTGATGATATGCTATGTCTGAGCGACCTTCGGCGCCAGCTTGACGATGTCCAGCTTCTGTTAGCTTGCGAAGGAATTCCTCCTGGACATTGATCAATGGACGATTGGAGTCATAGTAATTTGGACACGAACAGCGGCAGCCGACACGAGAAAGAACGCGTCCTTCGACATGGAACCCGCGAGGTCTAAGATGCTCGCATAGTGAGATTTTCATTCGTGAGCGTTGACGTGACGCGCACCCTCCGCGTTCAGGATGCTTTCAAGTCGTTCTTGAGGGATGCTGGTCTGACCGGGCACACGCGGTTGTCGAGCCTGCTTTGAGCGCGACTTTCTGGGGCCATGGGCGGATGCAGACGATCCGACGTCCTCTTCAGTGTCCGAGTCAAGCTGGTCGACTTCCTCATCGTCGATATCGACGTCTTCGTCGGCGTCCACCATGTCGAGCTCGTCCACTTCCTCTGATGGCGATTTCCCGGTGGAAGCGGCGTATGACGACAATCGGTCGGGGACGTGAGCCATCGGTCGGGGAGGCTGAGGGAGGTGAGGACAGAGGCCGGGTACGGTGGAGATGAGGGGGAGGACAAAAAGTGATGAGAGCGCCAGTCAATCCGTTGGCAGGTCGTGCGTGAGGAGAACCGAACCGCGTCGACGCACACATCGGAACAGCGGATGCCTGGGCCAGGAAGGGGGCGTGCACAAAGGGGTGCCTCATTTGCCGACCGACGGTTCGCGCCCTCCGCTCGCGCTCCCGGTGGAAAACAGACCATGTAGCAAGCAAACCAGTGATTATTATGATATCGATACAAGGAGCGGTGGTGCTACAAATACAGAAGAAAGTTGTTGCAGGTAACGATCTGGGAATAATGGCTGCGAAAGGCAATCAAACTCGAGCCGCGAAAACGCGACAGCCGTTTGCGCGCGGCCGCTCATGCGACTGGGATCTTCACGCTGGCCTTGTCCTCCGCCTTCGGTATCTTTACCGTTAGCACACCATCCGTCAACTGAGCGGTCACCCCTGCTGCGTCGACTGGCCGTGGTAGCCAGACCGTGCGCGAGAAGGTGGCGCTGCCCGTGAAGGCGCGTTCGGTGGACAGCTGCGACGACGACTGATCGGACTTGGTTACTGCAGTCGTACCTACATAGCCAGCTGTCAGTAACTAGTAAACATGGGGAACGTATTGTTTTGAGTACTCACTATCGGAGGCTTCGGCTGAGGGAGCGGCATTCGCTTCCGTGCTCGAGGCTTGCTCGATTTCAGGGCGTCGGCTTTGTATCCTGCCTTCGATGGTGACGGCTCTGCCGCCTTCCCCGATGCTGACTTCAACGTTCTCCTTCTTAACGCCGGGAAGTTCAGCTTCGACTACATATGAGTTGCCCTCTTCCGATACGTCGACTGCAGGGCGCAATCGTCCGGGATTGTTGAAGAAGGAGTCTTCAAGTATGGAGCGGCCTGGGCCAGCGAAATATGATGGTGACCTTGAAAGAGGCTCCTCCAGCATGCGGAAGAGGGGGCGGAACTGCAGCACAACGCGCGTCAGCCTTTCTGCAAACAGAAACGAGCATTGAAACTTAGCTTACCTCCTGAAGGAACTGCCGAGTAAGAGACATGGTGATGAAAGAATATTAATCGAGTGGTCAGATGTCGCGAAGTTGAAAGTCAGGTATTGATGAATGCTGTAGAGCTGAGTCGGATAGCCATGGCTTTTATACACTAATTCTTGCATTTCTAGCGAGTTCTTTCAGAGAGGCCGAGAAATGGCCAGAACAGTCACGAGGAACCTTGCGTCACAATTGCTTTCACGATCTTGAGCTGGAGAGGAAAGCTCGAAGTCTCGTAGAAAATTCGGCATCTTCCGTGGAAGGTTCTAGCAAACACACGCAAGCAAGCCTACTGTTACGTGCCGGTTCTGCCGAAGGCTGAGACCGAGAACTTCTTTCCTTTTCTAGCATCCGGCGCTGATGCGCCTTTTGACTGTTTGATCCTTTTGCTCCACTTCCATATGCTCAAGGGCTCGCGACGAGGTATAAAAGACAAGCAGCCTCGTCGCGAGGACCTTCACCTTTTGGTTTTATATCTTACCTCGAGTTGCTCAATCGAGACGTGAACTCTCTCTTGTTGTGCCGCTCGAGAACCTTACCGTGTGAACGCACCTTAGCCTTATTCGGCTTTGCCCGCGTCACATATTTTTGAGAGTGTTTCGTGAGTAATCTGTTATCGCTCGTCGTTGCTAACCCCTCTTCGATAGGACACTATCCGGCTTGATCACCCGGGTACACCTTTGCTGAGGACACAGTGACTGCGAGCACTCCTAGCTACGTGTCCTTTTTCATTATCCCTACACGCTGAGTATGCCTGTGTCTAGGGATGAGCTCACGGGTCGCTGGACTCGCAATGACCGTAGGGTCGGCGGACTAGACAGAGTCCCCCGACCCGAGTCGGATATCAATATCAACGCGGGCGAGGCGGTTGCCTCTGACCCCGTTGACTCATCTCCGTTGGCGGGCGAGACTGGAGCTACGCACTGCGGAGATGCCCCGATGGCCGGCGATCATGCAGGATCGAGCCTCGGGGCCGTTATACCTCAAGGTCTGCTGCCCGCTTACCTTGATGCTCCCGCGCATCGCGAAGGATCGCGGTTGGTGAGCACGACAGGGTTGGCGCTCAAGGACGAGCCACGCAGCCCGTCTCCGTTCGTCATTGGTGGATTCGGTGGGGCGTCGAGCGACGACACTGGATCGTGGTCTAGAGTACCTCGTAGACGTCGGAGTGCGTCTCCCGTACTGTCCAAGTGTAGCGTGATAAGCAATAACAGTAGTTTCGCGTCGCTGACTAGTTTACATGACACGTCTCTCGTCGACCAGGAGGATGGCGACGAGATGGTAGGTTCTCCGGTCGTGATCGAAGAGCCTTGTACACCGAAGAAGCCTAACAGCAAGCGGCTGGCCTCTGAGAACAGAACGATGAGTGACGCAGAGTTCGATGCGTTACTAGAGACGCCTACCCCGGTGGATAAGGGTAAAACTGCCGAGCGAAGGGGGGCAGGTAACGTTCAAAGCAAGGACACGCCTCCCTCTGGTAACCCCGGCAAGGACGCCTCGACAGAGTTGAGGTACGCCGGCATTGGTGAAGAAGAGCTTGACGTTGGAGCTCAGAGAGCGGCGCTGGCCTCATTACAATCGGCTGGAGCTATCGGCACTGTTGCTGACCGCGACACGTCGGTGACATCGTCACAAGAACCCTGGGAGGATCTGTTCGAGCGCACACAAAAATCCGCTGAAGTGTTTAAGAACGGATGTGAGCGAGAGGTCCGCGGGGCTAAACGGGAACGCGATACCGTGCGCCTTGCCCTGCTGGAGGCGGAACGGGCCAGGCTAGAAGCTGAACGAGCCCGGGTCGATGCCGAGAAACGGTTGGCCGAGATGATGGATAAACTCGATAGACTGGTTACCACGGTTGATGCCCAGGCGGCTGAGGTTGCTGCACTGAAGCGCGACCGTGGTTCAGGCGTCTGTCATCGTAGAGAAGACATACAAAGACGCGACCACCCACCTCATCGTGTGGGGTCACCGGAACCAGGGAGCCGCGCTGCGGGCGATCAGACTGGCATCCATAGCTTGAGTACCGCCCGCCCTGGCGTGATGGCCGGCAGCGCGTCCGCTATATCGAAACGAGGAGGGCGAACGTCGGTCGCGCCTCCATCGAGATTCATATCATCTGCCAGTTCGTTAGGACAAACACTGAAACGAAAACTCCGACAGCTAGAGGATGCTATGCTTACCCTGGAGCAGTCGGGGTCTTCGGTAATCAAACCGAATATCAAGCCTGAGCCGCCGAAAACCTACGACGGTTGGAGCGATCTTGATGCGTTCCAAAGATACGTTGAGCAGAGCGTAGAGTACCTAATCGATGGCATGATTATGAGAGAAAGACATGTGTCGAAGATCGGCCACTTCCTTGAAAAGGATGCGCTGCAGTTCTTCAACCGGGTGGTGAAGAGCCCTGAGGAATGGACGGCGGAACGGTTTTTTGACGAGCTATTCAACTACTGTTTCCCCGATGGCTTCATGAATGCCATTAGGGCGCGATGGAACACCTGGATGCAGAAGGGATCATCAGTAAAGGTGTACGCGGCAACAATGGAAGGGTTTCGCGATGATCTTGGTGGGGAGATCTCTGATCGCCAGTTCGTTCATCGGTTCTGGCAAGGCCTAAACGATGAGATCAGTCAGGAACTGTATCGCGACCGTCTTCATCCCGATATCGATACGTACGAAGACGTACTTGAGAGCGCTTTGATCGCCGAACGGGTGATCAACAATAGCTTGCACCGTGGTGGTGCCGCTTTCGGATCCCCTCGCTCCGGGCTTGAGAAGACGGGTAATGGCAGGGGCCGACGGGGCGGCGGTAACGGTGGCCAATTCGGGCGGAATGATAATAGTGGCAATCAGTCTGGGGTGTCGGCGGCGAAGTCGAACGCGCAGGTCAAGGAGACTGGTCCTGGCGCGCAGCGGAATAGTGATCACTCTCGACGACGGGATCGTAACCCTAAATCGGACTCACCATTGTCCGAGGCCCAGATGAAAGAGCACCTGGAAAATAACTTGTGCTTCAAGTGTCACAAAGCCGGACATATGAGTCGGAATTGCCCTGAAGGACAGCAGGTCATCAGTAGCACGCGAGATAAAGCTCCGGGGTCGAAGACCAGCTATGCCGTTCGGTATGCCGACAGTAGTGAACCGGCCAATGATGATATCCAGGTAACTGATGGCAACGAACCCGAGGTGCTAGACGAGTTACCCTGTGGGTCAGTGCGGTTCCGATTGGAAGAGGGCGACCAGGAAGAGGGCGCTGGAGCCGACACGGCTTTTGTACAGGACGACGGTCTAGACCCGTTTGGGAACCCTCCACCGTATGAGGAGCCTCGAACGGAGGTCTACGATGCACATGCCTGGTACCGGAGGTATCAACAGCGCTGGTATCGTTGGACCATTGACTATCTAGAAACTCGGGGCATGACGCACCGTGTACGTCAAACTTGTGAAGCTTATGAGAGGCACGGATTCGACAGTACCTTTGTATGTCCGGATGCCGTACGGGCGCATAGGCTGGAACGTGACGCTTTCATCGAGGGATCTTCGCGGTTCGGTGACCCAGTCGCTAACCATATGGGGATGGTCGTTGAAGCGCAGATTGACCGGCTGCCGCACCTTTGGGAAATCTGGACACAAGAGTTTGCTATCGATTCCTACATGGTGCTCTCTGAGGACGGATACACGCCGTGGGTAATGAATGAGCCGTACCTCAGTACGTCGCTTGAAGTCCCCCAAGAACTCCTGGCGCGGCGAAGTTTCGACTTCGTTGGTTGGTATCGAGCCCGCATGCTTGAATTTGTTGATATTGCACGACGGTTCGAGCACGACGAGCTTGGGATGGAAGACGTCGACTTCTTCCAGGAGTGGAATTGGGGTGAACCTCGGGGGGCGAATGATGACACGCAGGCTCCGTTCGCCACTGAGGACCCTGACAGTAGTGAAGGATCCGAATCAGAAATGGGAGAATACCCACCTGGGGCGCGGTTCAATATTCCCTCATCCGATGAGGATGAGGGCTCCACAGATGGCACTCCGGAGGGCGAGGTGTTCCTCGTTGACGGTGTCCTATACGCTGTTGGCGCCAATGACACGCTATGGTTCCGGGCCGCTAGCGTCGGGCTCACTGTTCCGGATACTGACGTCGAGCCTGATCGGGCGCCTCGAGCGTATATGGCGAAGGTAAAGCAGCCGCCTGAGGGGAGCTTCGCCTCTCTGCAGCGAACCGCAGCGCGAGTGAAATCGGCCGGACGGAAGATACCTCGGCCTATCGTGCTGAAAGTCAAGGTTAATGGGCATGAATGCCGCGCCTTACTTGATTCTGGGTCGCTCGGTGACTTTATGTCGAGCACACTTGCGGAGCAGCTGAAGGTTGTGAAGGTGCCTGTGGATACCCAACTGACTGTGCAGCTGGCCGCTCAAGGGTCGAAGACCAAAGTGAATTACTACACCGAGGTCGAATTAAGTTATGCACGCATCGCGTGTAAACGTACGTTCGATATTATGAATATCGACGGGTACGACCTGATCTTGGGGACGCCGTTTATATGGCAGCACAAGATTATGGTCGGATTGAATCCGTTGAGGGTAATTGTCGGTTGTGAGACGCCTGAAGGTCTTCGCGCTGGCGAAGACGTTAGTATCCTGGCATCCAGGGCGACGAGGATCAGGGAGCGATCTTTGGAGGATATTCGAAAGGAGCTTCATCAGTATGCGTCTCCCTTATACCAGAAAGCGGCAGAAACGACGCTACCTCCGTTACGACGCGTGAACCATCGTATCCCTATCATTGACAAGGATAAACGATATCCATTTCGCGCTTCCCGTTGTCCTGAAGGGTTCCGGGAGCAGTGGAACACCAAGCGCGACATTTTCTTGAACTCCGGACGATGGGAGTACGCGAGCGGGACGAACGCTGTGCCAATCATGTTCTTGAGCAAACCATCCGGAGGAATGCGCAACACGGTCGACTTACGGGCGCGGAATGACAATACTCGCAAAATGTCGTCGCCCTTGCCCGATCAGGATGCCATCCGGCGTCGGGTGGCGGCCAGTCGCTATTTTACGGCGATGGACGTGGAGGGCGCGTACGAGCAGGTGCGCGTGGAGCCTGAAGATGTGCCGTACACTTTAATGGCAACTCCTGATGGAACAATGGTTAGTCACGTCCTTCAGCAGGGGGACTGCAACGCGATTGCGACGTTCATGGCGGTAATGACTGACCTATTCTCGCCGTACATCGGTGCTTGGCTTGAGATCTATCTTGATGATTTGATCGTGCACACCGACGACCTTGACGACCATGTGCGATGTGTGAAGCTCGTTATCGACATCCTGAAGGAGAACAAGTTCTACTTGTCAGAAAAGAAGATGCACTTTTTAGCGGATGAGATCAAACTGTTAGGGCAGATAGTATCGCACCGCGGGATTCGGCTCGACCCCGTCAAGGTTGAGCGCATTCGAACGTGGAACGTTCCCACCAACCGCGACCTGTTACGGGGATTCCTGGGCGCCGTGGGGTACCTTGCGGATGGCTGTGCAGGGA